CTCCCCGCACGTAAATTTGGACATGCGCAGTAGCGGAGAACAAACATCAACAACAATTGCGCCGCCCACACAAACTAGCTTCGTGGGCTTCCAGCGCGGGACAGAGGATAACTCTACTCCTTCGTTCGTCCAAACGAGACCACGCGAAGCTCTAGGTTCAGTTTCCATTTTCACAGCTGTTGTTAAAATGCAGAATGATGTTGGTGCGTTCTGAGGGTCTGGCACAGGAAGTGAGTACACTGCCGAGAGGGGGGCTGGGCACGGGGCTGGGGGTCGTGTGAGTGTTGTAAAGTTTCTCTGCCCACTACTGGCCGGGCGCTAGAACTACATCGTTTTTCAACCTCATGTGAACGCTGAGAAATTTGCATTAGGAGCCTGGTCGTTTCTGTTAATAGCCTGGAAACGTCTGCGCAGCGTCTCAGTATAAACAGGGCCTAGGTCTCTACCTGAGGCCTCCACCCATCACTGCCTCCAGAAACCTCCACTTTCATGGCCCCGGTCTCACTCCCACTTACTTCTGTAGTGGGGGGAGGGGCGTAGAGGTGGCATTGTTGCCCTTTGCTCTTAGCTCTGTGGCCTGTGGCTGGGTGGGCGTTGCGCTGTCCAGTGTCCAGCAGTGACCTCTCGTACAGTGTGGCAGAGTCTGAAAAACAATCCTTGAGACGGCCAATTTAAAAAAACAATAGATATCAGTATGCGAATGAGATTGTTTTTCTCCCTAAAGTCAAAACAATTTTGGAGCGCTCTGGGTTTTCCCACATGCGCTATGTAAATAAAAGATTACTTATTATCTTACTAATGATGACATTTTTAAGACCAGAAACTCTTTCTTAATAAAAAACAAGACTCAAATCTCTTAAACCTTTTTAAACTTTAAAATATGTATTATGTACTTTTGTACTGTGTTTAATTATCTTGCACATTTCAGACCAGGCTCCTCTGCTGTGGCATCAGCAGGAGCAAGGTCAGGCGTGTAGTCAAAACAAAAACAAAAAGTCGCCACTTGCATGTGAATTGGGTAGTTTAACTTAATATAATACTTTTACAGCCTAATTCCCTCTTTCTTTTTAGACGAAGTCTATAATCAATAATAACTTTTAACACAGATTCTAATTTAAATGTTTGAAAAATGGCTTTTGTAACTAAAATAAAAAATACATGAAAAAATTCTCACAAACAGCTATGAAATATCAGATACAATAATGGACTCAAAAAAATAAGCAGCAGATTTAAAAAGAATGGAATCTAGAAATATGTTAGGTCTAAAAAGAATTGCACAGCTTTAGCACTAATCTTTGGGTTTCAAAAAACATATAATATTCAAAACTTATTCACTAATGGTGTTTAAAAACGTTTAACTGTGTCTAACACAATGTTCAATTGCAAATTTAGCAAATTTAAAAACTTAATAAAAGCCAAAATCCTAAAAGCAGTAGCTTTGCTCTGATTCAGAGCCAGAGTAGCAAAGGAGGGGGCCGTTTCCCTGACAACGGCAGCAAGATAGAGCTGCGCACACACACAAGCAGAAAGTAGTGTTTTAGCAAAAATGCAAAAACAGAAAGAAGAATAACTTTCAAGATTACTTTGTTAAGCGAATATAACTTGTAGTTTATACTTTTGTCATCCAAGTCTAGAAGTGATCACTTTCCACACTAGTAACAAAAGGCACTCTTACTTTAACGTACGCTTCTATTTTATCGAGGTAGCAAACTAGTTTAAACTCAAAATCTCTTTCTAAAAAACAAAAACAACTGTTGGATACAACCCTCTCGTAGCTTAACTGTAGATATAACTCGGCAAAAAATGTAAATAACTCACGAAAGCTCTCATAGCTCAACTTTAGATAAAACTCTGCATTCTCCGGTGAACTCTGTTCACTCCAAAAACAAAAACTCCCTTTTTCTGTATGTAATTTAAACCGTGATCACTGAAATATTGTTGCTTCTTTACTTTTGTCATTTATCAAGCTTGGAATTGGTTAATTACAAAACTTTTTGTGACTAAAGGCCTCCTTAACACGTTTCCCTTTTTATAATTACTTTTTATTTTTACACCATGGTTTCTCTCAAAGGGACTTTAACCCTGAAGCTTCTTCTCAAAGGGACTCTAACCCCGAGACTTCTTCTCAAAGGGACTTTAACCCCGAGACTTTTCTCAAAGGGACTTTAACCCCGAGACTTCTTCTCAAAGGGACTCTAACCCCGAGACTTTTTCTCAAAGGGACTCTAACCCCGAGACTTCTTCTCAAATACAATTTAGAGAGTTTGACAGACCCCAAAAACAGACCAAAATTTAGCTAGTATCCAATTATACAGACTTTACATATAAAAAGGTGTCTGCTTACCTTATTCTTGTCAAACAGGTACCAAGGACTGTCCGAGAGGTCTGCCAACCTCTTTTCCGCGTCGGAATATTCAATTTTAAAAAACAAAAGTGACAGAAGCGACAAGAAGCATCCAGGAACAGCTCTTCCAGCCTGCTGGAATCTCCGCTCCCAGACACAGCATGCCGGTCTCTCACGCCGAGGAAAAGAAACAGAGCAAACTCCCTCAAAACAATCCAGAGAATGGCACACACGGAGCCGCGCATTCTCCACCAAATCTGTTAGGATTTAGCAGACAGAGACGGATCGTGGTGTGCCAAACTCTGGAAGTTTATTTAAGTTTCTCTCAAGTTTCACTGGTTTCCTTTGTTTCCTTCTCTCAGACAGAATAAAGGCAGTACACAGTTTATATAGTCATTGTCACGTCACACATCGAAAGACATACGTGTCACAAAGAGACAGTCACATCATAGTCATAACATGGAGTCCTTGTAGAGTCCTTGTACAGTCCTGCACGTAGGCCATATTGCTATCTAATACTAATACCTGGATTTGTCAAAGAGCAAAGAATGTCACATTTTCATGAAGACTGTTCCAGATTTTAGTTGCATAAATCTGAAACTCTGCCTCCCCATGTCTTGTCCTGACCCTGGGCACCAGCAAAAGGCTAGTTCCTGTGCTCCTCAGAGTCCGGGTCGATTCATATGGCCCCAACATATGTCACAGATGTACTTTGGTGCAAGGCCATGGAGAGACTCGTACACAAGCAGAGCTGTTTTAAAGTCTATTCTCTGAGCCACAGGAAGCCAGTGCAGAGACCTGAGGACTGGACTAATGTGGTACTTCCTGGTTCTAGTCAGGACTCGAGCTGCTGCGTTTTGAATGTACTGCAGCTGTTTTACAGCCTGTTTGGACAGACCTGTGAGACAAAAGAATGGATAAGAACCTCCAAGTCTGCTTTATTATATTATATAATAAAAAATTATATATATTTTAAATATGGTAAAAAAGCTGCAGATGTAACTGATTTTATGTGGCTTTCAGTCTGAGTCCAGTATTATCCCTTGGTATCTGACCTTATGAGATTGAAGGTTCTCTCTTTTTTTCTAGCGACAATCATTTCAGTTTAGTCTGCATTTAGCTGGATCCACTCACTGATCTAAATTTGAGTGTGGTCTGCATAATTGTGAAATGGACACTTTGCTTCTGTGTATTAACTGACCTAATGGCAGCATCTAGAGTAGAATTTGAACAGAAGAGGCCCTGTGATTGACCAGGGCCATATGATCTGAGATACAGGCCCTGTCCACACGAAGTCAAGCTCAGGCCTAAACGCAAAAATACTTTATCAATCCAGTGTATCGTCCATACGAGGCCGGCGTTTTGGGGGGGTGTAAACGAACATTTTTGAAACTAGGTCCCAGAGTGGAAAGATTTCAAAACTCCGTATATGCCGCTCCGTGGTTACTGCCTCTCCGCAATGTATCTGAGACGCTTGCGTCATCGCCCCGCCTCTTGTTAAAGCACGCATGCGCCGCACTCAGAAAATAATGACAACAACAATGTAGCTTGTTGGTTTTGTAATCCAGTGTGACCCGAAGCAACAGTTCAACCTCATCGTCCGTCCATACTAATGTAGTACCAGCTCGCCCACTCGCCATGTTGTCTGTTTACAAAATTCCGCGCATGCCCACGGAAGTTTGGGCTTGATCCCGTCATTGCGTCACAGCGCCACCAACAGGTCTGGCATAGTTTCACAGCGTTTTCAGGCGTATTGACTACATTCATATGGACGCACACATTTACTGAGCTAACTCCGTGTTTACAGAAAAAGTTTCTGAAATTATAAGCGTTTTGTCTTTGTGTGGATATAGCCACAGTTTCCAATCTCCACAATACTTCCCGTCTTCCAGATAAGACCTACACCAACTTCCAGTGACACCCATCCAGTCCTCTAGTCTCTGTAAGAGGATTTCATGGTCGAGTGTCGAAAGCAGCACTCAGATCCAACATGACTAAAACTGAGACTTTCCTCAGTCAGTGCAAAGTCGAGTGTTGTTTGTTACCTTCACTATAGTGGTCTCAGTTCTGTGGTGGGGTCTAAAGCCAGTCTGGATCATATCAAAAAAAAAAATCATTTTTAGAAATTCAGTAAGTTGTTGGTAGGCAACTACTTCAAGAATATTTCCCATGAATGGCAGGTGTGAAATGGGCCAGTCATTTTTAACTACTGTGGCACCCAGACTGCTCTTTTTTAGGAGCATTTCTAATGCCGTTTTTAGGGCCATTAGAAATGTTCCAGACATGGTACTATTTGTAAAGGTAACAGACTGCTCAGAATGGACTTCAGAAATCTCCTGTGAGGTCCCGCCCCCCCTTCTGTAGCCCAAATCCTATTGGCAAAGCCCTGCCTGACTTGTGCAGCTTCATCAGTTTGAGCCATGTAGGCTGTGAGCTTTATAACCCTAACCCAGGGCCCAAACTTCAGGCCCTCAGCTTCGCAGTTTCATGTGGAAGAATGATACACATTTTTAGTATAAATAGTGTGATTTTATTGTTACATGAGGATCATAGACTTTCATTTCAACTTTATACAAAAACAAGTCTCAGTCTAGAGACGTCGTTAGCCTCTATAGCTTTGTTACCGTCTTTAGAATTAATAGCCTCCTCAGCTTCGTTAGCTGTCGTACCAGTCGAGGAAGAGAAGGGAGAAGGAGCACATGACAAGAAAGAAGAGGATCCAGACTCTGAAGCCGGCGTTGTTTTTGATTGCCTGAAAAACATGAATATCACGAGTCATGAAACAACAAAAATGACTGTGGACTAGGACCGGGTCTCGACCTGCGAACCTCATGACCTCACCTCTCGTATGTCCTCGTTTCCTTCTTTGACGTTTTCTGTTGCTCCAACAACAAGCTGGTGGATGTTGTCGATCTCCGTCTCCTGAACACAAGGATTTAGGGTCAGGTCGCTCTGGGCTTCATGTGGCCCTGACCCGCAACAATCGCAGAACAAACCTGCTGAAGGACCTTCTCTGCAAAGATCTCCTGCAGTCGTGAGATCTCTACCACCTTCCCCTCAATCTGCCTGAAACAAGAAAATGACCAAGAGATATAAGTGGACACACAAAAACACATACACAGACACGCACACAGACACGCACACAGACACACACACGCATAGAGACAGACACACACATATGGTAGACTCACTTGACCTCGTCGACTAAACTGTTCATTTCACTGACGAGTTTCTGATTCTCCTGCTCGAACTGAAATAGATAAAAGGAAACACACTTTTGAAGTTGGGGTACATGCATTTAAAGCTGGGGTCTGTAACTTTCAGACCACAATAGATCTCTGTCATAAACCCATGTATCTAGTTCCTGGCTCTAAAACAGTTGCTTCTATCAATAGAATCAAATAATCACAGGCCTCTTCATGATTCTTCATGATTCGATACATGGCTGAATCAGACTGTACCATCTGCATCTCCTCAGGGGACAGCTCGTCTTCCTCACGTGCTTCATCACAGAGGTCTCCGGTCAAGTCCACCTCCGACACACTGGGCTCTGGGAAAATATTAAGCACTTCAACTCTTGTGCTATTCCTGGGTCAAATGGACACCGCCACGGCGATTAAAAAATGTTTAGCTGAATTTTGATGGTTGTTCCTAACTTTACCAGTCCTGGGTTGTTTAGACCCCTTTAGACCCTAATTTAGTCTAACATGGTCTACTTTTCACTATGGCAGTAGTGTAGTACTTATACTGAACGAGGCTAGTAACAGCAGCAGCAGCAGCAGTAGTAGTGTTTACAGTATTAGTAGTAGTATTCTCAGATGTAGTACCTGAGGTCTCCTCAGATGCCTCTGCGTTCAGCTTCACTGTTGGTTTCACTTCTCGTTTGTAAAACTCTGGTAAAAGACGAGATCTGCAAACAAAAATGCAAACAATGGTCTTTCAATTATTGAAATGGATATTTTGCCACGGATTAACTTCTTTTCATCCATGATACCTCTGTCATCTCCAGCCAAGTATTGTGAGCTTCCTGTTCTGGAGGTTCTTTATAAATCCAGACTTTTAAACAAAGCTCTTAAAATCATCAATGACTCTTCTGGCCACCCTGGGAAAGCCATGTTCCAGCTTCTTCCCTCTGGCAGAAGATATCGCTCTCTGAGATGCAGGACATCTCGTTAAGCTAACAGTTTTTATCCACAAGCTGTTATCAGTGTGAACAGAGCACATTAATGATTTGCACTCGTTTTGAAACTGTTTTAGTCGATCGATTTCACAGTGACATTTGTTTACTGTTTTATTTGTTTTATTTCTGTCTTTTAATGTTGTTTTATGTCTGTATTTGTCTGTGTACACTGGTGACTTTTGCTAATGTATTCCAATGTGGTTTCTTTTACTGCAAATAAACTGAATCTGAATCTGAAAAAGATTCACTCTTTGATATTGAAGTTTATCTGGGATGAGAAACGCCCACGGGTCAAACTCGTTACCTTACAAGACTGTGAACGGAAGGGGGCCTAAATGTTCCTAATTTTGAGTTTTATTTTTGGGCATACGGAATACGACCAGTAAATGTATGGACTAACGTGAAAGGGGACAATTCATGGAGGGAAAAAGAAGAAAATCTTGCATTACCTTATAGAATAGAGGTATTGGTGGATGCAGCAATTCCCAACATCCATCCATCCATTTTCTACCCCTTAATCCATTTCTGGGTCGGAGGGGGTGGCCAGAGATGCCACCCAGTGCACATAGCACCAGCCCCTCACTGATCGTCCTGCAGGTGGTGAGTCCACAGGAGGATGGCTGCTCTATGGCATAGCCTTGATCTTTCAGCGGGGGCTTCAGGAAAAGTGGGGTTAAGTGTCTTACCCAAGGACACAACGACAGCGGTCATCAGTGATCAGTGGGAGTCGGTGGAGAAAGTCTTGTGGTGGGCTCCAACCCACGACCTTCAGGCTCAAAGGCCAATGCTCTACCAACTGAGCCACTGTCGCCCAATTGCAATTCCTAACAAACATGCTAAAAACAAGCTGGGCCCAATAGTGGCACACACACTGAATCTCTGGCAAAATATTGAGAAGAGGTTGAGCATTTGGTGTCGGTGGCACGTACATAGCCGTTGGTTTTTTTGGGGGAGTACGAGTTGTGAGGGCGAATGTGTTGTAGGCATGTATTTGACGTTTTGACTTGTGAACATACAATGTAATCATATAATAATGTAATAACCCAGATCACATGTACTTATGAATCGGTGACGGACACAAGAATATTTATTATTAAATAATTTAAAAGACGAGATCTGAAAACAGCAAAGAGTCAAAAATGGACATCTTGTCTGCATCTGTGAGGAGTTCTTTCTGATACATTTCCTTCTATAGAGAGTTCAGTGAGTGTGACTATACAAACTGTTAGTGTAGTACACAGACTGTACTACACAGACTGAACTACACATACTGTAGTACACATACTGTACTAAACATACTGTAATACACATACTGTACTACACATACTGTAGTACACATACTGTACTACAAAAACTGTAGTATATTAAACATAAATTTTCCTCACAGTCTCTTCTTGTCCACGACTCTCTTCACTCTGACAGCTCTCTGTTCCGAATACAGTTTACACACTCCTGAAACACATAGGTATACTGTAGGATCACTGTAGTATTGTAGTATTCTAATACTGTAGTATTGTAGTATTCTAATACTGTAGTAAGTAAGTAATGTTTATTTATATAGCGCATTTTACAGACCAAGGTCACCCAAAGCACTTTACAATGTTCAGAGTTCAGATATTTACTGCAGTTCTGTGGTCCTAGCATACTGTAGTACTGTATTCCTCTAATACTGTTGTACTGTAGTCCAGTAAAGCAGTCGTTGTGTAGTCCTGGAGTACTGTAATACTGTAATGCTATAGGATTACTGTAGTGTTCTAATACTGTAGTACTGTAATACTGTAATACTCCAGTAGTGTTGCACTGTGGTCCTGTTGTACCTCGCAGATACGCCTCTATCAGATCCAGCACCACTCCTCTGTGATCTCTGGTCTGAGCAGAGCTCATCTTTTTCTCTACTGAACAAAAACAAACTGTGTTAGCGCAAAACATTGATGACAGCTTGGAATATGTTGTAGTAATTGTGGATGAGATTCTTTATGCTCTCTGGTCTCCCTCTCTGGTCTCCCTCTCTGGTCTCCCTCTCTGATCTCCCTCTCTGGTCTCCCTCTCTGGTCTCCCTCTCTGGTCTCCCTCTCTGGTCTCCCTCTCTGGTCTCCCTCTCTGGTCTCCCTCTCTGGTCTCCCTCTCTGGTCTCCCTCTCTGGTCTCCCTCTCTGGTCTCCCTCTCTGGTCTCCCTCTCTGGTCTCCCTCTCTGGTCTCCCTCTCTGGTCTCCCTCTCTGGTCTCCCTCACTGGTCTCCCTCACTGGTCTCCCTCACTGGTCTCCCTCACTGGTCTCTCTGTACCTTCATGCCTCAGGTTCCTGATGGCCTCTGAACACGTCCTCATGAAGATCTGAGCGTCCTGGTCAATCTGGTCTCTTTCACTATCGGTCATACGGCTGACATCTGAAGAGATCAGACTGAGGTAAAGACAGAGGAGAAGAGGGGGGAGGCAAAGGAGAGAGGAGGAGAGGGAGAGGATAGATGAGGAGAGAGGGGTAAGTCAACATGTACAACTGCATGCGTGTGTCTTTTAGTGCGTGTCTCACCTTCCAGCGCTAACGTAGTCTTTCCGATGCTGCAGCAGGAAGTCTCTGAGTTTGGAGATGTTCGACACCTGTCACATTAAAGCCTAGGATCAGAGACCTTCACAATAATAGTCCAGGATCAGAGACAAATCACATTTTTATCTCAGGTTTAACATATGTAAATGTTAGTTTCCATTTGTGCTACAAGTACAGGATGTAAAAACACAGCAGCAGGGGGCAGCAGACCCACTCTCTTTGTCCTGTCACTAAACTGTAGACTACAGCAAAAGAGTATAGATAACTACTACTAGTTGGTACTTCTATACTCTTGAAGCAGAAGGCCAATAGAGAGACCAGAGACCAGCAAGAGACCAAAGAGAGAGACCAGAGAGGCTGTCCCATGTTCGTTCCAATTGTTGTAAATTCTCATCTGTAAACTTTTATTGTTCCTGAAAAACTTTAGTGGATGTAGCGTACTTCCCCAAACAGAGAGATGTTAGCTCAGTTAGAACAGTCAGCTCACCACTTCTCTGGCTCGGGGGCAGAAGCCGCTCTTACTTCTCCCTCTGCGAAGGATGTCGTCTCTGCCAGAGTCCAAGCCGATCCCGATGGCCTTGTTCCGGGTCTTCACGGTCTTCACGCTGGCCTTAAACAGCAGCGTGATGTCCATGGTGCTGAGTTGTGATCTATGAGACAGACCTATGGTGCTAGCGCAACAGCGTTAGCATTAGCATCAGGATGTAAACAAAGACACGTCCCCAGTAAGTTCGTCATCCGCCTGCGACACCAATAAAAAAAAAAAAACACCTTATTATTACCACGAACGCCCATGAATCTATGATAATAATAACGAACGCCCCATGGTCAAACACACCATATCCCTAACGAGACGAATATTTACAAATTAGTTATTACAGACAGTAATAAAATATTAAATAAAGCCGCAAGTGGAGATGAACGACCTATGCCAAACTGCATAGACCGTATATATTAACGGACGTAGTCACGCCTATCTCTGCCGTTCTAACTAATGGGCCAAAAATTGGGCTTTCATGGAGTGATTCAAAATGACTGCGGGGGCTGGGAAATGTGAAAAAACGCCTCTGCGCATGTGTCAACGGCACGAGCCCCATTCATTTAACGAGTGCCTTCAAAAATTCACAGCGACTAAACAAGACTGGTCCAAAAAAATTCACTCCCCTCAGCATTGACACACATGTGGAACGGAGAATCAGTACTACGCATCAGTAGAAAATGCTAAGGTGTGTAGTTTTTTCAACCCACTATGGCCGCCCAACTTTTCTCCTCACACCTTGATCACGTGATTTGCTCTCAAAGAAATGTCATTATGTTAAACAAAAAAGATGCTCTTGTGCACTGCAAATAGGCTTGTAATGAAGCATTACTGAAGGAATGTATGAGGCACCTGTGCACAGCTTCAATAAGAGACAAGAGACTGAAACCACAATGACCAGGGGAGCCAGGGCCAAGCCTCTGCCCATGGATATGCACATACACAACAGTGAAAGACATGGGGCCAAAAACCAATGGGAATGACTGTTCTATCAACAAGCAAACCTGCCCAGCTAGGCTAATACAAAATTAAGACACAACATTGTATGTATTTTGGAAATTGATTTGTGGGGGGGTTCAATGGGTTTTTCAAATTAAAATTGAAAATGAAATATCATAAAATGGCTTGAATTTTCATTTGTCATTTTGATGAGGAAAAGGAAAAACAAAAAATTGGCTTGATATTTTATGTTTTGTTTTGATGCAGAAAACAAAATATTGAACAATGCTTTATTTCAGGCCGATTTGACTTTGTTTTTTCGATTTGGCGCAGCTGGAAGTTGGCTGTGTAGCCAAACAACGGAAAGGGACATTATACTTATTTTAAGGATTCTTGGACTCATTTTGTGCTGCTCATTATCCGGACAGAATCTTTATAATAGACCAGACACAATAAGTAAAGGATGAACGGTTGTAAATATGCAATTGAGTGCTCTTTATACTGCTCTTTCATTCTTCATATATCTACGGATCATGTGTGTGTATGAGTTTATTTAAAGTTTAAATAAAATAAATAAATATTTACCAGAATAATGTGACCCTTTAGAGGTTAGAGAAAAGATCTTCAACTGTTTGTCACAGCACTGGAGTTATGTTAAACCTTATGAACACTTTCTCCGTGCGCATATCTGCTGATCACCTCTTAACGCGACTGGAAAGGCATTACATTACATGCATGGTTCTTTCTTCGTTCTCTGACTCAGGGTTCTGGCAGAATCTTCTGCGAAACCGAATCGCAGCTCCACTGCGGCCTCTTAGAAAATACAAAAATATGGGTGCAAAGCCAACTTTCGGTCGCGCCAAGTGGAAAAATGAGAATCAAATCGACCTGAAACCATTGTTCAATATTTCGTTTTTTTCATTTTCTGCATCAAAACAAAACATAAAAATATCAAGCCAATTTTTAGTTTTTCCTTTTCCTCATCAAAATTAAAAATTAAAATTCAAGCCATTTTAAGATATTTCATTTTGATTTCTTTTGCATATTCTATGGTTGTCGTCTGGACAAGTTTTGTTATAACATGTGGACATAGTTGGACTTTCCCACATTAATGCTCAAAACTTTGGAAATGTTCTCAATACTGTCAGTGTGAAGAAAGTTAAGCATTGTGCATGTGTGCGTCATGTATGATGTACAAGCTGCCTGTTTTTGTCCTGTTGTCTAATGTTAAATCACTCTGTGGCACTAAAAAGGTTGGAGATCGCTTGGGTATGGCGTCACAGCAGTGACACAGTGGTAACGGCCCACCACTGGTAACCATAGAAATGCCCTGCTGGTGGGGATAGATAAATAGATAGATACTTTATCAATCCCCCATATGAGAAATTCCGGAGTGAAGCAGCAGAAGACTGTTCCATGTCAGTTGTACAGTCTGACAGCTGAAGTGATCCTTGGGGATTAAAAACAGCTGGGGACCGCTCTTTTTAATAATGTTAATACATTCAGAAAATACTTTTTCATGGCTTCTCTGCACACAGACGACGGGCTTGTACAACATGTTTCACATCACCATAGTGTTAGCCTTAGTGCGGAAGAAACTTATTTGAACATGAGCTGACTGGAACATTTTTCCTTTTATGGGCATTTGTTCTCACAGTGTTAGAACAAATGAGTTTCCCCCACGAATGAAAGCCCCATGGGTATTACCTGTTGCAGACTAGAGCTGAAACAACTAATCGATTTAATCGATTAAAATCGATTATTAAAATAGTTGTCAACTAATTTAGTCATCGATTAGTTGCTAAATAACTATTATTTTGCCGTAAGCGGCTCATTTCGTGCATATTTTAACTCTGCGGTGACCAAATGGTGGCAGTAATGAGCCACCGGAGGTTTTACAGCAGGAGAAGTAGCGAATAGCCAATAGCTGGCCTCCTTTTATGTCACATGCTTCGCGCACAGCTTCTCTTCAGCATACAGCAAGATGGCGGAGGCAAGCGGAGTAAGCTCGAGAAAAAAAAGGAAAAAAGCAGAAGACAAACCTAATCGAACGAAGTCATCCAAAGTGTGGGAGCACTTTACTTTGAACCTTCAAAAAAGAAGAGTAACCTGTAAACTCTGCGCTACTGACTTGGCCTGGCACGGGAGTACTACGTCTCTGCGTGAGCACCTTAAACCATCTCTCTGCAGTACTGACTGTTTGCAAAAGATGGCGCCACACTCACTGTTTTAGGCATAAAGTTGATCTTTCAAATAATTTGCACAAAGATGTAAAAAAATAAAAGAACATTTATCCAGTTTATCAACTTAAATAAGCCTTGTTCGGGATTTTAAACTACTTCAGAAGCCCTAAGGATTTTCATGGTGAAAACATTATTGGAAATCTCCTTGTGAAATTTGCTAGAGTATGTAACGGTCAGTGTTTTGTTTTGATGGTCGACAAACAGCTCCAGATATGTTTTTGATGTGGATATGAATATGTAAAATGGTTAAAATCTCTAAAAAGTCTATGTTGAATGATGATGGCCCTTTGTTAACAATTTACTTTGAAAAAAATTGGCAAAACTAAAATATAAGTACATAAACCGATTAATCGATTAATCTTAAAAATAATCGCCCGATTAATCGATTATCAAAATAATCGTTAGTTGCAGCCCTATTGCAGACCCAAGATTCAAAAGTCTGTATTTGTTCCACAGTGGGGTGGTGTTGGAGAACACAGACTTTGGCTTTATGGGCTGAAGTATAGGCCTGTGATACACTGTAGGATCAGTAAATAAACATAACAGTTACACAGTAGTGCCTGAGGTGATTGCTGCACTCGCGGTAGTGACCCCCTTACAGATCCCTGGGCGGAAGGACCAACCTGTGGAACCTGTGCCTCACAGAGAGGGTGGAGCAGTCTGTCACTGAAGTTACTCTCAGAGCAGTGATCTGCAGGGGGCGACACATACATTCTCTGGACACGCACCCAAAGTGTTTGTGCTTCTTCTAAATCATGTTCAAATATCTGACATCATTCAGTTTAGCAAATAGGCAACAGTATGATTTCTTCTTCCGTCGGTTCTTTCTGTTCATGTGACACAAACGCACATCTATAAACCTCCTCCTCTTCCTCCATCTTGTCCTTGTCCTCCTCGTCCTTCTCTTTCTTGTCCTCCTCCTCAGAGTTCAGTCATAACGAGTCATAACAAGGGGAAAGTATCTGTCAAACCGTAACCACCAAACAAACCTCACACTTTTGAACAGAACAAACAGAGCGTCACGTTTATGAAAGGATCAAGAGAGGATGGGAGTGAGGAGAGGGGATGATTCAGACCACTGCAGTAACAGGAGATGCAGCAAAAGATGGCGCCGTGGCAAGAGCTCTCGTGTGTGTCGTCTGGTGCACACCGGGGTAGTCTTGCACAGTTTTTCCAATGTGGTTTCACTGCAAATGGCAAATAAATTAATCTGAATCTGAAAAGTCCTAAATACTGCAAAAACTTCAGAAACACTACTGCATGGGCTAGTGTTTTAGCAGAGCTGAGGGCTGAGGGCAAAGAGAAGAGAGGGGCTGAGCCTTTCTCCTTCTGCACAAAGACGCGCTCATAAATAAACCTGCATTTGTTAAGACTGACTTTTGTAATTAGGAAAAAATATGGGGCTGAAATAAATCTGCCATTTTATCACCGTTTATGAGACCTTAGAGTGAGGGGGGAGGACTCGAGGGTGAAGATAAAACTGCAATTTTTCATCATTTAGGAACAAAAACCTGCTGCAGAGAGACAGCAATGAAGGGGGAGGGGTTGATGTACCCACTTTCTCAATGTTAACCCGCTAGCTCAATGAAGCCCAATAGTGAAGTGCTCATGGTGAAGTTTGGCTTCAACTCGCTCCAGCTCCCAATAACTTAGATGTAACAGCTCAGTAGCCGTTTGTGTCACACTTTCAATTTTGGCCTCAAATCCGTGGTTAATTGCTCTGCGATCCTGGTGTTTATACAGTGATATTGTCTTTGTAAATCCTGATATGAGCAACCGTCTTAGCAACACGTCTGCCCCTGTTACAATGCAAATCTAATGCTGTTGGAACAAATGCCTGTCATTTGTCCTCATATGGTCTATGGGTATACTTCTTGATCTTCCTTCCTGACCTTTGACCTCTCGGGTGTGCTCCTTGGCCTTCATGATGCTGTTTAGTGACCACAGAACAGTCGTCATTACACTGAGGGGAGAGTAGGACAGTCTGACCCTGGACTCGAGACCTGTGGACCAGTCCCAGTCTGACACTGGACTCTAGACCTGCGGCCCAGTCCCAGACTGCACTCTGGACCTGAGTGGGATCAGAGCAGCGCATGGGCCTGACCTGAGTGTGGCACCCACACACCCGCGCTCCCCCGCACCTCTCCCCTCTCTCCTGCGGATGCACGATAAGCCACAGCTTTTCACACTAAGCAGCAAATCAACTGAGCAACATTAACTGAGGCGCATCGCACACACAGCCGCGCGCCGCACACATATCCTTGATTTATACCACAGTGCGGCGTGCGCACAGAGATACCGGCACAGCGCAGCGGAAAATATACTTTAATCAGCGCATAATGTGCAACAAATCACCGCTAATCATTCGCTAATCACCGCTAACGAGCGCGCACACTACGAGCAGAGCCACGTGTGGGAACAAATTAGGCTGAAGGAAAGTGAACAGTGTCATTAAAAATAAATAAATAAAGTCTGATCAAAGAAAAGATCAGAATAAAATAAAGTCAGCGACGTGTGAAGAGTTTAATGATCCGTTTTATTAGGACTGAATAATGTCAGGAAGAGCGTGTACCACAGCGTGTGTAAAAGAAATTCGATAGATATATTCTCACACATGAAGCTCTGTGTTCAGGCTCATAGTACTGAAGGTAACGTCACCTCTGACACTCTTTTCTGGCCCTGCTGAAGAAAAGCAGCCCCACAGCATGATGCTGCCCCCCCATCGCTGACACTAGTGATGGTGCACTGTGGCTGAGGAGTAGGGCCATTCTAGTCGTCTTATTGAGCAAATCTCATGTATTCTGTCTTTCTCTCTCACTCTATTCTCTGATTGGCTATCACTTCCCTGATTGGCTCTCTCCCTCCTATGATTTTCTCTCTCTTTCTCCAATGATTGTCTTTCTCTCTCCTATGATTGGCTCTCTCTCTCTCCTCTGATTGGCTGTGTGTGCCTCTTATAAATCTGACTCCGCTTGAGTCAGTCTCAGACAGTTCGGGTCACAATGCGGTCGCGTACGCAGTCGGACTAACCACGGCGTGTCATGGCACAGACTGAAGCAGAGTGCAGCACACCGCTCCCGTTCAGTGTGGACGCTCTCATGGCACCGGACCGCCGCTCTGTACCCCAGATGCCCTTCCACAGGTCACCACATAGTGACGTCAGGAATGAGGCGCACGACGCAAGCACCGTGGTCTGCTGCGGTCTTTGTAAGTTAACTTTGCTTCATCATTATAATTATAACAATTATTTTTATAATTATTTGTTTTTAGTATTATTATTATCATTATGATTATAGTCATCATAATAACCATGTGTTTCAGGTTCATATCTGTGTTTTTAATTTAAAAACTCTTTAAAAGTTGAAATTTTCATTTTCTTCTGTGAGCTAACCGAGTGGTTTCAATATCATATTTACTCACGCTTCAGATGCGAGAGCAATCTCAGAATCAACCTGAACTGAATCTAAAATCCAAAATGTAGAATCATATGAGAGTCACACGCAGTGTTGGGAGTAATGGAATACATGTAACGCCAATACGTGTTCAGAATACTCTTTCTGAATAATTGAATTCCCTTACAGTCACTACTTTAAAGTCTTGAATTTAGAATACACTTACTTTCTGAAGACCATGGGAATAGATCTCACATTACGTTTTAAGGTTAAATAGTAAAGAAAGAAAAGATTTGGTTTTCCCAAAGTGGAGGTTCTATTTTTTCTGCTGTTGAAGCACTTTGACTTGTTTTATAAAAATAAACAACAAATGATTTAATTATTTAAACATTTATTGAGGTTGTGGTTTTAAATATGACCTTTACCTTAATACATAATTGTAAATAAACATTAATTTACTATTAGTGCTACTTTTCCCAAAGTAAGAGAATACTATACAAAATAAGTTACATTTTAGGTAATATATTCAATATTCTGGAACGCCCTAAATGCATAAATGCATTTCCTTTTATTTATTTATTTTTTATTCTTTATTAAATAAAAAGCAGACAAACACATCAACATTCAACAAGAACAAACAAACATATACAAACAAACGTTGTTTGCATAAATGCATTTCCTGTAGAATGTTATTTGTGAGTTTTGAGCCTAATTCACAAACTTTGTTTCTCTCCATAGTCAGAGCTAGAGTCTCCACACCTTCGCCCGCCCCTGCTCCTGGCCTTGCGCCAGCCCCTGCGCCCACTCCTGACCCTGCCACTGCACCCGCCCCTGGGCCCTGCTGCCCGCTGCGCAGACACAGGACAAACCGAAGGCCACGCACACCCTTCAGCGCCGCGCAGCTGCGTGCGCTCGAGCGGCAGTTTCAGCACAAACAATATCTAAGCATCGCAGAGCGCGCGGGGTTCGCCGCTTCCTTGGAGCTGACAGAGACACAGGTCAAGATCTGGTTCCAGAACCGACGGGCCAAAGCTAAGCGTGTACACGAGGCCGAGGTCGAGAGACTGAAACTGAAGCATCTGCTGCCCCCTCCTGGTGTCCTGTGCAACTACAGCTATTGCAACTACTACTACAGCTCCATGAGCCACTCGCACTGACTACTGCTACTATTGCTACTACTGCTGCTACTATTGCTACTACTGCTGCTACTATTGCTACTACTGCTGCGACTTCTGCTACTTCTACTACTGCTACCACTGCTAACAGGACTGGCCTGGGACCAAGAAATGGCGGAAGCACATACTGTAGAGGATCAGGGTGAATGCAGTTTCAACAATTAAAATAAAAGTGCAATAGTCTACATTGCAAGAGAGTAAAAAACATGTCACTACGCAGTGAGGGAGATGGCCACGGTATACCACAACTATTGTTTGTTACAGTGATAAGAATGGGACAATTGCAAGGCAAATTTTTGTACCCCAGCTTTAAAGGTACTTTATTTCGCTTGTCTTAATTTTTCACAGTCCATCCTTTGCACCTGTGTAATAATAATTTGGGTAATACGCCATACACCATACAACACTCAAAACTTGTCAACTTGTCAAATTTTAGCCATTTACACTCATCTCATGTGAAACGCTCGGATCTATGCTCTGCCTGTGAGATTGATGGGTAGATAGAAAGATAGATAGGTAGATAGAATGACCTTTATTGTCCACTGAGGGAAATTCATTTTCACAAACACTGTCACATACAACAATAGACACAAGATACACTGAGAATTAAAAAAAACACAGAGAGAAACATATACAACACAGGAACAAGGGCAAAATTACAGACTGTTAAGAGCTGAGGGGACAAAACTCTTCCTAAATCTTGCCCGCTTCCATCTTTATGTTCTGTATCTGCGTCCTGAGGGCAGCAGAGTGAAGTGGGTGTGGAGGGGATGGTCTGAGTCTGTGCTAACTGTCTGGGCCATGCGTGTTGCTGCTGTGAGGTTGAGGTGTGAGAGGTCTGTGGTGGGGAGACTGATCATTTTGGATGCTGTGTGTGTGTGACTTTAGTGAGTTTATTACTGTTGGTGCTGGGGCGACAGTAGCTCAGTTGGTAGAGCATTGGCCTTTGGGCGTGAAGGTCGTGGGTTCAAGCCCACCATAAGACCTACTTCACGACTCCCACTGATGACTGCTGTCGTTGTGTCCTTGGGCAAGACACTTAACCCCACTTTGCCTGAAGCTCCCACTGAAAGATCTCAGCTCCTGTGGACTCACCACCTGCAGGAGGATCAGTGAGGGGCTGGTGCTAAGTGTACTGGGTGCAGCTCTGAAAGCCACCCCCCCGACCCAGAAATGGATTAAGGGGAAGAAAATGGATGGATGGTGCTGGAAAGCATGTTAATGTAACAGGTGGAGCAGTAGAGGAGATTGGGTTGAATGATTGAAGTGTAGAGTTTCAGGAGCAGATTTGGAAAGACAGAGAGGGCACGGAGCTTACGGAGAATGTGGAGTCAACGTTGGGAGCGTTTATGGATATCTGTGACATGTTGTTCAAAGGTGAGTTTATTGTCGAGTGTGAGTCCAAGGTATTTGAAGTCTATTGTTTTGTTGTGTATGAGAGGCAGTTGTTATGTATGTGGGAGGCAGGTCTGGGGTGTGTAGATGAGAGTGGAAAGTTAGTTTCTTGGTTTTGTCAACATTCAGTTCCAGAGAGTTTTCAGAACGCCACTCTGTGAAGTGGGAGATGGACTGATGGTATAGGCAGTAACGGAATTATTGTCTGTCAGGAGGGCCAGAATGGCAGTGTCATCAGAATATTGAAAGTATGTGGTGGTTGAAGAAGGGCTGATGCAGTCGTTTGTATAGAGGGTGTACAGGAATGGACTCAATACACACCCCTGGGGGCGCCAGTGTTGATGATGTCACCTAGTCAACTCTGACGGCCTGTGGTCCATTGCTGAGGAAGTTATGAGTCAAGTGAATGAGGGACGGGGGCAGGTTGAGGAGTTTGAGTTTCCTGATTATTTGAGGGCGCTGAATTGTATTGAATGCTTAGCTGAAATCGATAAACAGGATGGATGCAGATTTACCAGGTAGTTCCAAATGTTGAAGGAGGGGTGGAGGAGACATGAAACAGCATCCTCTGTTCCTTGTCTGGCTCTGTATGCGAACTCCCTCCGCCTCCCTCCGCCCACACAGAGACGTAGCATCACGCTTTGAGGTAAACAAAAGATAACTTTACAGCTTTAGCTGTTACATAGTAATTTCAAACCTGAGAATACATTTTTTTCCAACAATGGCAATCCGTCACATAGAGCCCTATGTCCTCGATCCAGTATCAGACCCTAATTATTTATTTCACAGTGATATATACGTCAAGTTAGAAGCACTGTACTTACAGAGGCTCCACGTTAGCGTCTTTTATGTTGGGAATAACACCAGATTTCAAGGTTACACCAAAAACACATTATCTCCAAGTTGACATGAAGCTAACACAAAAAAGTACAGACGGGTATTTACTGTCTATGGACCACACACTGGACTCGGAGAGAGGCTGCGGGCTGACCATAGACGGCGCTGATTCGCTGGGTCAGTTTCTCCCCGCTGTCAATCACCTCATGGAGGCGGGCTTTTGACGTCACGGATTGGTGCCACGTCATGATTTGAAACAGCTTGTTTTTGTTCCTCTCGAGAGTGAAAGAGAAAGATCTCTCACTAACTAAAGCTTGAGGGAATCGAGGAAAAAACTACTCTGGGCGTGTGTATGAAGGCCAAATAGCACTTTAATCACACAACGAAACACTTCTAAACATTTTGAATCCTTTTGTCCAGATTAGATCGAGTGTGACCTCTGTTGTGAGTTGGTTCAGGTCCTGAATATGTGGGGGTTTAAATGCCCTGTGCAGATGTTAATGAGATGTTCCAATAACTGCTGTTGTTGATCCTTTGTTTTGAAACAAACTCAAATAGTGATATTTTTCTGCAGTGTGTCAAGCATTAAACAGAAACTTTATGTAACTTTATTTTACATACATTTGAAACAAAAACAAAAGACAAAAGTAAACATTAAAATACATAAAGTTTTCAACAAGTCTTAATAGAATCGTAGCCTGTATATTTGTGTCTTAAATTCTGAGCTACTCGACTTAGAGTAGAGTGGAGCAGAGCAGAGCACAGTACAGTACAGTATAGTACAGTAAAGTACAGTAGAGTATAGTACAGTAGAGGAAAGCAGAGCTGATAGAATGAAAGTCCTCGGGAGCGTGTTGTTAGATCCCTCAAGGCTCATGTCACGCTTGACCATTTTGATCATCTACTGTTTTGGTTCAGATCTGGTTAAATCCAGGTTCTGGAGCAGCCTGGTTAATGCTTGGTTCAGACCTGGTCCAGAGCTAGTTAATACTTGGTTTTGACCTGGTTCAGTCCTGGTTCAGACCTGGTTTAGTCCTCTATCAGCAACTGCAGACGGTCTTCTCCATTGTACGGTCGACTGTGTCCAGTGTCAATTCCATCACAGTCGTCTGTGAAAAAGACCAGGTCCTGAAACAGACAGAAGACCAGAGGAGACCAGAGGAGAGAAGTGGAGACCAGAAGAGACAGGAAGAGACCAGTAGAGACCAGAGGAGACAGAAAGAGATAAGGTGTAAATAAGATAAGTTATTTATAGGGCGACAGTAGCTCAGTTGGTAGCCTAACCCTAACCCCCACTGCCTGGAATGAGTCTGGTGTGTGTGTGAATGGTTGGTGGTGGTCGGAGGGGCCGATGGCACATACTGGTTGCCTCGCTTCTGTCAGTGTGCCCCAGGGCAGCTGTGGCTACAGTAGTAGTTTATCATCACCGTGTATGGAGTGAATGAATAATGACATGTAAAGCGTCTTTGAGTGTCCAAAAAAGCGCTATATAAAACCAATGCATTATTATTATTATTATTATGCCCGAGCCCCGAACGGGGAAAGGGCCTATTGTTTTTGCTCTAGAGATGTCAAATTCTGCCCTTTGAGCCTTAATTTCACCCCCTGAACATGCATGAAAAGTTGTAAGATTTTGCCCAAACATCACACCTGGTGAAAAATTTGATATTTTGGTGTTTATTTTTATGGGACTCAAAAAATGCCAGAACAGCGCCACCTACAACAGCCAATGGGAGTTTCAGAGGTCAAGTTTGTCGTAGAGCCATGAAATTCGGTACACATGTTCCTCAAGTCAAGATACGACCAAAATGTTATCATGGCTCCGCCCTCTGACAAACAGGAGGCCCATAAATTTCACTGAAAAATGGAAAAATGATCCGCAATCATTTTCATACATGTCGGTTGGAAAGCGACTCCTCCTCGGCCGTTTCACAGATTCGCCTCAAAATCGCTCCACATCATCTCAACACATTTACCTTCAAAATTACAATTTTTGACAACATTAATTTTGCTCCCGTTTGCACAAACAAAGTCTGATTTGCACAAAACTTGAATCCAATGTTCAACTCCAGGGTTTAGGTCAGGTGAAAGTGAAATATTTGAAATTGGCGTTCTGAGACTCGGACCTGTGTCAGATTGTGATGACAAGAGGCAAAGTGAGAGGGATGGTTTAGATCACGCTGATGGTTTTACTGCAAATACACGTATTTAAGGCAAAGATCAATTTGATATCATAACTATTCAAACCGTAGGGAATAAGAATAATCAACCCTTGCTTATTTTTTCTTAAACTGTCCAGGTTAATTGTTCAGCATAAGTAACCTTTATTAATTGAACACAACATGTAAACCTTACTCTAAGAGAATGATCCAATTGTTATGGTTGTGTTTGTTTTGCTCTCTCCCTCCCGTGCTGTTTTCTTTCCAGAGCATGTGTGAGACAGGGGGCGTATACTCGACTGGTTGAGTCGAGTATACACTCGACTCAACTGTATACCCTAATCTGCTCATCCCTCCTCTGCCAGATAATTCCATCATATCGGTAGTGCTTGTCCAGAGTCTTCTAATACTTTCCCATTTTTGGATTACACAACTTCCATCCTCTCCTGTCTCCAGATCCTGTGCTTTCATCCAGTCCTGGTCTCTTCAACCTTCACTCTGCTCTCCGGCCGACCTGCTCCCTGTCTCCACTGCTCCGTCCCTTTTTGAGTATTTTTCTTTGATTAAAGACTCTTTAAACCACTTTGGCCTCCCTCTGCTTTGGGGTTCAAAACTCACCCTTAACACCATTATTACTAACAACTATTTTGTAAATCAAATTTTACACAATAGAATTGTGTTACCTCCAAAATATGAATCCTGCTAATACCCAGTGCAGTTGGTGCCTAAATCACTTCCTGAAATACATTTGGACAAGAACAATTTTGCTGAATCTTGAGGGACAGTGCCGTTCATACTCTAAAGAACAAAAGACATGCACAATAACAATAATGGTGCTCACAACTGTCAGGACAACTAAGCTTTCTATAATGTTGACTTTAGTTTAGATGGTTCTAATCAATGACACAAAATAGATCCTCTTGTGTGTTATTAGGGCCCTGGGAATTTCCAGGGATCTGGATTCAATAATTACATCACACACATCATCAGTGATGTACCTGGTTCCACTAAGATGGCCGGCGGTAGCGTAAATGCTGATCTGACCTCTCTCGATCACCTTCAAACTTTTGATGCATATATTTTCAAGTCCTTAAATTCAATTATCTATTCAATCTAAATTTGAAGCCAAAAAATACCATGGTGAAAAAATTTGCAGTACACATATGGAGTCCTGTTGATGTTGTTGTGCTCTGTCAAGTTGGTCTGGCACATCTGTTTTCTCTTCACACCATCAACTGAGGCTATTCCTGAGGCCGTTGAGAAAGGTCTGTTTCAGAGCAAACTTAATGAAGAGTAAGGTTTCATAAATGATGAAGAGTAAACAAATCATAAACAGCAAATTGTGTCTGCATTTTTTTTTGAGTAAGGTTTACAAGTCACAATTTACAGTGTGTGTGTGTGTGTGTATGTGTGTATGTGTGTGCATATGTGTATTTTGTGCCACCAGAGGGAGCTGTGATCTCTGTTGTGATTCTTATTATTTAGGCACTGAACTAAAACTACAGGCAGGATCCCTAGTGGCTTACCCTATGTGAGGGTTGACCCCTGGATCTATAACAATATCTGGATAGGGTATTACTAGCTTATAACTGTCCCACCCACCGGCACGGTGGGCACTGCCAACTAAACTCACGCAAGTTACCCCGAAAAATGTCCCGTCAAACTCAATGGTCTCATTGCTCCCATGTGATACTGAGGACAGGCTGTTGATTTGAATAGGCCGCCACTTTGATCACTGGGGCTTGGGCTGACCCTTGTGAGGACAAGCTGACCCTGTGTGTCTATTTTCCATTAAGAGAATGCTAATCCTAAGTGAATTATTTTGTTTTGGTAGCCACCCATGTGTTATCTTGTGTGTGGGGGTAACTGTGAGTAGTATTGTAGAAGCTGACCAGGGTTTAAGCCCAACCGTTTTTGAAAACTGCATTGTGGATGTGGAATTGAAACTGTCTGTTTGGAACCATGGAACTTGTGCCTCATTAAACTGCTTAGAATCAAGCCAGGGAAGTCCTGCAGACCAGACAACATCAGCTCCAAACTCCTTCGCTCCTGCGCAGATGAACTCTGTGGAGTGATGGAGCACGTCTTCAATCTGAGCCTCTGGCTGAGGTTGGTACAATAGCTCTGGAAGACCTCCTGTGTGGTACCAGTGCTACCTCACAGACAGACCCCAGTTTGTGAGAACCAGGGACTTTGTGTCTGAGGTCCTGACCTGCAGTGTGGAGGCCCCCAGAGGACAGGCCTCGCGCCATTCCTCTTCAACCTTTGTGGACTGGTGTCAGACACAACACGGACGGGTGTTGTTCTCTGACGACTCTGCCATCATCAGACTTAGTTCCAAGGACGATGACACAGAGTACAGAGGAGTAATACAGAACTTTGTGGACTGGTGTCAGCGGAACCACCTCCTCATCAACGCGGGGAAGACCAAGGAGATGGTGGTGGATTTCCGCAGATGTCACTCTGCCCCTCCAGCTCCAGTGAACATCCAGGGAAGGGACATTGAGAGAGTGGACTCTTACAAGTACCTGAGTGTTCATCTGAACCACAAACTGGACTGGACTCATAACACAGACGCCCTCTTCAAGAAGGGCCAAAGCCGACTCTACCTGCTGAGGATGCTAAGGTCTTTTGAAGTGCAGGGGCCACTCCTAAAGACCTTCTATGACTCTGTGGTGGCATCAGCCTCATGCACGGTCTGGTCTGCTGGAGCAGCAGCATCACAGAGAGGGACAGGAAGAAGCTGGACAAGGTCATCAGGAAGTCCAGCTCTGTCCTGGGCTGTTCCCTGGACACAGTGCAGCAGGTGGGGGACAGGAGGGTCCTGAGCAAACTAACATCTATGCTGGACCATGACTGTCACCCCCTGCAGGACACTCTCTCTGCTCTGGAGAGCAGCTTCAGTGACAGACTTATTCATCCTCGATGTGTGAAAGAGAGGTTCCGCAGGTCTTTCCATCCTGCTGCTGTCAGACTGTACAACAAACAATGAGGAACACTGCCAACTTGATCCCACGTGTCATGCATCGTTGATGTGCAATAACCACATGTCACTGTCACTTTACTGAAGCCTGGTTCACACGGCAGGATATTTAGGCCGATTTAGACCCGATTTACCCCTTACGACAATCTTAAGAAACGCTCCGATTTCCGTAACAAAATCTTACAGATTATCCTGCCGTGTGTGGTGTGTTAAGACTGCACTCGTCGCTCGGAAGGACATCGGGACTGCTCCCGATCTCAAATCGGGGATATCCAACATGTTGGATTGTTTTTGCCCGATTTCTTGTCGTGTGTGGTGTCCTCCGAGGACAAGCGAGCGCGTTGCCATGACTACGGCGTGTAGCCAATGAGAAGACGAGGTGACAAGCCGGTGAGGAAACACCGGAAAAAAACCAAAACACAGCAGCATGGCTTTGACCATTGCCTTTTCTTTGGATTACGTGTCTTCTCTGTTAACAACAAACTGCACACTATCGCCACTGCATCCTCTTCGTCCGACATGACTGTTTACTCTGAAGTCACGCTTGATCTCGAGAGATTTTGTGAGATTTCCGTCTGACCTGGGAATGCTCGGGGGGGGGGGTGTCGGTTCGTGTGTGATGTTTGTGGCTTGCGTGATCTTGCCGTGTGGCTACGCACCACACACTGCACGACCAAAGTGGTTAGACGCAGGATTTTTAATCTCCCCGTGTGGGGTCTAACACGGAGAAAAATCGGCCGACAATTTTAAAATCGTCTCGTGTGAACCAGGCTTTAGTCACTGTGTCCCAGAGCCTCATGCTGCTAATGTACAGATGTAAACATATACAGTAACTACACTTTGCTTGGACTAGAATACACAGTACTTTTTATCAATCCATCTATTTTCTTCCCTTTAATCCATTTCTGGGTCAGGGGGGTGGCAGTCAGAGCTGCACCCAGTACACAGAGCACCAGCCCCTCACTGATCCTCCTGCAGGTGGTGAGTCCACAGGAGCTGAGATCTTTCAGTGGGAGCTTCAGGAAAAGTGAGGTTAAGTGTCTTGCCCAAGGACACAATGACAGCAGTCATCAGTGGGAGTTGTGAATTAAGTCTTGTGGTGGGCTCGAACCCACAACCTTCAGGCTCAAAGGCCAATGCTCTACCAATTGAGCCACTGTTGCCCCCATCAGTACTTTATAATTGCCAAATGTAAAACTTTTACACTTCTCTTTATTATTATTATTTTCAAGTTAGAGATTTTATACTTGTTATTGATGCTAAAGTTAGAGATGTTGTTTTATTTTAATTAGTATAGCTATTGTTAACTTATCTTATATTGTGCTGTGTGCTCCTCTTTCCTACTGTTCTATAACTTGTAATGCAACACTGAAATTTCCCCACTGTGGGACGAATAAAGGATCTCTTAATCTTAATCTTAAAGTATTTTTCCGTTATCCTGTGCACACGTCAAGCTAAAGCTACAGCCCAGGCTGCTCACAGTGGCAAGACACCCTCAACAATTGCCACAACACTGTGCATGCGGAGCTTACCCTGTGGCACAGCCGTGTGATAATGTCATAGAGCATCTGTATCTTGCGCTTCAGAATGACCAGGCGGGGGCGCTGTCTGCACTGGGGCTCAGGGTGATTGAGGAGAACATACAGGAAGTCACGCAGCTTCAGGGTCACACAGGCGTTCTGCAAAACACACCAGGGGTGGGGTCACTGTGGGGGTAGTTTGTGCCTCTCATAATAAGATCACATCCAGGACGTGTTTTAAAGTTGAAGTCAGAGGTCTGAGCTCTGAGCTTCAGTCGGGTTTGTGTCTGAAACATCTGGAGAACATTAGACTGATGTGAGACTCACGTGGACGTCAAGGAAGAGGGGGGGAAGGGGACGAGCACAGGCCTTCTGCATACACACAGAGAGAGGGACACACATACAAGCACACACAGAGAGAGACACACACACAGACATACACAAACACGTTAATGACAGTAATGTCTTTTATGAGCTATAGAAATACCCGACTGATAACTGCTTTAAAATGTAAATGTAAGAGAAATAAAAGTCTAGTTCTTTCAGACAAACTTTCTCTATTGTTCCTGGCTCTAAAACAATTGTGTCTGTCACTAGTTTTACATGCAGTATTTTTTGGATACTAGAATTAGAGTCTCTATCTCTCTCTGCTCTCTCTCTCTCTACCCTCTCTCTCTCCTCTCTCTCTCTGCTCACTCTCTCTGCTCACTCTCTCTGCTCACTCTCTCTGCTCTCTTTCTCTGCTCTCTCTCTCTGCTCACTCTCTCTCATCACTCTCTCTCTCTACCCTCTCTCTCTCTCTGCTCTCTCTCTTTCTCCCTCTGCTCTCTCTCTTTCTCTCTCCTCTCTCTGCTCTCTCTCTACTCACTTTCTCTCTCTCTGCTCACTCTCTCTGCTCACTCTCTCTGCTCTCTCTCTCTGCTCACTCTCTCTGCTCACTCTCTCTGCTCACTCTCTCTCTCTCTCTCTGCTCACTCTCTCTGCTCACTCTCTCTGCTCTCTCTCTCTGCTCTCTCTCTCTGCTCACTCTCTCTGCTCACTCTCTCTGCTCACTCTCTCTCTCTCTCTCTGCTCACTCTCTCTGATCACTCTCTCTCTCTACCCTCTCTCTCTGCTCTCTCTTTCTCCCTCTGCTCTCTCTCTTTCTCTCTCCTCTCTCTGCTCTCTCTCTACTCACTCTCTCTCTCTCTGCTCACTCTCTCTGCTCACTCTCTCTGCTCACTCTCTCTGCTCACTCTCTCTGCTCTCTCTCTCTGCTCACTCTCTCTGATCACTCTCTCTCTCTACCCTCTCTCTCTCTCTGCTCTCTCTCTTTCTCCCTCTGCTCTCTCTCTTTCTCTCTCCTCTCTCTGCTCTCTCTCTGCTCACTCTCTCTCTCTCTCTGCTCACTCTCTCTGCTCACTCTCTCTGCTCACTCTCTCTGCTCACTCTCTCTGCTCACTCTCTCTGCTCACTCTCTCTCTCTCTCTCTGCTCTCTCTCTCTAGTCTTTAGCCCTTTCTGGCCCTTTCTCTGTTCTCTGGTCTGGTTGAGGGACTGACCGTGCGCGGGCTCACGTGCACGCGTTCTAGCAGATCCATCGTCTCTCGGCTCAGACTCAGAGCGCGCGAGTAGCAGGTCGGGGGCGCGCCCGCTGCGCACGCGAACAGACAGACGAGGAGCACACACAACCTCATGAGGAATCCACAGAATCCTGGTCCAGTCCTGAATTAGAGCTGGATTAGTTCTGGTTTAGTTCTGGTTTAGTTCTGGTTCAGACCTGGTTCAAACCTTGTTTACTCCTGGTTAGGTCCTGGATCAGTCCTGGTTCATTCCTAGTTCAGTTATGTCCCTGTTTAGTCCTGCTTGAGACCCAGTTGAGATCTGGTACAGTCTTTCCTCCGTCTCTCTGGATGTGTTTTGGTCCAGTCCTGATGTAAGGAGGAGGTCTCTCTCTGGACTCCCTCCCTCTCCTCCCGCTCCCCCAGAAGTCTGATATTACAAAAGTTCAACTGTTTGTCCATAAACAGGCATCGTTTTGTGGAGGTGTTTTGGTACAAGGGGCTAGTGTAGGGGGGATGCTGAGGAGATGTCTGACCCCAATCTCAATGAGATTGTGGATATAAAGAAGACCCACAAACCTGTCAGGAGGAGTGGGCCAAACTTCCACATTTAGTGTTTGCAGCAATACACACACACACATACACACACACACACAAAACAAACCACATATACACACATGAGTTGGATGGGAGGGGCGCTGACTTCAGAGCAGTGACAGACACTTGTCCAACCCACGTGGAACGAAACCAGGTCTAAAGCAGGTTTTGGACCAGCTGGTCAAAAGCAGGACTAAAGCAGCAGGACTAAAGCAGGACTAAAGCCAGACTAAAGCAAGACAAAAGCAGGTCTAAAACAGGACTAAACCAGAACTAAAGCAGAACTAAAGCAAGACTAAAGCAGGTCTAAAGTTGCACTAAAGAAGGACTAAAGCCGGACTAAACCAGGAATACACCAGTCCCAGGACGTCTAATGTCTGCTTAACAAGGTAAATGTAATTTTCTATGTTGAATAGTAGAATAATCTGTTATTGAACATTCTAAATGTGATGAGGGAAAGGAGCACCCTCCCACAGAGCTGCTGCAGGTGGATGACCCTGCGTCCATGACAATAGGTCAGGGTCCAGACCGTGTTCCGCCCCCAAAGCCCGTCACCATGGAGACGAGACTGGTTTGCGGGGAGGCGAATGTGTGAACAAAGTAGAACCATGCTGCTTTCATACTTTTGGCCTCTGTCACATCTTTAGATCAGGTTTTTCAGAAAGAAAAGTGAAAAAGAAAGTTTCTGTTCTCTTTGGTCCCTCTTTGCTTTCTTTCTGGTCTCTCTATTTCTCTCTTTCTCTCTCTGGTCCCAGGTCTCTCTCGCTGCTCTCTTCCTAGTCTCTTTGGTCTCTGGTTTTTCTCTGGCCCCTGGTCTCTCTCTCTTGGGTCTCTGGTCTCTCTCTCCTTGGTCTCTGGTCTCTCTCTAGTCTCTCACTGGTCTCTGGTTTCTCTATCTGGTCTCTCTGGTCTCTGATTTATCTATCTGGGCTCTCTCTGCTCTCTCTCTGCTCTCTCTCTGGTCTCTCTCTGGTCCCTCTTTAGTCTCTCTCTGGTCTCTCTCTGGTCTCTCTTTAGTCACTCTCTGGTCTTTGGTCTCTCTGTCTCTCTCTTATTGTGACTGTTTGTGGAGTGTTGGTTAGTGTAGGCTGTGAACTGCAGACAGATCATATCTGTGGAGAGGCGAGGCACACTTAGACACCATCCTGAGGTAACGTCTCCATGACGACCAACTGGACAGACAAGTCTCGCAGTAAGCCCAAAGTTTCAGAGCGAAATCCGGTCGCACTACATTCCTCCGCGCAAGAAACACTCGAGCAGTATACAGTCAGATGCATGCAAACATAAACACAGGCAGAACATGCAAACACAAGCAGAACATGCAAACACACACAGGCAGAACATGCAAACACACAAGCAGAACATGCAAACACACAGGCAGAACATGCAAAGGAACACAGGCAGAACATGCAAACACAAACACAGGCAGAACATGCAAAGGAACACAGGCAGAACATGCAAACACAAACACAGGCAGAACATGCAAACACAAACACAGGCAGAACATGCAAACACAAACACAAGCAGAACATGCAAACACAAACACAAGCAGAACATGCAAACACAAACACAAGCAGAACATGCGAAGGAACACAGGCAGAACATGCAAACACAAACACAAGCAGAACATGCAAAGGAACACAGGCAGAACATGCAAACACACACACAGGCAGGACATGCAAAAGAACACTTGTGTGCTCCTCTCTCCTCTCCTGTCTCCACTTTCTCCTGATGTATTTGTATTTGTTCCTTTCATGAAAATGCTTTGTTCACTTGTTCACATAATAATAGTTAATGATAGTTACATACATGTTTTAAACATTTACATGAAGGAAAGGAGCGGAAATGGAGAATACAATTCTTATGTATTCCAATATGGTGTAATGAATGTATTCCAATGTGGTGTTTTTACTGCAAATGGCAAATAAACTGAATCTTATGTTTTTCTGCCCCTTTTCAAAATCATATCTACCCTGGCCTTTCACTTGGTACTATTTTCATCAAAAAAACCACAAAAAAACATTTACATATGTTTCGTTGCAAATTGTACATTCAATCACTCAAGAAGTTTATATGATTCAACAATTTTTGCTGTTTACAACTTTTTAAATTGAAAGATATTTTGACAACGTTTTGATTCATTTTCCTGAGCATTCCACAGTTTTACACCTTTAAAAGATAAACACATTTGTTTTAATGTTGTTCCTGCAAACTGATGTTTAAAGTCCAACCTTCTCCTAGAGTTATCATTTTCTGTGCCCTTCACCTCTATTCTCTCCCCTCTCATTTTTCTCCTTGTGTGCTCTTCACCTCCTCTCTCCTCTCTTTCCTCAGGCAGGACCATGGAGAGCCTTTCCAAACCACGTCTGACGCCAAAACCTTTCAGTCTACAAAACACCTGCCTGAGGTCTTTCAGTGCCCCCAGAGCTCCTGCAGGCACCTCCTCTTCATGTGACCGGGGCACCTCCTCCTCACGAGACCCGGACAGTACCAATATAGCTACACCTCCTGCAGCTAACCTGAGCACCTCCTCCTCACATGACCTGGGCACCTCCTTACGTGACCAAGGTCCCTCCTCTTCACCTGACCCAGGCACCTCCTTACCGGACCAAGGTCCCTCCTCTTCACCTGACCCAGGCACCTCCTTACGAGACCAAGGTCCCTCCTCCTCACCTAACCCGGGCACCTCCTTACGTGACCAAGGTCCCTCCTCCTCACCTAACCCGGGCACCTCCTTACATGACCAAGGTCCCTCCTCTTCACCTAACCCGGGAACCTCCTTACTTGACCAAGGTCCCATCTCTTCACCTAACCCGGGCACCTCCTTACCTGACCAAGGCTCCTCCTCTTCACCTGACCCAGGCACCTCCTTACCTGACCAAGGTTGCATCTCTTCACCTAACCCGGGCACCTCCTTAGGCGACCAAGGCTCCTCCTCTTCATCTGACACGTACACATCCTTGCATGACCAAGGTTCCTCCTCTTCACTAGACCCGTACACCTCCTTATGTGACCAAGGCTCCTCATCTTCATCTGACCCGGGCCCCTCCTCAGGTGACCCAAGCACCTACTCACCTGACCAAAGCACCTCCTCATCATGTTACCCAGACATTGATGTATTTGACTCCACAAATTCTCAATTTAAGTTGAAACCAGCTCCTCCTGAAGTCCTGAAGGAGACAGAGGAAGTCAAACAAGAGGAGGAGTCAATGGAACCTAGAGTAGGAGGACCACAGTCCGAGGAGAAGGAAGTGCAGGGTCCAAACACGTCACCACGCAGGCGCAGCAGGAGCCGACTCTCCGCTGAGCTCCTGTCCATATTTGAAAGTGGAGCTTCAAGCGTTCAGATGAGAGAGGAGGAGGTGGCAGGTGCAGAGGAGGTGACCAAACAGATGAAACGAACTGCAAGTGTTGAGAGACGAGCGGAGGTGGTGGCAGGAGCAGAGGAGGTGGCCAAACAGATGAACGGAACTCTGAGTGTTGAGAGAAGAGAGGAGGAGGTGGCAGGAGCAGAGGAGGTGGCCAATGAGATGAACGGAACTTTGAGTGTTGAGAGAAGAGAGGAGGAGGTGGCAGGAGCAAGGGGGGTGACCAAACAGATGAACGGAACTTTGAGTGTTGAGAGAAGAGAGGAGGAGGTGGAAGGAGCAGAGGAGATGGCAGGAGGAGACAAGGTGTTCAAACAGAGGAACCAAGATTTGAACATTCAAAGGGAGGAGGTGGCAGGAGACGATTGGTTCAAACAGATGAATGGAGCTTCAAACCTTCAGGGGAGAGAGGAGGGAGAGGCAGGAGGCCAAGAGATGTTCAAACACAGGAACAAAGCTTTGACCATTCATAGAGAGGAGGAGGTAGGAGGAGGCGATAAGGTGACCAAAGCGGAGGAGGTGTTCAAACAGAGGAACGGAAGACGGCGCACTGTACGGTTCGGATTAGTCGAGACCGACGACGGAGAACCTCCCTTTATGTTGGGAGAAACAAGTGACGAGGAGGAGGAGGACGAGGAGGAGGAGGAGGAACAGCGAAGCCACCAGGAGTTTGAACTGAGACGCAAGATAGAGGAGAGAGAGGATGTGAAGGAGGAGCAGGAGGCAAAAAAAGAGCAGAAGGAAGCAGAGAGAATGAAGAACAAGCTGGAGGAGGAGCAGAGGAAGACATATGAGGAGCAGAAGAAAATACAGGAGGAGCAGAGGAGGAGACAGGAGGAGCAGAGGGAGATACAGGAAGAGCAGAAGAGGAGGCAGGAGGAGGAGAGGGAGAGACTTGAATTTGAACTAAGACATAAGAGAGATGAGGTGCAGAACGAAGCAGAGAAAATTAAGACACAACAGAAGAACAAGCTGGAGGAGGAGCAGAGGAGGAGGCAGGAGAAGCAGAGGGAGACATTTGAGATTGAACTGAGACATAAGAAAGAGGAGGTGAATGAGATACGGGAGGAACAGAAAAGGAGGCAAAAGGAGCAGAGAAGGAGACAGGAGGTTGAACTGAGAGATGAAGCAGATGATAAAGAAGAGGTGAACGATGAGCAGGAGGATAAGGAGATCAGAGAGGAGGTGAAAGAGCAGAGCCTGCTGGAAGATGAACCCAAGGCGAAGATGATGGATGAGATAGATATAGAACGAAGGAAGAGGCTGGAGGAGGTGGAGAGACGGAGGCAGGAGCAGGAACAGAGGAGGAGGCAGGAAGAGCAGAGGCAGAAACTTGAGGAGGAGCAGAGAAGGAGGCAGAAGGAGATGCAGATACATGTGGTTTTTGACGATTTCTCTGTGAGGAAGTCAACCACCGCTCCTTCGAAGGACATCAACTTTGAAGGAGCGGGCGTTGAAGACTATTCAGTCAAACCAAGACGAGGAGGTGCAAAACAGAAGAAAAGAGAGGGGGAGGAGCTGAGGAGGAGAGACGAGCAGGAGCAAAGGGGGAGAGAAGAGGAGGAGCGAAGGAGGAAGGAGGAGCAGAGGAGAAGAGTGGAGGAGGAGCAGATAAGGAGAGAGGAGGCAGCGCAGAGGAGGAGAGAGGAGGAAGAGCAGAGGAGGAGAGAGGAGGAAGAGCAGAGAATGAGAGAGGAGGAAGAGGAGAGGAGGAGAGAGGAGGAAGAGCAGAGGAGGAGAGAGGAGGAGCAGAAGAGGAGGGAAGAACATGAAAACAAAACAAAAGAAGAATACAGACAAAAAGTGGAGGAGCAGAGGACGAGAGACCTGGTGGAGATCAAGGACTCTTACAGGAGTGAGGAGAAGCAGGAGTTGCAGCAGGAGTTGCAGCAGGAGTTAGAGCAGGAGTTGCAGCAGGAGTTAGAGCAGGAGTTGCAGCAGGAGTTACATCATGAGGTGAGGGAGTCACATTTTGTCATGTTTTTAACGACTGCAACAAGTGGGGGGGAGTATCTGCCTGTGGACAGAAGAGAGGAACACTAACACTGTCATACACTGAGGGGGGGGGGGGCAGCATCATGCTGTGTAGAACGCCCAAGTCAGAGTCCAGACCTGAATCTGCTGTTCACAGACGCTCTCTACTGACCTGCCAGAGCTGTTCAGTCTCTGGATGTGCAGAGTAGAGTCAGACCCCAAAAGACAAAAGGAGGTTCCAGAAACCGTGAGTGTGTGAAGCTTGTGTGTGAAGCAAGTTAGGGTTAGAGACGGACAGATATCTGTTATTGTCCAGCTCTTTCAAGACATTTAAGAAACCTGAGCATAAGTGGGGCATTAGAGCCCTTTTTCTACCAGCTCTACTCAGCTCTGCTGTACTCAGCTCTGCTCTACTCTACTCAGCTCTGCTCCGCCAGTATAGGAGGCATGCGCCTCCTGTACTGGCGACCCCGCTCCCATCTCTGTGTGGAGTGAGAGGACAAGTGCCCAAAAATAACAATTGTAAACCGCTTTGTGACTCTGGTCTGTGAAAGGCGGTATATAAATAAAGCTTACTTACTTACTTACTCAGCTCTGCTCTACTCAGCTCTGCTCTTCTCTACTCAGCTCTACTCTACTCAGCTCTGCTCTACTCAGCTCTGCTCTTCTCTACTCAGCTCTACTCTACTCAGCTCTGCTCTACTCAGCTCTGCTCTTCTCTACTCAGCTCTACTCTACTCAGCTCTGCTCTACTCATCTCTGCTCTACTCAGCTCTACTCTACTCTACTCAGCTCTGCTCTACTCAGCTCTACTATACTCAGCTCTACTATACTCAGCTCTGCTCTACTCAGCTCTGCTCAGCTCTGCTCTACTCAGCTCTACTCTACTCAGCTCTGCTCTACTCAGCTCTGCTCTACTCAGCTCTGCTCTACTCAGCTCTGCTCTACTCAGCTCTGCTCTACTCAGCTCTGTTCTACTCTACTCAGCTCAGCTCTACTCAGCTCTGCTCTATTCAGCTCTACTCAGCTCTGCTCTACTCAGCTCTGCTCTGCTCTACTCAGCTCTGCTCTACTGAGCTCTGCTCTACTCTTCTCAGCTCTGCTCTACTCAGCTCTACTCAGCTCTGCTCTACTCAGCTCTGCTCTACTCAGCTCTGCTCTACTCTACTCAGCTCAGCTCTACTCAGCTCTGCTCTACTCAGCTCTGCTCTACTCAGCTCTGCTCTACTCAGCTCTGCTCTACTCAGCTCTGCTCTACTCAGATCTGCTCTACTCAGCTCTACTCTACTCTACTCAGCTCTGCTCTACTGAGCTCAGCTCTACTCAGCTCAGCTCTACTCAGCTCTGCTCTACTCAGCTCTGCTCTACTCTACTCTACTCTACTCTACTCAGCTCTGCTCTACTCTACTCTACTCAGCTCTGCTCTACTCAGCTCTGCTCTACTCAGCTCTACTCTACTCAGCTCTACTCAGCTCAGCTCTACTCAGCTCTACTCTACTCAGCTCTACTCTACTCAGCTCTACTCTACTCAGCTCTACTCAGCTCAGCTCTACTCAGCTCTACTCTACTCAGCTCTGCTCTACTCAGCTCTACTCTACTCAGCTCTACTCTACTCAGCTCTACTCAGCTCAGCTCTACTCAGCTCTACTCCACTCTACTTCTGCTCTACTCAGCTCTACTATACTCAGCTCTTCTACATAGTTGTGTTTCCATTACGCTTTAGTATCTGGCACAGTATCCTAGAAACCAACCCACAGTAAACCAGTATTCAGGGAAAGTCCTTGGTAACCATGGCTTCCAGCATCACACCAGCTTGGCGTGGATAAAACCCAGCTCAAGAAGGACTAAAGAAGGACCTGGTACCAGTTAAACAGGGACATTTAAATATTTCTTCTGGTCGTCACAGTTTTTCACCAAAACAAAAACCAGTTTGACTTGAATCATGATGAAACAAGTGAGTCAGATGATCCACCCAGAGACCAAGACCGGGTCTGACTGTATGGGACCAGAACCAAAGACTAAGACTGGGTCTGGCTGGGACCAGAACCAGAGACCAAAACCAGGTCTGACTGAGACCAGATCCAGGCAGAGACCTGGCCCGACTAGGACCAGAACCAGACCAAGACCGGGTCTGACTGGGACTAGAACCAGACCGAGACCACTTTACAACAAGTCACCTTTTACTAAACTTTACTAGACTTTTACTAAACTTACGCTAAACTTTTACTTAAGTGTGTTACATTTTATTTACCCAGAATGACACAAGAGGAGAAGCAGAGGAGGAGCTACAGGAGAAGGAGGGGCTACAGGAGAAGAAGCAGGAGGAGACAGTGAAGGAGGAGCCAGAGGAGGAGCCCACTGAGACTCACAGGTAAAATGCTACATATTTATGTCATGAGGCTAAGAGTATTGGGACCAGTATTGTCCAGGTCCAGACCCAGGTCCAGAATCAGGTCAAGAGCCAGGTCCAGGTCCAGACCCAGGTCCAAACTCTGGTCAAGAGCCAGGTACAGACACAAGTCCAGACTCAGACCCAGGTCCACTACCACTGAGCGCGGTCCTGAACACGAGACCTCAGTGAAAGGAGATAAAGCTCAGTTTGTGACTTTAATGTTTCTCTGTTCACTTTGGGGTTTTCTGGAAATGTTATTATCATTCTCTCATTCACAGAGATCCTCCAACAGAGAGGCCAGCATTGTTCCCTGAGGCAAGTTATCACCTCCTCTCACCTTCTCTCACTTCCTGCTCTTCTCCTCTTCTCACCTCCTCCTCCCTCTCACTTGCCTCCATTATACAGTATGTGCTCTATCTCTCTCCATAGATGTCGTCTCTTCTCGACTCCAAAGTTCAGAAGTTTAAAGTGGATTTGGGCCGAAGGAGGACCAGGATCAGGACACCTCCATCTCTCCGTCTGAAGACCAGAGACCAGCAGGAGGAGGTTCAGCAGGACACACAGCAGGAGGAGGGGATGCGACACAACAGGTACCCTGTAGGAGCCTGTCTCAGTCCTCAGTCTGCAACTACACCATATTAGATTCAATCAAAACATGGTGTAATGTCCAACCGCCACCACCAGAGAGAGCACTTCTCATACTGACCCCAGGCTGAATCCCCATCTGTCCAAAGAGTGTGACCTCAAAGAAGCTCATAGTGACCCCACTATATTCTTTCATTAAAATAACAACAGTGTGTCCTCCACAGATCTGACTCGTCTCCTGTTTGGTTTCAAGCTCTGAAGAACAAAACACATCAACAGCACCTCATCCCACCTCCTCCAGCCTTCTCCACATAACCCCAATTCCCCTCACCGCCTTTTCCAAACAACCCCACCTTCTCCGACCTTCACCACCTCCTTTTCCACCTTCTTGAATGAATTGTTTTGTTATAATTGTTCATCTTTAGTTTGTATTTTCTCATTGGTTTACACATGAAATAAAAGACTTTTTTGTCACATGATATCTGTCTCTATTTGTACAAACGAAGTGACATCACCACAGAGCAGATATGAGGAGTATGCATCACCTTAGCTTCACCCTAGCTGATGTTTAAATAGGCTTCTCTGCATTAAGGTTTATAGGGGCATATGTTCTGTTGCCGTAAGCTTCCCCCATAACAAGGATTTACAAAGATAATATTATATGTGTCACACCCGAGTCTAATTTAATGCAGTTTTATTTTAACTCACAACAAATCTTTAATATAAAATAAACATAATTACAAAGCGCTATCAAAGCAAGCGTGATAGCCTTGTCCTTTCGGGTCGCCTACAGGGGACCCAGGCCAGACATACTGTTTTAATGTTTTTAATTGGGTATAACAAAGGGGAGCACACTGCTCCACTGGCTCCCGGTGTGTTTTAGAATTGTTTTAGAAGATTGTACTGATTATTTCTAAAGCTCGTTTAGGTTATATTCATGAACTTTTAACCCCCTACGAGCCCAGTACAGTACCTTACAGTACAGAGCAGTATCCTCTTTTTAATCCCTTCTTAAAACCCAATTTTATGCAACAGCTTTTCTCTGATAGTTTTTAACTTATGCTGTATTTTACTTTGTCTGTGTTTTGTCTTTCTTCTTGAGTTTCCGCTGTTTGCTTTGTTTTCCTGTAAATTCTGTTTAATATTTTGACTTTGTATAATTATGACTGTTTTTAATGAATATCATGCTGACAGTGCAGCACTTTGTAAACATTGTTTTTGAAAAGTGCTTTACAATTAAAGATGTATTCTTATTATTATTATTGTTGTTATTATTATTATTACTAATAATAATGGTTGGGTATAGACTGTACATGTTGAAGGTTAGATAAGGACACGCTAGGGAAGACTGGAGCAACCTTTGCAGACAAAGGGAAAACAAACAGAGGCTACTAAAAGTGCAGGCAGGCCATTAGTCCAAGCAGGTGTCAAGAGTGACGTAGTATTTATAGTGACAGTCTGCCAGACGCATGAACGTGTTTGTGTTTTCCGCTGAGGAGGAAGCGCGCTCCTCGCTGATTGGTCAAATTGAGATAAACTCCCGCCCTCGACTCAAAACACTCCAATCATAGCGCGCGCTCAGCCGGCAGTGGGAGGGGTCTGTGGGATGTTTGAAAGTTTGGCGGAAGTATGTATGTAGCGGAGTGAAGTGAAAACAGACAGAATCAAACCAGAACTGGACTAAACTAGAGAAGAACCGGACTAGAACTGGACTAAACGGGGCCAAAACCAGACCAGAACTGTACCCGGACCTCTGAGCATGCGTGTATTTGTATGTGTCGTATCCAGGCTTTAAACAGTAGAAACAGCGAATGTGGCGGGTTAGCATTAGGCTAGCACCACGTTAGCATCATCACAGACCTGCTATACAGAGGTTTACAGAGGTAAAGCAGGACGAAACGTTTATATATATATATTTGAAGATGGGCTACGTAACTTTAGCGTTTTAAACAATGCGTAAAGCTGGGGTACGTAACTTTAGTTTTGAACAGAAAAGGTCCTGAAGTAAAACGTGAAAAAATCAGACACAACCTGCAGTCTTATCTTTTGTTTAAGAAAGAGCAATGTGTGTGTCACTATTTGACTCTTTGGGCTGAGAGTTGATTGGCTCAATAAGGGTGGTCCTCTCCATTTCACTTTTCTGTCTAAAAGAGCTGATCAAAAGATGTGACAACTAGTGATCGAAGCAACTGCTATAGAGTCAGGGATAGAGACGTGGGTTTATTACAGATTTCTATTGGTGTGATTTGAAAGTCACATACTTTAATGTTACTTACCCCAGCTTCAAGTAAAGGTTACAGTGTAGGTATGTATACTTGCATCTAATCGCCCTGCTTTGTACTGTGATGAGAGACCTCTGGGAACACCATGTGTTAATATATACAGTCTATGGTCACAGTGGGGCGGATGTAAAGTGCTAAACCGTCGTGTCCTTAGGCAAGAGACTTCACCCACATTAGAGTGTGCCAGGGTAGCTGTGGCTACAGTTTATCACCTCCATGTTTGAAGGGAATTAATAATGAATAGAGCTGTAGAAAACCTAAGCATTACAATTATTACTATCTTGTAATTAACTGGTAAAATAATAGAAAGAATGAAAATAAGTACAATGTTCATTGTATGGAATTGAGCTATAGCCGTTCATGTAGAGGCTAATGCAGCTGTGAGAATGAACTCATTTAGAAGCATGGCTAACCATGAAGAATATCTCATATCTGTTCAGGTGACATTATGTTGATGAAGATGAAGTATGGCTCCTCTGTCACTGACTCCATTACCAGCAGGAGTTCCAGACTGCACCTCCTTCTCCAGGTAACACCCCCCACTCCTCCTGCTGAGTCCTCCTGTTGACTCTTCACTCTTCCGGCTGCCTCCTCCTGTTGACTCCTTATACCTCCTGCTGACTCCTCTTAACTCCTGATAGCTACTCCTCACCCCTGTTGAGTCCTCCTTACTCCTGCTTCCTCACTCCTGCTGACTCCTCCTCACAACTCCTTCTGACTATTCCATACTTTTGCTGACTCCTCCTCACTCCTGATGACTCCTCCTTCCTCCTGTTGACTCCTCCTTACTCCAGTCCTGATGACTCCTTCACTCATAATGACTCCTCCTTTTGCCTAATGATTCCTCCTCACCCCTGATGACTCCTCTTTCACATCTATGTTTGACCTCTTGTGTCTCTTCCTCAGGGCCGTCTCTCTTTGCCTGCTCTCCCTTCAGCAGGAGGAGCATCATGGTCTCTGGGCAGGGAGGAGCTCCTGGAGGCCTTCCTGCTGCTATTCCATGAGTGCTGTTCCCCGCCCCTCATGAAGAACCAGGATGTGGCAATGTTTGTGCAGAGATGTGAGTCCACACGTACTGTAGCATACATATTGCAGTACATACTGTCATATAAATGTTTATGTGTGTGTAGTTACAGACGCAGTCCTCAGCTTGCGGACCCTCCAGCCCTCCCCTCAGGACTTTGAGACTCTGGTGGTAGTGGGTCGAGGTCGATTCTCTGAAGTTCAAGTTGTTCGAGAGAAAAACACAAGAGATGTTTGTGTTCTGAAGGTGATGGAGAAGGAGATGCTGCTGACACATCAGGAGGTAAGTACTTCTGCTGCCAAGGCTTCTACTTCTATTGCTACTACTACTTCTACAACCAGAAGTACTACTGCTCCTGTTGTTACTCCTGCTGCTGTGTGTTGCAGGAGGTGCTGTTTGCAGAGGAGCGCAGGATACTCTCTCTCAGCTCCAGTCCGTGGATCCCACAGCTCCTCTACGCTTTCCAGGACCAGACACGAGTTTATCTGGTGAGTGTGATTCTGTGTGTGTGTGCGGCTTTTTTTGTGTCCTCTCTAACATGGTCTGCGTTACCTTCTCTCTCTAACATGGTCTTCATCTCCTCCTAAGGCTCTCGAGTACCTCCCTGGAGGAGATCTCCTCTCTCTCATGAGTCGTTATGAGGAGCAGATGGACGAGTCCATGGTTCAGTTTTATCTGGCAGAACTTACAGAGGCTGTCCATGCAGTCCACGCCCTTGGCTACGTGCACAGGTGTGTGTCTACACATGTTCTCCCTGGGTCTGTGTTTGCATGTTCTCCCTGTGTCCGCATGTTCTTCCTGGGTTTGCATGTTCTCCCTATGTCTGTGTTTACATGTTCTCTGTTTGTGTGTGTGTTTACCAGGACAAAAGTTACGTACTATAGCCTTAAACACATGTTATTTATGAGACTATGATTACATACCCCAGCTTTAAACATGTGGTTGTTATTATTAGAGATGTGAATCCGGAGAACGTCCTGATCGACAGAACTGGACATATCAAACTGATCGACTACGGCTCAGCGGCACGACTGGGTCCAGACCGGAAAGTGAGAGCCTACCTACTACTGCCTACCCCTTACCTCATATTGCCTACCCCCTACATCATACCGCCGTTCCCTTTACCTTATACTGCCCGACTGCCTACCCCCACCTTACTACCTAGCTCCAACTTCCTTCCCCTACCTCCTACTGCCTACCACCTACCTCATACTGCCTACCCCCTACCTTGTACTGCCTACCTCCTAATGCCTATCTCCTTCCCCCGCCCTCCTAATGCCTACCTTCTACCGCCTCCGTCTTATCACTCTGGTGTCCCTCCTCTTATTACTCCTCAGGTGTCTGGTGTCCCCATCTCTGTGGGGAAGGTAGACTACATGTCTCCAGAGCTGCTGTCTGCAATCAGGGCCCCTGGGGGAGCAGGGGTCAGGGGCCCCTCAGCTGCCGTCAGGGGCCCAGGGTCTCCGTATGGCCCTGAGTCCGACTGGTGGTCTGTGGGAGCTGTGGCCTTTCACATGATGTATGGGAAACCTCCTTTTAGAGACGAGAGCCCGAGTAAAACTGTGGACAACATACTGAGCTACAAGGTAAATGTGAAGACCACACCCTGAGCCCTCTCACTGACTTCTCACTGACATCTCCTCAGACCTCCCTCTCTCCCCAATTTAACTGACTGACCTCTCCTCTGACCCCCCCTCACTCACCTCCCACTGACCTCTCCGCTGACCTCCCTCTTTCTGACCTCTCCTCTAACCCCACTCACTCTTTTTAATGGCTCTGTCCGACCCCCCCCCCCTCTTCTCAGAAGAGTTGGTGGTTCCCCTGACGCCCCCTCTCTCTGACCTCCTTCTCTCTCAGAATAGTCTGCGGTTCCCCTGGCACCCCCTTTCTATGAGCCCTCCTCTTCTCAGCAGATTCTGTGGTTCCCGTGGCGCCCCCTCTCTCTAACCTCCCCTTCTCCCCCTCTCTCAGAAGAGTCTGCGGTTCCCCCGGCGCCCCCTTGTGTCCGCCTCGTGCTCAGACCTAATGAAGAGTCTGTTATGTGAAGCCAGAGAGCGTCTGGATTATGAGAGGATGAGGAGTCACCGGTTCTTCTGCTGCAGCGACTGGGACCTCCTGCAGAGAGGTTACACACCGAGACACACAGACACACCAGTGGGGGCGGGTCCCGGCTCAAAAGTGGCCAAAATGACGTGCGCTGACATGCTTGCAATATCACCCCGAGCCGATGGGGGTGGACCCGGAATAAGAATTAGCCAATGCTAACATATAGCATCGTCTTTCCTCTCGAAAACGTCTTTACAGGATGATCCAAAAGTTGGCTCTTGGCCCATAGCTCCGTTCCACATGTGTATCAATGCTGAGGGGAGTGAATTTTTTGGACCTCTCTAGTTTAGTTGCTGTGAAATTTTGAAGGCACTCGTTAAAGGAATGGGGCTCGTCTGCTGACGCATGCGCAGATGCTTAAGCCTAGTGTAAACTCGCGCGGCGTGGAGCTTACGGAGGTGACGTGACGTCACTTGCGCAACGCGTTGGTCACCGCAAGGCCCTTACGTTGCCTGCCGCGCAGCATCGACATTTTCTAACTACGTAAGGGTCGCCGCAAGGAAGCTCCGCTGTGATTGGTTCGTGTGTGTGTTTTGGAAGGAAGCACGGAGCGGTTGCAGCAGGGACATGGACGAGGCACTATGGAGCAGGGAGCTTCAAGCTTCGAAGGAAAAGTAGTTTGGGCTCATGGCAGAGCCTGATATACGCGGAGACTATAGACTAGAGTTCTGTTGCATATCTAACATATATAGAACTTATAAACTGTGCAGTCGTTTGTTTTGCACTGTTCCTGTCTTGTCTGAATCTGCACTCGTAGCTTATCACGTCTGTTCCATTCCTCCTGCACTTGTAAATAGTTCATGTTTGCCTCAGATATTTACCACTTTTATTGTTTTGCTGTTTTGCTGTCTATGCTAATACAATTTAATAATAAATATGTTTCCAACAAGAAACATATTTCTTGTTGGAAACATACAAGAACCAACAAGAACTGTGTCTTTATTTACAACATCACAGTTAAATTAGTTAAGAAATAATGATTCCATAGAACTATCACATAAACCTACAGTAGAAACACATGTTATGAGCTCAAACAGCTCGGTTTGTTCATGTTTTGTTCTGAAGAGGAGAAAGTAGCAGCGTAAATGAGACCGCTTTGGTGTCTCAAAACTCTGCAAGGAGTATAAATTAAATTGTGCTTGCGTAGGTCCACCGTAACCGCTAACGTAAGCAGCGCGGCGCAAGTATACACTAGGCTTTATTTTCACATGTTCCCGCCCCCGCGGCCATTTTGAAACTGCCCATTGACCGCGGAAATTGTGGCACATTAGTTAGAACGGCGGAGATAGGCGTGACTACGTCCGTTGACATTTACAGTCTGTGAGACTCACACGTACATACAGCTCTGCATACAACTGATTTTATATTTTTTTAATGTACTGTGATTATTTATGATTTTAAAGCCACCCTGTGTAATTTTTGCAGCTGCTCCATATTGAAAAAAAACATCCATCCATCCATCCATCCATTTTCTTCCCTTTAATCCATTTCTGGGTCGAGGGGTGGCAGTCAGTGCACCCATTACACATAGCACCAGCCCTCAGCACCAGTCCTGAAAAAAACATATTAACTAATAACAAATGTGACCTTTTTTTTTTTTTTTTTTGATCAAGTATTTATTGTGTTGCGCTGCATACAGAGATAACAATGGTCACGGAACAGAAAACAAATGCGCAAACATTTTACTTTTTTTTGTTTGTCCCCTCCCTCCCATGGGTCCACCCATCCCAACATAAATACACAAACACACACACACACACATGCACACACCCAGCCCCGCTAACCCCCCCCCACCCCATTCTCCAGGCATCAATAACATTTCATTATTTACAGACACATAATATGGCAAACTTCCTCCGTTATGAACATCCACAGAAGCCGCAGTGTTTACATAGTCTTATGTACACAATAATAAACAAATAGAAAAAGAAGAAGAAAAAAATAATAATTATAATAATAAAGACAAAGCCTTACAGAAAGGGTAAATGAAAATAAAGAACAATAGTTATGGGTTTTACATAGATCTATGTATAATACACTGGTGTATAGTCTATACAAGTTTGGTCAATAAATTAGACCAGCAGATTACATTTACCGCTTTGGCCTTATGAACCCGGGCTGCTGACAGTTCTAATTGAGCGATCTCTCTGTACGAGGAGAGCCATTCCCTCACACTCAGAGGCTGTTTAGTTTTCCAACGGCACACTATAATTTTTTTTGCAGCGGTGAGACCAGCAAACAGTGTGCGATGCTCATTAACAGTTAGATTCAGGTCTGATGTGTCATTCAATATCAAAAGCCTCGGAGTGTGGGGAATATTCTGACCTGTGATGTCAGAGAGGCACGATGAGATTGTGTTCCAGAACTGATGGACTTCAGGACATTCCCAGATCATATGAAGGTACATTCCAATGGTATTGTCTGCACAGTAATCACAGTAAGGGTTCTCTTTTAGCTTCATCTTATGTAATTGCCTTGGAAATAAGTAGGACCTGTGGATACATTTATAATGAATCATTTGGTGATTTGGATTTCTCGATGATAGTGATAAGTTGGACCAAATTTTAGACCAGTCCCAAACGGTATAGTCATTTAAATCTGATTTCCAAAGTGATTCAATTGGCAGACGATTACATTGTGATTTTGAGATACATTTATATAATTTGGAGACAATACCATTGAGTTTCCCTTGGCCCAGGATAGAATGGAATGGGTGGTCTGGGAGGTAGCACCCCCATGGGACCCCCTGAGCCTGCATAGCAGTCCGTAGCTGAAGATAAAAAAAGAATGACGAGCTTGGTAAATTGTAAGAAGTTCTAAGATCTTGAAATTCCCTTAGTCCATCTGGCCCTGTGATGTCTTTCAAAGAATGGATTCCCTTGTGTTCCCACTGGGGGAAAGATATTGTTTTTTTGCCTATTAAGAGTAGATGATTGTTAAAAATTGGTGACTGTAGGTGAAATATATCACTGTTTTTAGTGAACCGGTTCACCCTGTTCCAGGTCGTCACCAGGTGGGTAATGATGGGACCATGGTCTTGTTTTATCATTTTCATTGGAATGTTGGAGTAGATAAAACTTGACAAGTTATATGGTGACCTTTTAAAGAATATTTACCTCCACCATGTTTTTTTAATTGTATTCATGGGCTTAGAATTTAACTTATAAGTGTCCATGAGAGAGGAGTGCTCTCTGTGTATATGCACCATCTTGGAAAACGGTGGTGGATAAGGGACAAAAAGGATGCGAGAATCGCGTCACTGATATCGTTGCTTTCACCGTGCCTTCACAAGATGGAAGAAGACCACAGTTATATAAGAGAACCATGGAGGACCACAGTTATGTAAAAGAACGATTCAAACAACAATCTTTCAGAAAAATAATTATGCAGAAGTCCAGCGTCATAGCAGCAAAGTGTCAACATCGCAAACCACACGCACAAAGACAGCGTTAACACAACAGGCAAGGCAAGGCAAGTTTATTTATATAGCACAATTCATACACAAGGCAATTCAAAGTGCTGAACAAAACAAGAAAGCATTAAAATCATAAATTATCACAGAATACAGGAGTCCAGTCCCTGTGCTCCTCAGAGTCCGGGCTGGTTCATATGGGACTAACATGTCACTAATATATTTTGGTGCGAGGCTATGGAGAGACTTGTACACAAGCAGAGCTGTTTTAAAGTCTATTCTCTGAGCCACAGGAAGCCAGTGCAGAGACCTGAGAACTGGACTAATGTGGTCGTACTTCCTGGTTCTAGTCAGGACTCGAGCTGCTGCATTTTGAATGTACTGCAGCTGTTTTACAGCCTGTTTGGACAGACCTGTGAGCAGGCCATTGCAGTAGTCTAACCTACTGGAGACAAATGCATGGATAAGAATCTCCAGGTCTGCTTTAGACACTATGTTTTTGATCCTGGCAATGTATTTTAGATGGTAAAAAGCTGCTGATGTTACTGATTTGATGTGGCTATTAAAATTTAAGTCTGAGTCCAGTATTACCCCTAGATATCTGACCTTGTTTGAAGGTTTTAGGGAGAGAGACTGTAGGTGACAGATGACGCTCTCTCTTTGTTTCTGGGGACCAAAGACAATCATTTCAGTTTTGTCTGCGTTTAGCTGAAGGAAGTTGTTTTGCATCCACTCACTGATCTGTTGGATACAGTGAAGGAGTGAGTCCACTGGTCCATGTTCTCCTGCAGTCAGTGAGACAGGAGGCACGTTGTGTAGTTTGTACACAACAGACTCACACGCGACTGTCAATGCCCGAGACGTTTGGAGAGATCCGGTCTTTTATCAAACTAAAGTATTCTTTCCTTGCAGTCTGGTGAATGACTGAGAGTTGAGCCTCAACTCAAAGGCTTCCGTACTATATTGGACTGCAATATAAGATCTAAACGCTAGATGGCACTAAAAATTACACCGTGTACCTTTAATGCCTTGTGTTTCTATCTTGTTTTGTTCAGCAATTTGAGTTGCCTTGTGAATTGTGCTATACTAATAAACTTGCCTTGCCTTACAGAGACAGAGAAATACAAAAACACAGAGACAGAGAGATACAAAGACACAGACACGCATGGACACACATAGAGATAGACATAGACGCAGGAAAACACACACACAGAGACAAACAGACACACGCGCTCAGACAAACAGACACGCACAAAACTGTTGTGAATGAAACATTTGGCAAGAAACTCATTCATAATTTCAACATTTTTTCAGTCTCTCCTCTCACTCACCCTTGTCTCTTCTTTCTCACTCCCCCTTGTCTCCTCCTTCCTTCCCCCTCGTCTCTCCTCCATCTCCCTTACCCTTGTCCCCTCCTTCCTCATCTCTTTTCTCTCTCTCACTTACCCTTGTCTCCTTCCTCCTCCCCCACTCGTCCCTCCTCTTTCTCCCTCACTCAGTCTTTTCTTCTCCCTCGTCTCTTCTCTCCTCCCCCTCATCTCTCCTCTCTCTCTCTCTCACTCACCCTTGTCTTCTCCCTCCTCGTCTCTCCTCTCTCTCACTCTTGTCTCCTCCCCCTCGTCTCTCCTATCTCTCTCACTCACCCTTGCCTCCTCCCTCCTCTCCTCTCTCTCTCACTCACCCTTGTCTTCTCCCTCCTCGTCTCTCCTCTCTCTCTCTCTCTCTCACCCTTGTCACCTCCCTCCTCGTCTCTCCTCTCTCTCACACTCACCCTTGTCTCCTCTCTCTTCAGCCGTACCTCCGTTCGTTCCCGCGCTCGCCTCTGAAGATGACGCGTCGCATTTTGAGGAGCTCCCCACCTCCTCCCCCACCTCACCCCCCTCCCCCCTCTCCCCCGCAGGCTTCGATGGACGGGACCTGCCCTTTTTAGGCTGGTTCTACTGCCGCGCACTCAAGGCACTGGCCACAAAAGAGTAAGTCTATATACACACACAAGCGCGTGCGTGTGTCTGTGTGCAAACCCACACACACTCACACACACAAGGACCTGCTGCAGCACCGTCCGCTCTTCTATGACTGCTACTTTACATGCGGCTCAGACTCTCAGCCGTGTGTGTGCCTGTGCCTGCGTGTATGTGTGTGTGTGTGACTGCGTGTGTGCGCATACTGCGCTGTTGTGGTGCAATTGTGCTCGTCACACAGAGGTGGGATTCCCCTCTGCTCTTCTGTTATTCATCTCTTTCATGTGATGCGGCTGCACTGGCTGACTCTCATTCATAATCTACATACATCTAGAGAGGAGGAGGAGAAGGGGAGAGAGAGGAGGAGAGAGAGGAGAAGAGAGGAGCCGATCTGAGCACTGTGATTGCGGGAGGCTGAATGTGCACACAGGCTCACATACACACAGTTCTTCTGTCTGCGCTGCTTTTCTCTCATTATTAGAGTTTATGGTGAGAGCTCCGTCTGTGTTCATTTCACAGCTTCAGTCTAAACACCCTTTGTGTTTGTGTGTGCGTGAGCATGTGTTTGTTTTTCTGTTTGTGTGTGTATCTCTGTGCGTCTGTGTTTTTGTGTGTGTTTCTCTATGCTCTCAAAATCTGTTGTGTCTGAATGAATGAATGACTCACTTGTATTGAAAATGTGGTCTGGCTCCGCCTCCTCCACCTCCTCTGAGCCTCCTCCAGTCTCACCTCCTCCCTGACAATAAATAAAACAACTTTCTTGAACAAGGAAACATTTATCTTGGCCAAATCTCAAAACAGCCCCTCCGCTTGTCCCATTGGTTTTACATGCGCCTCCTCTGCACCTCCTCTTCTGCACCTCCTCAGTGTTTTGGCAGAGCTGGTGCAGAGGGGAGGGGCTCTGCTGTATTTCCCTGTGCTGTCGTCATGGTAACTGTGGTGCAGGGACCCCGCTCACTCAGACTGAACAGACTGAGGGTAAATATAGAGCGGTGGGCATCCGGCTCTCCTGACACACGCTGGGTTTAAGTCAGACTGAGCCGTGTGAGTCACTATCTGCCTTTTTGGGGTTCTCCGCCTGGGTATATCATGAGCATTGCTTGTACAGGTGCGAAAGTACTCATAGATCCTGATGTTTACGACCACAAAAACAATATTACGAAAGACCAGACTTGGAGGGAGGAGACATGGGCGAGGAGAGGAGAGGTGAGGAGAGAGGAGAGATGGGTGGAGAGAGAGGAGAGATGGGTGAGGAGAGACAAGGAAGAGGAGAGATGGGTGAGGAAAGACAAAACATGGGTGAGGAGAGAGGGGAGACGCGTAAGGACAGAAGGCAGGAGAGGAGAGACAAAGAGGCAGGAAAGGGGAGACCTGCTGTGGTCGTAGGAGACCAACATTAACGTTGTCATCAGTGCTGTGGACAGAGGAGACAAATAGGGAACCTAGTCCAAATGCAAAACAAGGAAGCAAACACACAGGACAAAAAGTCACTGCTGACGTGCGCTTGAATCCTCAGGTCGGTGTCTTCGAGCCTCAACTCTCCAGCTAAAGTCAACTCTATGGAAAAGAAGCTCCAGTTGAAGTCCAGAGAGCTGCAAGAAACACAAGACAAATGCCACAAGGTAAGAGAGGGGGGCAAATGGAGGGGTTTCTCTCTCTCGTCTGTTTCTGGTCTTTTTCAGGTCTCTCTCTCTGGTCTCCCTCTGGTCCCTCTCTGGTCTCCCTGATCTCTCTCCTCAGATCCATAGTCTCATGTGTCTTCAGATGGAGCAGGACCTGTCCCGTTTTCAGAGGACCATGACTGATCTGGAGTCAGTCCTTCAGCAGAAAGATGTGGAGCTCCAGGCCTCCGAGTCTCAGAGGAACATTCTGGAACAAGACCTGGCAACCTACATCACTCAATGTAGTGTGAGTACTACTGGTTCCACGGCTACTGCTACTACTGCGCCCACTACTACTACTGCTGCTGTAAACACTCCTTCCTCCCTCAGAGCCTGAAGAGGAGTTTGGAGGAGGCGCGGGTGGAGGTCTCCAGAGAAGATGACAAAGCTCTTCAGCTGCTTCAAGACATCAGAGAGCAGAGCAACAAGCTGCAGGAGATCAAGGAGCAGGTGAGAAAAGGAGCTACTACAGCTACTACTCCTACTGCTGCTTCTACTAGTACTACTACCGCTTCTGCTACTACTACTAATCTCTTATGCATCTTTGTGATGGGACACATTATAGTCATGTATTATCTCATCCCATGACAACAGATAAGAAACAACATGGGGCCCAGGATCGATCCCTGGGGGACACTCCCATTCTCAACACAATATTTCCTATCTCAATTGCCACCTGCTTTTCTGGACTCTGCAGGAGGGTCCCTTGATCAATGCTTAGGGTTAGAGTTACACCTCCTATGGTTAGGGCTAGGGTTACCTCCTCAGGGTTAGGGTAACTCACACCTCCTCTCACCTCCTCTACATGAGGCTCAGTGATCAATAGTGAAGGCTGCACTGAGATTACCAGCACTTTCCTCAAGTCTGTGCTAAGACAAATGTTCATCACCTTAATCCACTGTCTCTTCCTCTCTCCTTGTCTCTCCTCTCTTATCAATTCCTCTGTAGGAGTACCAGGCTCAGCTGGTGGAGATGCAGGAGACCATCAGACAGTTGGAGGAGGACCTGTCCGCCGCCCGCCGCCGTAGTGACCTGTATGAGTCGGAGCTGCGGGAGTCCAGACTCATGGGGGAGGAGCTAAAGCGGAAGGCTGTGGACTATCAGCAGCGGATCATCAAGGTGTGTGTGTATTTGTTCTCTCCGCTCCTTTATTATGTTTCTAAATCTGCTTGTATCATGCGGCTTATTTGTTCTAAAAAATAACCAGAACAAGTGAAATTCTTGAAGTAGAAGGTATGTTTTATGGACCAGAGAGAGACACCAGAGCAAAAGATACACACCAGAAAGAGTCCTCTGAACTAATCATTGCTGTGCCGACAAGCCACAAAAGATTTCTTGTGTCAGTGAAACAACGAAAGGTTAACCGTGATATAGGGCTGGGCAAAAAAGTAAAATCTCAATTTTGTTTCCTGCTTTGGACGATTTCGATTCTAAATCAATTTTCATTAAAGTCACCGAAGAGTCACAGTCTTGTACAGACTGTGCTGATATTGCAAGTATTATTCATGTGCTGCTGGAACTCACAATATCCTTCATTCTATTTCATGATTTTCACATTTTTCACAAATTAGATTTTTTCAAAATCCCGATTAATTGCCTAAATTCGATTTATTGCCCAGCCCTACTGTGATACAGTGAGCGACCAGTGTACAAGATTTTAACTCCAATCTAAACTCTAAAATGTGCGTGTTTGTGTGTGTGCATTTGTGTTTCAGGCTAAAGAACAGGGCAAAGCTGAAGTGGAGGAGCTGCTCAGCAAACTAGAGAAGGTATGATGCCACGCCCACTCTCGTCTGACCTTTTGGGTTCGGATAGATTTAAAATAATGACTTTTGGTTTTCAGACAAATTCTGAGCAACAGGTGAAGATCCAGGAGCTGCAGGACAAACTGTCCAAGGTCAGAACATCCCCTCCTCTCCTCCCTCACCCTCCTCATCCCCCCCTTGTTTTATCTGTCAGAATCATGTTCTCCACCTGAAATCTGGTTCTCTCTGGTTCTACTCGGGGAGCAGGCAGTGAGGGCAAGCTCAGAGGCCACAGATCTGCTTCATAACGTCCGCCAGGCAAAAGAGCGACTGGAGACGGATCTGGAACGACTCAAGGGAAAGAATGACAACAACGACACACTACGGAAACGACTGCGAGAAACTGAGGTATCACACACACACACACACACACACCAGTGTTTAAGACCACATCACTCCGGTGTTTAAGACCACGTTACCCCAGTGTTTAAGAGCACACTTGCGATTTGAAAACACGTTTGGAAATTATATCAGATGGCCTCCCGTGTCAGCAGGAGGGCAGGAAGACGCTGCAGAACCAGGTGAAGCGTCTGGAGATGGTGGAGAGGCGGGAAAATAAACTCAAAGATGAAATTACCACCAAGTCCCAACAGATTCAACAGATGGCTCACAAAATACTGGTGAGTGCTGCTATTGCTGCTGCTGATGTGTAACTTTAAAATAGACTATAATTTAATGTTGTGCTCAGAGATGTGTGTTGCTACAATGATGGCAGAGCTATGGTGATTGCTGTGTGTTGCTATGGTTATTGACTGCATCGCTAAACCACTAACTTTCATTTGCAATTTATCTTTACAAACTGGAGTTATCCCAGAAAGAATGAAAATTGCTGTTTTTGAAAAAAGTTTTTCCTCGTTTCAAAAATGGTGACAATCAGTTTAAATAATTTCAGACCTGTATCACTTCTCTCAAAATTCTCAAATTCTTGAAAAATGATTTGTACAAAAATTAACTCATTTTATAGATGAACATACATTAATCAGTGAAAAACTATATGGATTTAGAAAACGGCAATCAACTGGATTGAAATTCTCGATGCAACTGAAAGAACGGAATATACTGTGGGGGTATTCATTGATCTGTGTCCATTAATAATGAACTGTTACTGTTAAAACTGCAGAGGTATCAGGGGGCTTTTTATTCTGTTTATCAATGACATCTGTGAATCTTCAAACATCTTACAATTCTTGTTTGCTGATGACGTGAAGTATATACCACTCTGGAAACCATGTAAGTGACATACATGTAACCATCGCAAAGGAAATGGTCAAAGTAAGAAATTGGTTTACAGACAATAAATTGAGCTTAAACTGGGATAAAACATAATGTATGATTTTTGGGAACAGGGTAAAAAAAATACATCTCTAAAATTGCCATTGATGGAGTAAGCTTCAAAAGAGAAACAGAGCTAAACATTTTAGGAGTCATTCTGGACAAAAAGTTAAACTGGAAATCTCATAATAACTGTGTTTAAAAGTAAAATAAGTAAAAGTATCGATATTTTTTAGAGCTAAATATTTAATTGTAAGTCTCTCCACATAATGTATTGCTCCTTGATATTGCCATATTTGACATAAAGTGCCGCTGTCTGGGGGAACACTTATACTACAAACACAAACAAAAAAAGTTATTAGAATCCTCAAACAAAAAGGGCTTCAGAGAGCACACAAATAACTTGTTTATAAAATCTTGAGTCTAAAGATCTGGTTGATCTTCAAATGTTGTTATTGTGTGGAAAGCCAAACAAACTATTGCCTGAAAATGTTCAAGAGAGGTTCAAATTTATATCACAGGACTTGAACCAAAGAAGAAAATATGGTTTAAAAACTGCATTTTCAAGAACCTCGATGAAACAGAAGTGTGTGTCTTTATTTGGTTTTTGATTATGGGACGCCCAGAGTGACTCACTGAAATGTGCATCTAATATCTTCCATTTTAAAAAATGTATAAGGACAAAATGATGACTGATATTTTTGTTTTCTTCATATTCAAAGTGTGCAATAAGTTTGCCGTTATTGAATAGAAAGGAAAAATGCTAGATTGGAGACGGATAATGTTGGGGGTGAAAATGTGAAAATGTTTTTGCAGCCAGCAAAACGAGGGACAGGGTTTATAAGGCGTGTCTTCCTTCTGTTCCTATTTGTTGATGTTGCACAAATGTAAAGGGAATATACATGATGTAAGTATGTAATATGGCATGGACAAATAAATAATGAATGGCTCAAGGGAACCTGTAATTTAACATATACGCATTAATATAATTTAACATAATACGTTTTAAACAGTATTCATCAGCTGTAGTTTTTGGAGTGTGGGAGATATTAATTTATAGACACTTTATTTATTTTTTTACATTTTGGAATTTCAATCTACAAGTAGGTTTCAATTTTTGCTTACATTTAACTGCAGAAAAAACATTGATTATAATTTTCTAAAACAACTACAATTAGGATGTACAGAGTTTAATACTTTGGACAAATCCTGGTGAGAACAGGATTAAAGTCATTATGGAGTTAATGCTACTAATGCAGCTAATTCTATCAGTTCTACGATTACTATGGCTACTGCTACTTCTGCTGCTACTACAACTACTACTGCTGCTACTGCTCCTCTAACTACTGCTGCTACTATTTCCTCTGCTACTACAACTACTACTACTACTAGTACTGTGACTACTACTGCTGCTGCTTGTATTCTGAGTTTGAGCATGAGCCGCTTCAGCCTCAGGGAGCTGCACCTCTTCCATGTGAGTGAGGATTACAGTCAAATATTCTGGATCAAACCATGAGACATTTACTTTGGATTTTTATGTTTCAGATTATGTAAAAAAAAAAAGTATTATAAGAAAAGAGATGTCTCATGAGTTCGTGGTTCTTCTTGTGTTCAGGAGCTGGAGCAGAACCTCCGTGAGGCTCAGTCTACGGCTCAGAGGATGGAGACTCAACTCCTGCAGAAAGAGCTGCTGTTTGAAGACAAGATCAAGGTAAGAGCCTGCCAAGAACCAGCCAGGGGAAGTAACAAATAAGTAACTGACCATAAGGTGAAGTGAAAACCAGCCAGGGGAACGGAGTGCTCTCAGGTCCTCGAGGCCCAGATGGATGGTGTGTGGTCAGATTTCACACAGAGTATTTTCTCAGGTCCTAGAGGCCCAGATGAAGGTGGATCTTGCAGAGAAAGACACTTTAGAAACTCGACGAGTTCAACAGGAAACAGAGACGAGAGAAAATTGCAAAGTGATCAGCGAACAGAAGGCCGTGAGTACAAGTACTGCTGTTACTACTACTACACAACTACTGCTATTGCTACTATTACTGTTACTGCTACTACTACTACTACTTCTATTATGACTGCAACTACTTGCTACTGCTACTACTATGTCTACTCCAACTACTACTTATTTTCATGTTTTTGCAGACGATCAATGCCATGGACTCTAAAATGAGGAACCTGGAGCAGCGAATTGCTGAGCTGTCCGAGGCTAACAAGCTAGCGGCTAACAGTAGCATTTACACTGAGAAGAACATGTGAGTGTGTAGCTAACCAGCTAGCGACTAACAGTAGTATCCTAAACACAGCTTTAGAGCCCTCTCCTGTATGTGTGTCTGTAGGAAAGCTCAGGAGGAGATGATCTCCGAGCTCCGGCAGCAGAAGTTCTATCTGGAGTCTCAGTCGGGGAAACTGGAGGCTCAGAACATGAAGCTAGAGGAACATCTGGAGAAGATCAGCCAAGAGGAGGTCACGAGGAGGAGCAGAGTGACGGAGTTGGAGACACGGCTGAGGGAGGTGAGGAGGAGGAGGAGCAAAGTGATGGATCTCGGGGTGAGCCAGGGTGGGGAAGAGAAGAACTATGTCTAACTATTGTTTTATCTTCAGCTCGGCCTCCAGCACGAAGAGGAGAAGCTTCAGATCAAACACCAGCTCTCAGATCTGAACATCTCCCTCCAGGAGCGAGAGTCTCAGATTAGCAGCCTCCAGGCAGCAAGACTGGCCCTGGAAACCCAACTCCAGCAGGCCAGGGAGGAGCTGGAGGAGACCACAACAGAGGCTGAGGAGGAGATCACTGCTCTGAGGGTAAGTAGGAGAGGGGAGGATGAGGGCCTGGTACTAGCAGGCCAGGGAGGAGCTGGAGGAGACCAAGACAGAGGCTGAGGAGGAGATTGCTGGGTAAGGAGGTGAGAGGATGAGGAGACCACTGATCTGAGGATAAGGAGGAGGTGAGAGGAGGAAGAGATTTACTGCTCCTTCTCCTCTCACCTGTCATCTTGTGTTTTGTTTCAGAATCACAGAGATGAAATCCAGAGGAAGTTTGACACACTGAGAGAGAGCTGCTCTGTGAGTCACACAAACACATCAGGATACAAACACTCACATTCAGCCTCTCTCGCGCCTCCTTCACGTGACAGTAGTCTCTCTTACAGGTCATAACAGAGCTGGAGGAGCAGCTCACTCAGATCTCTCAGGAGAACGCAGAGCTGAACAGACAGAACTTCTATCTCTCCAAACAACTGGATGAAGCTTCCGACGAGACAGAGGAGCGTCTGCACTTGAGCGAGGAGGTACAGGAGCTGCGGAGGGAGGCGCACGAACGAGAGGCGCACCTGAGCAACCACAAGCAGGTGAGGAAGTGCATCTGAGCAATTACAAACTCTCTGGCCTCTCTCTGGTCTCAATCTAGTCCTTTTTTCCTTATCAGAACATTGAGACCCTGAAGACCACCTGTACAATGCTGGAGGAGCAGGTGGTGGCGCTAGAGAGTCTGAATGACGAGCTGCTGGAGAAGGAGCGGCAGTGGGACATGTGGAGGTCTGCTCTGGAGGATGAGAAGGAGCAGGCTGAGAGAAGGAGCAGGGACCTCCAGAGGACCCTGGAGGAGGAGAGGAAGAACAGGTGAGAACTAAGAACCAGGAGGATGAGAAGAAGTAGGCCGAGAGGAGGAGCGGGGACCTCCTGAGGAGGAGAGGAGGAACAGGTGAGAGCTAAGAACCAGGAGTAAGAACAGGGACCTCCAGAGGACAATGAAATAGAAGCAGAGAAACAGGTGAGAACGAAGAACCAGGAGGAGGAGGCTTTGAGGGGAAGCAGGAACCTCCAGAAGACCCTGGAGGAGGAGAGGAGGTTCACTCTGTGTTGTGTGTGCAGGCTGCGTGCAGACCAGCGCAGTTCCGAGTCTCGCCAGGCGGTGGAGCTGGCGGTCAAAGAGCACAAAGCAGAGATCATGGCTCTGCAGCAGGCGCTGAAGGAGCAGCGGCTGAAAGCCGAGAGTCTGTCAGACACCGTGAGTGCTCAAACTGTATAAGATGTTTATGAGGAGTGTGACATCGCAACAGTGTTAGCGTATTTGTGAAGTGACCCATTTAAAAATAAGATAGCTGGAGCTAGTTTCCTTTAAGGGCATTTATTAGTCTAGCGCTGTATTAGTCTAGCGCTGTAACAGGAGCGGATGTGTTGCTAAGGCAAGATGGAGTTTCCCCGTGATTGAAGCCCTCGGATTGGGCTCATATCCGATTTACAAAGACAATATCACAATATAAACACAAAGATCGCAGTGAGGGTTAAACCAAAATGGTGAGTGTTTCACAAAAAATTCATTAGGAGACAGGGTGATCTGGAGCAAGCAGATTGTAGAATTTTTTTTACATGTTCTTTTAGTTCTTGTGCTAACCCTGTGTGTGTTGTGTGTGTGGATGTGTTCAGCTGAACGATCTGGAGAAGAAACACACTATGTTGGAGATGAACGCTCGCAGTCTGCAGCAGAAACTAGAGACAGAGAGGGAGCTGAAGGAGCGGCTAATGGAGGAGGTGAGAAGGACAGGCGGAGGAGAAGACTAAACTCACCAGGGCCCGCCTGGTGGTGGACTGTGGTACTGCAGACTAAACTCACTTGTTGCATGTTCTCCCTGTGCAGCAAGCCAAGCTGCAGCAGCAGATGGACCTCCAGAAGAACCACATCTTCAGATTGACACAGGGACTTCAGGACGCTTTGGACCAAACAGACCTTCTGAAGAGTGAAAGGAGTGAGCTGGAGCTGACCCTGGAGAACATGCAGGTACCGACTTCCAACCAGGTCTCAGCCAGGTCTCAGCCAGGTCCCAGCCAGGTCCCGGCCAGGTCCCAGCCAGTTCCCAGCCAGGTCCCAGCCAGGTCTCAAATCTGTCTAAAGCAGGTCTGGTCTCTTTCAGGCAGTGTATTCACATGAGAAAGTGAAGATGGAGGGAACCATCTCCCAACAAACCAAACTCATCGACTTCCTGCAGGCCAAGATGGACCAGCCGCCCAAGAAGAAGAAGGTAATATACTACTGCTCCCTGTCTGCTCTGCTTTAGTTATTTCAGATTGGTCTGCTTTGGTCTGCTTTAGACTGACGTGGTCTCTGTCCTCAGGGGATCTTCGGTCGTAAGCGGGAAGATGTTGGCACCACCACAAATGGAGCGGTGACTCCGGTGCCTGTGCCCACTGTGCCTCTGCCGTACGCCGACATGAAGATTGCCCTGGAACGAGAGAGGAGCCGCTGTGGAGACCTGGAGGAGGCTCTACAGAGGATGAGGATGGAGCTGAGGTCTCTGAGAGAACATGGTAAGTACATACACCTGGAGGAGGCTCTACAGAGGATGAGGATGAAGCTGAGGTTTGACCTCCATCTTCATCCACACACCTGTGTGTGTAGCGGCCCATTATAATGTGGGGTTGTCTGTGTGTGTAGCGGCCCACTATAAGGCCCAGGACTTGGGGCCCTCCACACCAGCTCCTCCTCGACACCCGGTCCTGATGAGCACCAAAAGTCCAGAGCATCAGCCCAACACAATCACTGAGGGTAACTATTCACACACAAACACACGCACACTTTGCACACACATATACGCACCACACACACGCACACACACGCACACACACACACATACACACTACTCTTTGTTAAAGCAGATGTATGATCTTCCCCGCCTTGGTTGGGTTCTGTTGGGCTCGGGCCAAGATCTCCAGCTCTAATCCTATCTTAGTCCTGTTTTAGTGCTGGTTTAATCCTGGTTAAGACCTGGTTTGGACCTCTTGTCTTTGAGTGTCTTCCCTAGGCCTGTCGCGATAGTCAATAAATCAATTAATCGCACGATAAATAAAATTTGCTCAATAACTTTTCTGGCCGCGATAAATCCCATTTGCATGCTTGTTTGTTTCCCCCGTCTCTCTCGGGTCAGAGAGCCGCAAAGTGGTCACGGGAACACTAGCAGTCTAGCAAGCAGACGGAAATTACTCAAAAATACAAAATACAGCCAAAACAGGACCTAAACCAGGACTTAACCAGGATTGACAATGGGGGACACAGTAGTTGTGAACATATGCCAGCAGCTGAGTTCTCATTCAGGCTTGATTAGTGACTATACTAGCGCAGCTAGCGTTAGCGTGTTCGCCGATGCAGAAGTACCGTACCATACCAATAAAATAAACTTATGGCGCACCTCCGTGAACACATACTGCTGTTATATAAAGTCTCTAGAAGGTCTCTGAACACAGAGATGCTGCAGACTTGCATTCTTGGAGTAGAACTTTACACAAAAAACCCGCTAGCTTAGCTGTTAGCATCAAAGCCCGCCCCGCTACTTCCGGTGGGCGCTACCGTAGCAGGACTTCTGTACGCCCCATTGGTGAACCCACATGTCAGTCACTTGTCATTCGCCTGGTGTGTGGGGAGGTGGGACTACTCCTGAGAGATCCTGTCTTAAGCCACACAAAGTCAACATGTTGGTATTTCTTTCTCGTAATCTGCCATAAAGTCTGAGAAATTATTGACATTTGAGGCATCTGTTTCATATTTTCTTTACAAAGGTCCTGGCAGTTTTATTCCTGGTCATTTTTTGTTAAGAGACTGAGTCTATTTTATGTATTGTTTTTGGTTGTTAATTTATTGTGTTCTAGCGTTAAATATTCGTTAAAAATAAAAGTTTATTTCTCTTTGAAAAGGTGTACCTACATTATCATTGTAATCGATGCAAATGATCTCAGAACGACAATATAATCGCTTATCGCAATAATTTCTGAGACAATTAATCGTCCAGCGAAATTTGTTATCGTGACAGGCCTAGTCTTCCCCTTTGCTGACCTCTATGTGGTTCACTGATTGGTTCTGAGCTCTGACTGCAGATGCTGGTCCGTCTTTACCTCGGTCCGATGATGCATACAGTGCCTTGCGAAAGTATTCGACCAGCTTGAACCTTTCAACATTTCGCCACATTTCAGGCTTCAAACATTAGATTTTTTGTCAAGGATCAACAACAAGTGGGACACAATCGTGAAGTGGAACGAAATTTATTGGATAATTTAACCTTTTTTAACAAATAAAAAACTGAAAAGTGGGGCGTGCAATATTATTCGGCCCCCTTGCGCTAATACTTTGTAGCGTCACCTTTTGCTGCAATTACAGCTGCAAGTCGCTTGGGGTATGTCTCGATCAGACGACCAGAAGACACACACCAGAGCTCTTGCCACGGCGCCATCTTTACGGCGCCATGCGACAAACAGTAGAATAAACAGCAGAGAGCAATAACATACAGTTTCACAGACAGTTGGATAGACACATTGTGCTTTGTATAAACCACAGATTTTTTTCTCGGGATGAGCACCTCCGACTGCCGGCCCAATGTGGCTGTCAGAGGGCGGCAGGGTCAGGGAGGGGGTGAGTCGGAAACACAATGAGGAGTGGAGGGGAGGGAGGGAGCAAGATGGATAGGTAGAGGGAGGCGGGGGAGGGATCCGAGCTGGAGACTGAAATTGTTGTAGATGGGACCTTGTTATTATGGCCTTGGCCGAGGAATGTGAGATAAGAGTGGAGAGAAGACACAGCAGGAGAAAAACACATCGCCTGAGAGGGACAATATTGTATGCAATGTAGCAGTCAAAAGCAGGCAGATATTCAATTAAATCCAATTAAACCGAATTGCGGCGCCCTCAGACCTCCGTACACAGGGGCAAATCCAAGCCGGGTCAGAGAGTTCAAGCCTGACACACTCAATTGTGTCATTCAATCTCATCTCCAATGTTTTAATGTTTTATTCCCTTCGAGTGAACGAGCTGCGAGGTCTTTTTATTTTTTTTATTTTTTTTTTTTTTTTGTAATGCAGCTGGATTCTGTTTACTTGTTCATGAGGCACAGACACTTTAAATGCTGTGAATAAAGAAATATGAATACGAATTTTGGATATTTCTGCAAGATTGTGTTGCTATTTTTTTTTTTTCATACTTTATTGTGTCATCTTCATTAGTTCACACTGTTTTCTTAATACATACAGCTTAACCAGACACATTTTAATTTCTTTTTTTTTTTTTTTTTTTTTTTTTTTACCCCACTATGCTCCCCTTGTGTCAAAAAAACAAAAACAAAGGTTAAAACAAAACAAAGCAAAACAAATACATAGACAAATAAGGAGAAAGTATGTATATATACGCCAAAATAAAATATATATATATTCTTTCCCCCTTTCTCCTAAAAAATTGATCCCCTCTCACCTCCTCTCTCCCCTTTCTCCTCCTCTTTGACCTCCTCTGTCCCCTTTCTCCTTCTCTCCTCCCTCTTTGTCTCCTCCTCAGGTCCTTTGAGGCCCTCAGTGCACTGACCTCTTTTGTCCTCTCCCCTCCCCCGTCTCTCCTATACTCTGACTTCCTCTCCTCTCTCGTCCCCTCTGACCTCCTCTCTCTCGTCCTCAGGCCCTGTCCTTAGACGCCCTCAGTGCCCTTGGTGACCTCCTCCCTGAGGCAGAAGCCCCCAAACCTGAGGCTCCGGTTCGCCCTGAAGACCTGGTGTCGGTGAGATCTTTGGCCTGGTCTTCACAAACAAAGTTCTGGTTTGAAAATTATGTTGTGTCTGTGTTCAGGAGGTCACCGTGGAGGAGGAGGAGGGGGTGAGGGTGGGAGAACGAGAAGACACCTTACCTCCAGAGTACAGACTGAAACCAGGAGAGAAGGAGGCCATCCAGCCTCCACCACAGGTACCAGAGACCAGATACCAGGGACCAGAGAGGGGACCAGAGAGGGGACCAGAGAGGGGACCAGAGAGGGGACCAGAGAGGGGACCAGAGAGGGGACCAGAGAGGGGACCAGAGAGGGGACCAGAGAGGGGACCAGAGAGGGGACCAGAGAGGGGACCAGAGAGGAGACCAGAGAGGAGACCAGAGAGGAGACCAGAGAGGAGACCAGAGAGGAGACCAGAGAGGAGACCAGAGAGGAGACCAGAGAGGAGACCAGAGAGGAGACCAGAGAGGGGACCAGAGAGGCCGTATGTCGAGACATTGCGCTCACATCTGTCCAATGTTTCTCTCAGACTTCCCTGGACTCAGACCAGGCCCTGGACTTCCTGTGTGGAGATTTCAGCTCACCTGCTCCAGCTCAGGTACAATTGACACTGAGACCAGAGTGTGGTCAAGTGTGGTCAAGTGTGGTCAAGTGTGGTCAAGTGTGGTCAAGTGTGGTCAAGTGTGGTCAAGTGTGGTCAAGTGTGGTCAAGCGTACTGGAACACAGTGTTTGAATGTTCCTTCTCCATGATTACTGTGGACAACATGTCGTGTCTCCTGCTCCTCCTCAGGACAAAAAACCTCGTATTGAAACTGACGGCTTCTCCCTGGACGCCAACCTCACTGCTCCCAGCACCCAGGTCAGTTCCTCCGTCAGCACTGTCATCTCCTCTGTCATCTCCTCTGTCATCTCCTCTGTCATCTCCTCTGTCATCTCCTCTGTCATCTCCTCTGTCAGCTCCTCTGTCATCTCCTCTGTCAGCTCCTCTGTCAGCTCCTCCGTCAGCTTCTCCTTCAGCTCCTCCGTCAGCTCTCCTGGCAGCATCAGTTGTGCCCAGTTCAAACAGCTCTTCTGTCCCTCAGGCCTCAGTTGCTCCGGTCGAGTCCCTGTCTGCCCTGGATTCTCTGTCCCTGGACTTTGTGAGTTCTTCTGCCTCTACGACGGTCAAGGCTGCAGCTCCTCAGGTGAAAGGGCAGAGCTCTACGGCAGGATTGAAGGAGGCGTTTACACTCGTCTGTGTTTTACAGAAAGTGGAGTCGGCTGCTGTTCCTCCGCTCAAGAAAGAATACAAATCCACAAAATCTGAGACAAAACCTGAACCCAAAGCTGCAGCCACAGACGCCATTGACTCCAGACCTGCTCCAGACCCGGTGAGTCGCATGAAGGAGCAAAAGAGAGAGAGTGTGACTTCAGCACTGGGGTGATTTGCTCAGAAAGATGAGAGGATGTGCGGTGATGTGGAAATGTTCAGTGTCAGTGTAGCTCTTCTTTGACCTCCTCTCTTCTCCTCAGGCCCTGTTTTTAGACTCCCTCAGCGTTCTTAGAGACCTCCTCTCTCCTCTCCCCTCCTCTCTGACCTCCCCCTGTTTGCGTCTCCTCAGGCCCTGTCCTTAGACGTCCTCAGTGCTCTGACCTCCTCTCTCTCTTCCTCTGGCCCTGTCCTTAGATACTCTCTGTGCTCTCTCTTCTCTCCTCTCCTCCCCTCTGACCTCCTCTCTCTCGTTTTCAGGCCCTGTCCTTAGACGCCCTCAGTGCCCTTGGTGACCTCCTCCCTGAGGCAGAAGCTCCCAAACCTGAGGCTCCGGTTCGCCCTGAAGACCTGGTGTCGGTGAGATCTTTGGCCTGGTCAATCAATAAATCCTTTATTATCTCACAGAGATGGAGTCCCTGTCTGCCCAGAGCTTTGTTTGTCTTCACAAACAAAGCTCTGGTTTGAAAATTATGTTGTGTCTGTGTTCAGGAGGTCACCGTGGAGGAGGAGGAGGGGGTGAGGGTGGGAGAACGAGAAGACGCCTTACCTCCAGAGTACAGACTGAAACCAGGAGAGAAGGAGGCCATCCAGCCTCCACCTCAGGTACCAGAGACCAGGGACCAGATACCAGAGAGGAGACCAGAGAGGAGACCAGAGAGGAGACCAGAGAGGAGACCAGAGAGGAGACCAGAGAGGAGACCAGAGAGGAGACCAGAGAGGAGACCAGAGAGGAGACCAGAGAGGAGACCAGAGAGGAGACCAGAGAGGAGACCAGAGAGGAGACCAGAGAGGAGACCAGAGAGGAGACCAGAGAGGAGACCAGAGAGGAGACCAGAGAGGAGACCAGAGAGGAGACCAGAGAGGAGACCAGAGAGGAGACCAGAGAGGAGACCAGAGAGGAGACCAGAGAGGAGACCAGAGAGGAGACCAGAGAGGAGACCAGAGACTTTGTGCTCACACCTGCTCTATGTGTCCTCAGACCTCCTTGGACCCAGACCAGGCCCTGGACTTCCTGTGTGGAGATTTCAGCTCCTCCTCAGCTGCTCCAACTCAGTCAGCCGCTCCTGCTCAGGTAACATACATCTGCTCCTCCTCCTCCTGGCTCCTTTTCTCCTAACTCTTTCTCTTTTCTTCTCAGATTTCTGCTGATGCTGCTATGAACGCTCTCTCCCTGGACTTTGTAGCTCCCTCATCTGCCTCACAACAGTCCTCAGAGTGCCCCCCTCAGGCCCCGGTGAGAACCACAACACTGCTGTTAGGAGTTGATTGCGAGTGGTCTAGAGACTGGACCTAGACCTGGGAGGGTGGAGGTCGAAGGGGAGGAGGTCTCTCCCTGGTCTTTCTGGTCTCTCTCTCTCTGGTCTCTTTCTGGTCTCTCTCTGGTCTGTCTGTCTGGTATCCCTGGTATCGCTCCGATCTCTCTCTTCTCTCTCTGGTGTCTCTCTGTTCTCTCTCACTGGTCTCTCTCTCTCTGGTTCCTCGGGTCTCTCTCCCTGGTCTCTCTCTGGTCCCTCTCTGGTCTGATAATGTCTCTTATATCTCAGTTGTCCCCTGGAGCGGACCTGGCCCTGGACGCTCTGTCGGACTCCCTCAAAGACATCGCCCCCACCCCCCAGCCCGAGCCTCCCTTCCCCCAGAACATCATCAAGGTACCTATTCCAGACTCACTGTTCACTCTTATAATGAGAGGCCCAAACTACGGGCTCAGAGATTCATACAGAGGAGCTAACAAGCGTCTGTTTCCAGGAGAAGGAGATCGAGGAGGAGCGGCTTATTAAGATGGGAGAGCGAGATGACACGCTGCCGCCGGAGTTCAGGCCCACGGAGGACGAGCTAAGGGTATGAGAGGGAACAACACAGTGGCTGAGTGGTTAGCACTCTCTTCTCCCGGTTGGAACAGTGTGTTTCCTCCACCACTAAACACATGTTGGCAGCCTGCTCCCATCATCGTGTGGAGGGAGAGGACAAATACCCGTCTGTCAAAAGCGCTGTATAAGTTACTGATTTAATCTTTAGTTTAAAGATGTCAAATACAACGCTGTCTTTGTGTTTTCAGAAAATGGAGGAAGACAAGAACAAAGTCCCAGAGGCTCCGGCAGAAGTGAGTTCTTAAGACCTTGGTCTAAACTTGATCCAAAACTGGTCCTAAACCTGGTCCTGACTCTGGTCCTAAACCTGGTCTAAACCTGATCCTAACTCTGGTCTAAACCTGGTCCTGGTCCTGACCTTGGTCTAAAACTGGACCTGACTCTGGTTCAATCCCAGTCTAAACCTGGTCTGGAACTTGGTTCGGAACTTGGTCCTGAACTTGGTCCTGAACTTGGTCCTGAACATGGCCCTGAACCCAGTCTAAATCTGGTCCTAAGGTCCTCTTTGTGTCTGCTGTAGAAGCCCATGGACGATAAGACGGCCCTGGACCTGCTGGCAGGAGACTTCTCTGCTCCTGCTACTGCTCCTGCCACCTCCTCCTCCTCCTCTGCTACTGTGACCTCCTCCTCCTCTGCAAAAGTCTGCGCCACCCCTTCTGACCCCACACAGGTAACAGATCATATGAGAGGAGAACATTAGAACTGTTAGAACTCCTCCCCCTGAGGACTCAGGCTGGTGTGTCACATTGGCCCTCTAACCCGCCTTTTAGAGCAGGGGTGCTCACACTTTTTCAGCATACGAGCCACTTATAAAATGATCAAGTCAAAATGATCTACCTACTACAAAAATGCAAAACCTATATTTATTTCTAAATATATTGAGGATTCTTTATATCTACAATGTATGTTGATGTACTTGCAAAACCGCATGATTTATGAAATAATGCATCCTCACATAACCGAACATTTGCGTTTTCAATGACATTCATAACATTCCAAACATATGTGTCCTCTGACGTCCTCCGTTGGGGAAGAACCACAGAAGTGGGCGAAGCTTTGATGCAGACGCTGGTACTTCTGTAGCGGCACTTTAACAGTCATAGTAGAAACTCAGGGTGAAGACATATGTTTACAAGCACTGACCCCCGTCCTCAGTCCTGGTTTGATCCTGGTTTAGCTCCTGTTTTGTTGTTGTTGTTGGGATTTTAATAAGGGAAACTTGAGCCAGGAATTACCCAAATACAGACAGTTTATCAAATGCCCGACCAGAGAGGAGAACACTTTGGATCACTGTTACACCACCGTGCGCGGAGCTTTTCGCGCTGTTCCCAAGCCAGCCCTCGGCTTCTCAGATCACTCCATGATACATCTGGTTCCTGCTTACAGACAGAGACTAAAGCTCTCGAAACCTGCAGTGAGGAGCTCCAAAGTGTGGTCTGATGAAGCTGTGGAAGAGCTGCGCGCATGCATGGAATCTACAGACTGGGACCTTTTCAGAGCTGCCACAGACAGTTTGGATGAATATACGGACACTGTAACGTCATACATCCACTTCTGTGAGGATAGCATCATTCCAACAAGGACCAGGGTCATCTATAACAACGACAAACCCTGGTTCACTGCTAAACTCCGGCAGCTCAGGAAAGCAAAGGAGTCTGCTTTCAGGGAGGGGGACCGCAGCGGCTACAAAGCAGCTAAATATCAGTTCAGGAAAGAACTGAAAGCAGCCAAGTCCCGGCACAGAGAACGACTACAGGAGCAGTTTGGTAACAACGATACTGCTTCTGTCTGGAGGGGCCTACGGGAGATCACCAACTACAAACCCAAAGCCCCCCCCTGTGCTGATGACCACAAGCTAGCTGACGATCTGAACTTATTTTTCAGTCGCTTTGATGCTGCCCCTGACACCTCTCCCCTCCCCCACCCCCCACTACTCTAACGACCCACCCATCAGCCCTGCCCCCAGCCTAACAATAGCCGCTAAAGAGATTAAACAACTCTTCCTGAGGCTGCACCCCCGCAAAGCTCCTGGCCCGGACCACGTGTCTCCGGCCACTCTGAGACACTGCGCCAGTGAGCTTACTCCTGTGTTCACGGACATTTTCAACACCTCTCTGCAGTCCTGCCATGTCCCGGCCTGCTTCAAATCCTCCATCATTGTCCCCGTCCCGAAGAAGCCCAGGATCACAGGACTCAATGACTACAGACCTGTAGCACTTACGTCTGTCGTCATGAAGTCATTTGAACGCCTGGTTCTCTCCCATCTCAAGTCCCTCACCTCCCCCCTCCTGGACCCCCTGCAGTTCGCCTACAGAGCCAACAGATCTGTAGACGACGCCATTAACCTGGCCCTCCACCACATCCTACAGCACCTGGACTCCCCGGGGACCTACGCCAGGGTCCTGTTCGTGGACTTCAGCTCTGCCTTCAACACAATCCTGCCATCCCTGCTCCAGGACAAGCTCTCCCAGCTCAACGTGCCCGATTCCACCTGCAGGTGGATCACTGACTTCCTGACGGACAGGAAGCAGCGAGTGCGTCTGGGGAAGAATGTCTCGGACTCTCGGATTATAAATACAGGAGCCCCACAGGGCTGTGTTCTTTCTCCCCTGCTCTTCTCCCTGTACACCAACCACTGCACCTCCAGCCACGACTCCGTGAAGCTGATCAAGTTCGCGGACGACACCACCCTCATTGGACTCATCTCCAACAACGATGAGTCCGCCTACAGGAGGGAGGTGGACCGGCTGGTGTCCTGGTGCAGTGGTAACAACCTGGAGCTGAACGCCCAGAAGACAGTGGAGATGATTGTGGACTTCAGGAAGAGCACTGTCCCCCCGCCCCCACCCTCCGTGATGGACTCCCCCATCACCTCTGTGGAGTCCTTCCGTTTCCTGGGCACCACCATCACCCAGGACCTCAAGTGGGAGCCGACCATCAGCTCTCTCATCAAGAAGGCCCAGCAGAGGATGTACTTCCTGCGGCAGCTCAGGAAAGCCAAGCTGCCTGCACAGATGTTGGTGCAGTTCTACACGGCCATCATCGAGTCCATCCTCACCTCCTCCATCACCGTGTGGTTCGCTGGAGCCACAGTCAGGGACAAACAGAGACTACAGCGCATTGTGCGCTCTGCAGAGGAAGTGATCGGCCGCAGCCTTCCATCGCTGCAGGACCTGTACGTCGCCCGAGCTCGAGGCCGGGCTGGTCGTATCACAGCCGACCCCTCTCACCCTGCACATGGACTATTCCAACCACTCCCCTCAGGCAGGAGGCTGCGGTCCATCAGGACTAGAACCTCCCGCCACAAGAACAGTTTCTTCCCCTCTGCTGTTGGACTCTTGAACACTTCTTAACCTGTCCCCCCGCCCTTTATAAAGTCACTTTACTGCCCATCATACGTCACTTTACTTCACTGTACTGCTGTCACCTTACATTGTGTGCACCATGTGCACTTGTATATTGTAAATAGTAACTGTAACTCTATTTTAAATTTAAATTTATTCTTTAGAAGTGTTTTTTATTCTTATTTTTATTATCTCTTTTTGACTGTTGCACTGAGCCAAAGCAATTTCCAAGTCTGTGACCTCCCGTTACTTACGTTGGCAATAAAAATGATTCTGATTCTGATTCTGATTCTGTTTCGGTTGTTTTCGAGCGTGAGTCTCCGTGATCACTTTGCTGCTCTATGATGTGGAGGAAGTTCGCTACTGTGAACCGCTCGCAGCAGCGAACAGTTTTTAAGGCAGTAATATCCATGCTTCAGTGATCAGAGGTCGCACGTTTTGTTTGTTGTTGTTTTGGGGGCATACCGTGGCGTGCGAAAACGCAAAACTCTGGTTATCTCTGTCTACACGCTAATGCACAAACGGATAATTTCTTTAATGTAATGCGATCTACTAATACTACCTTTGCGATCGACTGGTAGATCGCGATCGACGTATTGAGCACCCCTGTTTTAGAGGTATGAATGTAATGTATGAATGTAATGAATGAATGAGTGAATGGATGGCGGCTTTAATGCGGCAGTGTATTCAGCGCCTCGCTTCCGTCATCACCGTGTGTGAATGGCAAAATATCTGGTTTCTGAACATTGTAAAGCGCTTCAGGTGACCTTGGGCTGTAAAATGCTCTATAAAAATATACATTACTTACTCACTCTGGTCTTTCTCTGGTCTCTTCTGATTATCACATGCGTGGCGAATCTTGCTGTGTGAGTGAGGAGCCACAAAGGAAGAATGGGCGAGAATTCCTTTATTATGAAAAGCTCCCTCTGTGTGTTCACTAACATTGTTGTTGTTTACAGCCGATGTCTGGGAAAGTGCTGGACTCTCTGTACGACTCACTGCTGCCTGATACACCACAGTTTACACAGTTTAAAGACACAACAAAGGTAAACAGACACACACATGCACACTCAGGACCACACACGCACACAAAGGACCAGTCCCAATACTCGCACTTCCACCCTTGCGCCCCTCATTTGCGCGTTCTCGATGATGGGTGCGAGTGCGTAGGGTGTCCCAATTCTCCAGGGAGGTCTTTGACCCCGCCCCCTTTGCGCCCCTGATCCACACTTTGCTGTAGCCTGCATCTATGCGGACTTTGGCGAAGGATATTGCCCATAATTCTTTGCGGTACACACTAAAACATCGGGAAAATGCATTTAAATGTAAGTTTTGAAATATACAGTGAAGATATAAAATTTTAATTTTTGTCATGAATCAACAACAAGTGGGACACAACGAAATTCATTGGATAATTTAAACTATTTTAACAAATAAAAAACTGAAAAGTGGGGCGTGCAATATTATTCGGCCCCTTTACTTTCAGTGAAGCAAACTCACTCCAGAAGTTCAGTGAGGATCTTTGAATGATCCAATGTTGTCCTAAATGACTGATGATGATAAATAGAATGCACCTGTGTGTAATCAAGTCTCCGTATAAATACACCTGCTCTTTGATAGTCTCAGGGTTCTGTTTAAAGCGCAGAGAGAACCATGAAGACAAAGGAACACACCAGGCAGGTCCGAGATATTGTTGTGGAGAAGTTTAAAGCTGGATTTGGATACAAAAAGATTTCCCAAGCTTTAAACATCTCAAGGAGCACTGTGAAAGCAATTATATTGAAATGGAAGGAGTATCAGACCACTGCAAATCTACCAAGACCCGGCCGTCCCTCCGAACTTTCATCTCAAACAAGGAAAAGACTGATCAGAGATGCAGCCAAGAGGCCCATGATCACTCTGGATGAACTGCAGATAACTACAGCTGAGGTGGGAGAGTCTGTCCATAGGACAACAATCAGTCGTGCACTGCACAAATCTGGCCTTGGAAGAGTGGCAAGAAGAAAACCATTTCTCAAAGATATCCACTGAAAGTAAAGGGGCCGAATAATATTGCAAGCCCCACTTTTCAGTTTTTTATTTGTTAAAAATGTTTAAATTATCTAATAAATGTTGTTCCACTTCACGATTGTGTCCCACTTGATGTTGATTCATGAGAAAAAATTAAAATTTTATATCTTTATGTTTGAAGCCTGAAATGTGGCGAAATGTTGAAAGGTTGAAGGGGGCCAAATACTTTCGCAAGGCACTGTATATGCAGTATGTGTGTAAATAAGTTTTGCTATGTTACTTGGAAAGAAGCACAAACGTCTGATGAAGAATTACGGACACAATTTAATAACATTTTAATCCAAGCTTTCATATAACATTCAATTTAAACTTTACACTTAGTACAATAGACTTAGGATGTATAAAAACTGACCACATAACAGTTAGTTACACACATTTAACATAAAATTATACAGCTATCTCAAATTACGAATAACCAATATACATTTATTTTAACGTGTGTGGAGCAACTCATTTTGTTTCCCAAAGGGTCAGACAAAATTACCTTTTAATAATTATAAAGTTTAGGTCTGAAAATGACCATCTCTTGACGAGTTGGTGACGTCACCTGCACTCAGTGTGCACTGTCCCACTTCCGCCTTTTTTGCACACTGGTAACCTGCGCACTCAAACCCTCTACACTTCGTAGAGGAGTGTAGGGAGCAGTGTGGGTATTGGGATTGGGCCATCGAGACAGACACGGACACGCACGCACACACAAACACACACACACACACTATCAGTAACACACACACACAAAGGGACGGACACGGACACGCACTTTCACACACAAAGACACAAACACACGCTCACACACACACACACACACTCTGATCAGTGTTCCTGTGTTCCTAACCCTGACCCTGTTCCAGGCCAAGTCCAAGTCCAAGTCTAGGTCCAGGACCAAAGTAAGAGCCTGCAGCAGTCTGAAGTGACCCGCATGAGTCCTCACCCCCCCCCCCTGCCCGACCTCTGCCTGACCTGGCTGTTTGAGCATCCCTCCTAAACGCACTGGCCCTTCACTGTGACGCGTTCACTTTCTCTGTTTCAGAACTCTGTATTAAACCCATAAGTCTAGTTTAAAGCCGGGTACGTAACTTTCAGATCAACAGAATAATAATAATGATAATAATTCATTTTATTTCAATGCGCCTTTCAAGACTTTCAAGACACCCAAGGACGCCTTACATTATATATAAAATAAAAAAAATAAAATAAAAACTTCACACGCAGAACGCTGTATTAAACCTAACCCAGTCGTACCACACCATAGTACAAATTACATTTCGTATTAAGGTCTGGAGGTGCTCCATTGAGCTCCGGTAACAGGTGGGACGTTTAACTCCGTTTGCAGATTGAAACGATTGGATCTGAGTTTACCGTGATGCATGTAATGCGCTTGAGTGAGTCGTCAGCATTTAGCCTAGCTTTAGCCATCTCCTTTGCCGCTAACGGAGCCCGTGGGGAGTAGCGCCACAATCTTTGCAGCGATTACATTTGCAAAACATTCCTTTTGCTCCGACTTCAATTTCTTTATAGAACCAGACCGGATTACTTTACTATCTCATTGCCAATGCCAAACTACAACCTGCCCGTTTGGCGCAAACTCTTGACGTCACTCACAATTAACTACAACTAGTTTAAAGCCGGGGTACGTATCTTTCAGATCAATAGAACTCCATATTAAACCCATGTCTCTAGTTCCCAGTGATGTTTAGCTGAATGACGCTTTAAAATATACTCTATGACGCCATCCAGAGGCCAAAAAGCACTATTTCTCTATTTCCATTATAGCACTATTTTCTAAACACTGTGTGGAATGTGATGGGACCACCTCTAAACACAGAAATGGAAAGAAATGTGCTCGTAAATCAAAAGAGAATTCAACCATTGATATATTTCACTGTTTTTTATTCAGAGAAGGTTCCAGTTTTTGCAAGGATTTCTTCTGCTTTAGCAACTACACTTACGAGTGCAAAAAAATTTATGTTACGTGAGCTTCTGTACAAGCTGCAATAGTGGATTTCTCCTTTGTGAAATTAATAAAATATTATTAAACAATTGTTAAAAAATCAACCTTATTGGAAGTGATCAGTTCCAAGTTTTGCCAAACCGGGGAATACTTTATCTTTTTTACTGGTTTCCTCTTCTTGCAAATACCAAACCAATGAGATGTGCCTTTTACGTTTACCAGTGAACCACTTCCTAAATTCATGTGGTGCGGTGGTTCAGGACAATTCAAATGTCATCACTGACCTCTCCAAACCATGCTTCGCTGTGAGGCTGCACTGATTACTCGACACACGCTTTGAAGCCTAGATTCATTTCACCCATCACTACTAGTTCCTGGCTCTAAAACAGACGCTTCTATCATTAGTTTTCAGATCATGTATTTTGGACTCTGTCACATCTGTTAGTTCAGCTTTCTCAGACAGAAAAGTGAAGAAGAGAGGACCACCCTCACTCTGCCAATCAATTCTCAGCCTAAAGAGTCAAAGAGTGACTCGCAGGGCTCTTTCTGACACTAAAGAGAGCATGTTTTGTGTCTATGCACAGATGAGTATTTTTGATCTCATGATTCTGTTTGTTGCTGTTGCAGAAGTCTCCTGCAGAGGGAACTGTGGAGCCACTGCCTGCTGCTCCCAGCTCTGACGTCACTCCCACAAACAAGAGCTAGACCTGGTGAGACACAAACAGACACTGTATACACACATAGATACCCACACACCTCCACACACCTCCACAGAGATACACACAAACACAGACCGTGCCTATTTTGTATCGTGGAGGACTCGGAACGCAGCGGATGAGTTGGGGGCGGAGGGGTGGTAGCATGGCTCCTCAGAGTGCTCTTTTTGAGTAACTGTTTTCCGTTAGTTACTTAGTGATAGACATATAATGCCCCCGGAACCATAGACTGTAAATATTAACACACTGAGGCTTTCCTTTCCAGACGGTTTGAAATGTGTTATAGCCCCTGAGCTAGCGCAGTTGTAATTCCATGGACTAATTCACGTTCCAAGTGTGGCCATTTCATACCATTTCATCTTCTCACATAACTATGACAAGAGAGCTATCCTACTGCAGGATCGCTGCAACACACAATGAGAAGCCGTAAACTCATTGAGGCAATGAAACGCTTCGAAACACTGACACAGATACCCAGAATGCACTGCAGAGCAAAACATCAACAATCCCCTTGAAATATTCAACATTTGATTGTTCATTTTGAGAGTGAATATGAAGTCGGTATAATGCATAAAACTTAAGCAACATTTTGATTAAACGCATGAGACCAGATGAAATTATAGGACATTTTAATTATTTTTACCAACCGTTATCGAGAAGGCTATGCTAATTAACCTACCTGTGTCAATCTCTTCAGTTATGGGTCAAGGCACTAATTTTAATACATTATTTTCTATTTAATTATTGTATCTTGATATCACAGGCATGTAGAGATCATTCTTGACCCAATTTCAGAGGTGATGGAACATATTCTGGTGTGTTCTGGGTCAAATTCAGCACTGCACACAGATATGCACACAAACAGGCATTGTGGGGAAGGATAGGGAGCAGCTTTTCAAAATAAACTTCAGAAGATTTCACAATTGTTTTTGTTAGACACACACAATTACACGCTACAGCAGTGTTTCGAAACCTTTTCGAACTCTGCACCTTTACAGACCACTGGTTGAGAAAACTTTGATGTGTACAAAGGGGTTAAGTATTTTAACTGGACACTTCTCTGTTTTCCAGGTCGGACATAAACTCTGGATTGAATTATGTTTCAGATGTAGATATGAATTTACAATTTAAAATCTTTTGCACAAACCTTTGGGGTATAAAAAAATATGAAAGAATGTGTTTGGAAAGAGATGGAGGTGGAAGAGGTGAAAGAAGGAAAGAAAGAGACGGAGGAGGAGGAAGAGGACAAGTGCCAAAACCATGCTGCCGTTAGAAGACTGTAAATACTGAATCGGGGGAAAATCCTAAAATCTTATATTTAGTAGAAACACTATGATGTTGTTGAGTGGCGGAACAGAGAGTGTGTACAGTTTACTACAAATGTGTGTTTATCCGGTTGTGTGTGACTGACCTGCGGTTGGTTTTAGCTCTGCACACGTTGCCCCGCTCCTTTTGCCCAAATGCTACTTCTGTGTTTTGTGAAATTAAGCTGGAATAAAAGGAATGAATGAAGCATGTGTTTGTTTTTAATATATATGTGCGTGTGTGTGTTACCTGTGTTTGTGACACAAAGACACACAATGTGGTTTCCAGGAGACGTGTTTGCTCACTTCACACGCCCTGTTCAAGTGTTTGTCTTCATACAGCTGCGGCACGGTGGCTGAGTGGATAGCACTCTCGCCTCTCAGCAAGAAGGTCCTGGGTTCGAATCCCGGTCGGACCAGGGCCTTTCTGAGTGGAGTTTGCATGTTCTCCCCGTGTCTGCGTAGGTTTCCTCCGGGTACTCTGGTTTCCCCTACCACTAAAAATATATGTCCAATAGTTCTAGCATGCGCTTCCTGTACTGGCGACCCCGCTCCCATCTCTGTGTGGAGTGAGAGACAAATGCCCAAAATTAACAATTGTAAACCGCTTTGAGACTCAGATCTGCAGTGAAAAGGCGGTATATAAATAAACACTTACTTACTTACTTACTTCATAATGAACTCTGTGTGTGTGTGTCTTACGGAGGATTTCCAGCACTGTTTGTGATTCTGCAGACCCTTGATGACGTCGTGTTTGGAGATATATTTATAACACAAACTCCTCCCTCTCCTCTCCCTCTCCTACTCCTCTCTCCTCTCCTCCTACTCCTCTCACTCCTCTCCCTCCTACTCCTCTCTCCTCCCTCCTCCTCTCCTCTCCTCCCGCCTCTTCTCTCATAAACACCAAGAATAAGTCGTAGGAACAGGTGCAAGGTTCAATGTGTTTGTGGTCTGTTCGGTCCGGTTCTGTCCGGTGTGGGATGCTCTTGATGCGCTTACAAAGTGGGATGCAGTTCCTGCTGATAAGCAGCTGAGTGAAGAGGGTGTTGCTGTGACACTGATGAGCCATGTTTTTGAGTGTGGAAGAAACATTGAGGAATCATCAGGGTGTTGTTTGGACTCGTGTCAAAATAATATTCGACTGTTTAAATATTTTCTGTAAGTGACACATATCACCTGTGTTTGAGTTTTCAATCTCATATCTAAAGAATAACAGTTTTGTGACTCACACAGAGATAAACTGTAGCCATAGATTACTTGAGGCAGACTGACAGAAGCTACCCCACACACGTGCGCGCGCACACAAACACGCACATTGGTACACACACACACACACACATGCACACAGTGTATAAAGTATGAGTAAAGATACAGTTTTGAGAAATCAACAAATGCAGAGAATCGTCTTCTACAAATCAATTCTATCCATAACCTGAGTAACACGTGCACACGCACTCTCGGAGCTGATTGGCTGTCTCCTTGGACACACGCGCGCATTGACGTCAGTGCATCCGTGGGGTGTGACGTCACGCGTGTTACCCCGTCAAGAGCTCAGACGCTCAGTTTCTCATTGCGCGGCTGACACTCGTGACAGTGGACCTGAGAGAAACCCGGACTGAACACTGAAACGAGCCTGCGCGTGCTTGTGTCTCATCTATTCCTGTGCGCGTGCCAGTGTCTCCTTCATCCCCCGTGCGCGTGTCTGTGTCTCCATCCTCTTCCTGACTCCGGGACATGGAAACACGATGCTCTCCTCCACTGCTCTCCTCTTCGCTCCTGTTTCTTCTACTGGGCGCGTGCGTATGCGTGGAGAGCGTGCGCGCGCCTCCGTACGGGGACCGTCAGTACCTGAACGAGTGGGCGGTGGAGGTGCCCGGGGGGGAGCGGGTAGCACGGGCCCTGGCGAACGAGGTGGGCTACGACCTGATCAGACAGGTGAGTGTGTGTGTGCGTGCGCGTTTGCGTGCGCGCGCGTGTGTGTATGTTTATTAGCTTTGTGTGTGCTAAAGCTGCGGTCCGTAACTTTAAAAGAGACAAGAGAGGGACCACAGAGACCAGAGACCATATAGAAACAAGAGAAAGCGAGATCAGAGAGAGACCAGAGAGAGACCAGAGAGAGACCAGAGAGAGCCACAAAAGTTGTCTTCACTTTTGCAAAGAAACCATAAATGGCCATATGGGAGTATCCGAGTACTCTGCAGAATGTGGAACATCAACATCAACCGTCTTCCTTGCTTTGAATCAACCGTCTCCTGTTTGAACGTGACGCTGACGTTTTAATGAGAAACATGATCAAATATTAAAGTTCAAACATAACTAACTAAACAAACTAACAATTAAAATTCCTCATAACTATGGTGACTGTGATTACTTTGGTAACTATGGTGACTGTGATTACTTTGGTAACTATGGTGACTGTGATTACTTTGGTAACTATGGTGACTGTGATTACTTTTTATGGTGTCAAAAATCACAAAGCCCCTCTTCTTCTTTGTCTCCTCCTGTCTCCCCTCTCTCTCCTCACTCCTCTTTCTCCTCTCTCTCCTCTCGTTCATCACTCCACTCTCTTCTCTCGCTCCTCTCTTCTCTCGCCCCTCTCTTCAATCTCTCCTCACTTCTCTCTCTCCTCACTTCACTCTCTCCTCACTTCTCTCTCTCCTCACTTCACTCTCTCCTCACTTCTCTCTCTCTCCTCACTTCTCTCTCTCCTCTCTTCTCTCACTCTTCACTTCTCTCTCATCTCCTCTATTCTCACTTATCTCTCTTATCTTGCTCTCCACTCCTCTTTCTCCTTTCTCTCCTCACTTCTCCCTCTCATTTCCTCCCTCTTTACTTCTCTCTCACCTTTCCTCTATCTCCTCTGTCTTCTCCTCTCCTCTCCTCCATTCTCTCTTCTCTCTCTCATCTCTCCTCTCTCCTAGCTCCTGCTGAATTACTGATTTATAATTCTCCATGAACACAAACTATGAGGTCCTGTGGTCGTCACGATTACGCTGATTTCCTGCTCATTTCCTGTTTGGGATCTTCCATCAGTCACGTTTCCACTGCAGGAACTTTGGGGGAATTTTCCAGGGCCAGCCCCGTTGGTGTGTGTCTCCACTGCAGGAACCTCTCCCACAGGGCCATTTAGGAACTTTCACGGGAACCAACGGAGTCCCTCCTCCATGCTGGGTACTCCTCATGGAAATGAAAAGTTATATCAGCGCATCTCAAAGCACTGGGGATTCATCACGCTCAGAAACAATGCTGTGAAAAGTTAGACATAACTCAGAGGCCACAACAACTGGAGCGGTTCCGACCGTAAAATAAATTAATATTAATTATGCGGCGATCGAAACTCATGATGTCACTGAGGGGTCCTCCTTTGCAGCAGATCCATGCTCTGCAGTGCAGACACAGCCACTGAGAGGCCGAGTGAGGGGACGGTTCCTGTAACTGTCCCACCCCCCTCCTTTGACCAGGAACTCCTGTGGTGGAAACAGGACTATGTGGCTCATGTCGCTGAATATAACTTCTGGGAGGAGCCGATGGAACCAATTGGCTGCCTCACTTCTGTTAGTCTGCCTCAGGGCAGCTGTAGCTACAGAAGTAATTTAAGACCACTGTGTTTGGAGTGGATGAATAAAGACACATTCAAACTGCAGGATGTGGAACACCAACCGTCTGTTTGAACATGACGCAGACGTTTTAATGAGAAACATGTTCAAATATTAAAGTTCAAACACAGGGATCGAGCCTTCAGCTGTTTATCTGACCAGAGGATTCTGAAACATGTTCCCTGCAGTGACTATGGTAACAATGGTAAGTATGGTGACTATGGAAACTTTGGTACCTATGGTGACTATGGTAACGATGGTAACTATGGTGAGTGACTACGGCATCTCTGGTAGCAATGGTTAGTGTCAAAAGTGAGATTCTAGTCTGAGTTTGTCACTAATTTCTCTGTAACATTAAACAAAGAGCGTCACAAAGTATTAGTGTTTGCTTTGTGTGTGCTAAAGCTGGGGTACGTAACTTTAGAGACAAGAAAGGGACCAAAGAGAGGGACCAGAGAGATACCAGAGAGAGACCAGAGAGAGACCCGCGAGAGACCATAGAGAAACAAGAGAGAGAGAGAGAGACAAGAGAGAGCTGCAAAAGTTGACTTCACTTTTGTAAAGAATAAATGGCCATATGGGAGTATCCGAGTACTCTGCAGGATGTGGAACATCAACCTTCTCCTGTTTGAACATGACGCAGACGTTTTAATGAGAAACATGTTCAAATATTAAAGTTCAAACACAGGGATCGAGCCTTCAGCTGTTTATCAAGTATTCTGAAACATGTCTTTGGTGACTATGGTCACTTTAGCAACTATGGTGACTATGGTGACTGAGGTAACTATGGTGACTATGGTGACTGAGGTAACTATGGTGACTATGGTGACTGAGGTAACTATGGTGACTAAGGCAACTCTGGTAACTATGGTTTGAGTCAAAAATCAGGTTCTTTCTGAAACGAAGACCATCGCAAAGTTTCACATCTTTGTCTCCTCCTGTCTCCTCCTGTCTCCTCCTGTCTCCTGTCTCCCCTCTCTCCTCACTCCTATCTCTCTCCTCTCCTCTGATTCCTCTCTCCACTCCTCTCCTCTCTCTCCTCTCCTTTCTCCTCATCTTTATTCTCACTCCTTTTTCTCCTCGCTCTCCTCTTGCTCCTCACTTCTATCTCATTTCTCTGCACTCTCCTCACTTCTCTCTCTCATCTCCTCCCTCCTTATTTCTCTCTCACCTTTCCTCGATCTCCTCTCTCTTCTCCTCTCCACCACTCTCTCTTCTCTCTCATCTCTCTTTTCCCTTAGCTCCTACTGAATCACTGACTTATTAGCAGGTTTTGTGGTCGTCACGATTATGTTGATTTCACGCACATTTCCTGTTTGGGCTCTTCCACGATGATGTCATCGTTCTGACAGCGTGGCTCATGTCGCTGAATATGTTTTGTGGGAGGGGCCAATGGCACATACTGCATCACTTCTGTCAGTCATAGTCACCACTGTGTTTGGAGTGGATGAATAAAGATTTGTGAATAAAGTTATAAATATCCTATGTATATATATCTAGGTGTATGTGTGTGCACATGTACGTACTTATAGTACTTAGAGAACTTAGAGTACTTACAGTATACTCTCTCCTCCTCCCTCTTCTCTCCTCTCTCCTTTCTCTCTTCCTTCTGTTCCCTCTGCTCATCAGATTGGGGCGTTGGATGACCATTATCTCTTCAGACGCAGTCAACATCCAAGAAGAATGAAGAGAAGCAGCGACCACCTGACGAAGAGGCTGTCAGAGGACGACCGTGTGAGTGCTACTACTACTACAACTACTAATACTACTGCTACTACTGCTGCTGCTACTTCTATAGGAGCAGCAAAGTCCCAAACTTTGACGACTCCCAGAGCTCTGTTCTGTCCATCATTCACAAATGGAAAGAGTATCGACTCCTGCACAACTTACCAACACATGGCTGTCTGCCCAAACTCACAGCTGATCATTGATCACAGATGCAAACACGAGGCCCATGGGTACTGTGGAGGATACACAGTTCATCTGGGGGGAATCTGTACATGGGACAAATATGAGTCATACTCTCCAAAGATCTGGCCTGTAGGGACAAGTGTGGGCGGAGTCTGATCTCTCCCTCTTGTTACAGGTGTTGTGGGCGGAGCAACAGTATGAGAAGACCAGGACTAAACGAGCCGCAGTCCCATCTGAGTCTGTGGACAAACTGTTCAGCGACCCCATGTGGAACCAGCAGTGGTACCTGGTAAGACCTATTCCCAGAGCGAGTGTGACATGACCATAATGTTAGCTTTAGGGCAAAAGAGGCAGATTTGTAGGCTACCTGGAGCCAAATTTCCTTCTATGGTCACTTGTTAGGACAGCATTAGTCGTTTGTGCCATGCAAAATGGTAAGTATGACACAAACAGTTAATGAGATAGAGTTTACTTCTTGTGTTTATTACCCATGATGCTTTGCGCGAACGCCATACTGTTTGTCTGGCTTATATTGCACGGATCATTTGTCCCCATGTCATCCAAAGCCACGAATTCGGCCGGGCTAAGTATATTGGTACACTGGAGTAATCTGTGAGGCAAGATCCTTGGAGAAATTAAGAATGATCGGAGATTTGGATCCATATGAAACGCAGCGAGTCCAGTGGACTTTGCCAGAAATGACTTACTTTCAGTTTTACAATTAATAAAGGTCATGATGTATATGATGCAATATTTCTTTCAATCAATAATTTATTTTGAACGAAGCAGTTGATATCACAGGCCGTAAATCACTTCTGTCTACCACCCTTCCCCCCCCTCCTCCTCCTCTCATTCATTTAGAGGGGATTGCTTGAGGCCTATATAGACTTAGTATCACAGTCAAATCATCTCTGAATACACATGCACAGATTTAGCTCGCTCTTACCTGTTACGAAATGGTCAGAACAGACCTTATAGTGCCATATTTCAGGGGGTTAGGGTTGAATCCCTCTCACTTGAGCCTCGCCAACTAAAGGGTTCAACTAAAGAGTTGCTCCCCATCTCGTGATAACCTTCGGAATGTCCCCACAATCTGCACGGTTACTGCCCACCCAAACGACGCAGGTAGTCGGCATGTTTTAGCGCAAAAAAAGTATGCTTTGTTTACCTACAACTATCGGCGGCTGGACATACAAGATGGCGGACTGCGGAATTGTGGGTAGTGCGTGACGTTAGTGGAAAACCATCTATTGGTCTGCTCTGATTGGTTTGCGGTACTTTTGTAGTGCTCAGTGCTGTTGACAAAACCCATTTGGTTAATTGAAATTGTAATCCTTAGACCGTATGTGTGTGTCTTTCTGTGTGTGTTACCTTGTGTGTGTGTGTGTCTATCTGTGTGTGTTACCTTGTGTGTGTGTGTGTGTCTATCTTTGTGTGTTACCTTGTGTGTGTGTGTGTGTGTGTGTGTGTGTGACCTCTTTATGACCCAGAATAAGCTGTTGATCTGAGAGAGACGAGGATGTTCTGGGACTGATGTTTGTTACGAGGATTTCAGAAACATGTAACATCAATGAGAGACCAGAGAGAGAAAGAGAGAGACAGAGGGAGAGAGGGGGAGAGAGACCAGAGAGAGAAAGAGAGAGACAGAGGGAGAGAGAGGGAGAGAGACCAGAAAGGGAGAGAGACCAGAGAGGGAGAGAGACAGAGGGAGAGAGACCAGAGAGAGAGAAAGAGACACACACACACACACACACACACAGGGAGAGAGAGACCATGAGAGACAGGGACAGACAAACTGCTCAGAGGACAGAGACTCAGAGGAAGTTCGGTGGTGGGATAAAGTGTTTCTGTGATGCACAGGAAAATCAAACTGTGACTCACTCCTCTCACGGTGACACGCTGCATTAGCTTTAGCTGCATGGCATTAGCAGCACTTAGCACGGATGATAAGCTCACTTCTTCAATTATTCAACATGACAGTTGACGAAGTGAGATGTGAGTCCTGCAGATGTGGGTCCCGCAAAGAGGACCTCTCATGTCCCTGCTGTCACCTGCAGCTGTGTTTAGCTCTACCCTCTCTGTTTACATTATGTACATCCATGCATTCTAAGGATGAGTCACAGAAAGTGCAGCATATGTGTGTGTTTGTGTGCAACTAAGCGTGTGTGCACGTTTGTGTCTATTGTGTATGTGTGAAACTCTGTGTGTGTGTGTGTGTGTGTGTGTGTGTGTGTGTGTGTGTGCGCGCCCATGTGTTAGTGCATAATGGAGGGAGGTTCATTGCTGCTTCATTTAGTGGAGAATTAACATGTTCTCAAACAAACACAGCTGCTGCAGACAAGAGGAGGGCAGTGACAGGCTGTGTGTGTCTATGTGTGTCTGTGTCTGTGTGCGTATGTGTGTGTATGTGTGTGTAGTGATCGTGACGGAGCTGATGACTCATATCCAGCAGTAGAAGCAGCGTCCATCTTAGATCAGGATGTGAGGTCTGAGACTGAGCTGGAGCCAAGGGTAGAACTGAGGGGTCTGAATCTGGGGATCTGAGTGTAAAGGACATCTCCTCTTGTCAGGAGAGGAGGAGGACAGCTGTGGCAAACTGTTCAAGGCAAAACTCATTAAATGTCAGCACTCTCTGGTCTCACCTTTAGACCGCTTCTGTCTACTCTCTATCACGTCTATGGTCTTTATCTGGACTTGACCAGGTCTATGTCTGGTCCTGGTCTGCCTGGAGTGGCCTTTCATCTGGTCTTTGTCTGGTCCCTGAGTGCCCTTTAAACCGGACCAGACCCAGATAAGACCTGGTTCAGGTTTGAGGATCTAAATGTCACGGATGAGACTGGACCTTTGCTGGAGCTGATAAAGCAGAGGGTCTGAGGTGAGGTGGGTGGGGGACAAGGAAGATTTTTTTTAAACACAAAAACACTACTTTGAGCCTTTTATTGAGAACAATCATTAAAATACATCTGCGAAATGTTAGTCACATCAGGAACAAAACAAGTGTAAAAGACAGTGTGACGTGCCTCTGCATCTCCGTTGTGCCAAAGCTGGAGATCTTAGATTTACTTGATATGCTAAAGCTACAGATTCTGTACTTGCTCCTTTTTATGCTTAAGTTAAGAGATTTTATTTAACTATAAAGTTATTAATGATGTATCTTGGGTTGTGTGTTCATTCCTATTGTTCTGGTCTGTCTCTCTGGTCTCTCTCTGGTCTGTCTCTGGTCTCTCTCTTTAGTCTCTCTTTGGCTGACTCTGGTCTCTCTCTGGTCTCTCTCTGGTCTGTCTCTGGTCTGTCTCTGGTCTCTCTCTGGTCTGTCTCTGGTCTGTCTCTAGTCTCTCTCTGCTATCTCTCTGGTCTCTCTCTGGTCTGTCTTTGGTCTCTGTCTCTGGTCTTTCTCTGATCTGTCTCTGGTCTCTCTCTGGTCTCTCTCTGATCTGTCTCTGGTCTCTCTCTCTGGTCTCTGTCTGGTCTCTCTCTTTGGTCTCTCTCCAATCTGTCTCTGGTCTCTCTCTGAACTGTCTTTGGTCTCTCTCTCTGGTCTCTCTCTGGTCTGTCTCTGGTCTCTCTCTGGTCTCTCTCTGATCTCTCTCTGGTCTCTCTCTGGTCTGTCTCTAGTCTCTCTCTCTGGTCTCTCTCTGGTCTCTCTCTCAGGTCTGTCTTTGGTCTCTCTCTCTGGTCTCTCTCTTTTTGGTCTTCCTTTGGTCTCTCCCTCTGATCTCTCTCTGGTCTCTCTCTTGTCTGTCTTTGGTCTCTGGTCTCTCTCTCTGGTCTCTATCTGGTCTGTCTCTGGTCTCTCTCTGGTCTGTCTCTGGTCTCTCTCTGGTCTCTCTCTGGTCTGTCTCTGCTCTCTCTCTCTGGTCTCTCTCTGATCTCTCTCTGGTCTCTCTCTGGTCTCTCTCTGGTCTCTCTCTGGTCTCTCTCTGGTCTCTCTCTGGTCTGTCTTTGGTCTCTCTCTCTGGTCTCTCTCTGGTCTCTCTCTGGTCTCTCTCTGGTCTCTCTCTGGTCTGTCTCTGGTCTCTCTCTCTGGTCTCTCTCTGGTCTCTCTCTGATCTCTCTCTGGTCTCTCTCTGGTCTCTCTCTGGTCTCTGTCTCTGGTCTCTCTCTGTTCTGTCTCTGGTCTCTCTCTGGTCTCTCTCTGGTCTGTCTCTGGTCTCTCTCTCTGGTCTCTCTCTGGTCTCTCTCTGATCTCTCTCTGGTCTCTCTCTGGTCTGTCTCTGGTCTCTCTCTCTGGTCTCTCTCTGGTCTCTCTCTGGTCTCTGTCTCTGGTCTCTCTCTGTTCTGTCTCTGGTTTCTCTCTCTGGTCTCTCTCTGGTCTCTGTCTCTGGTCTCTCTCTGTTCTGTCTCTGGTTTCTCTCTCTCCACACAGAATGGTCTGACTCCCCTCTGCTTTCACAGCAGGACACCCGCACCTCCCCGGCTCTCCCCAAACTCGACCTCCATGTGATCCCCGTGTGGCAGAAGGGCATCACAGGGCGAGGCGTGGTCATCACGGTGCTGGATGACGGTCTGGAGTGGAACCACACGGACATCTACCAAAACTATGTGAATACACAACCATTAAAGCTGGTTACGTTACTTTAGCTTGGTAAAGTCGTTTGAACAGAAAGATATTTTCTTCATCTCATTAGAAAACATGTCATCTTTTGTCTACGAAAGAGCGAAAGAGTGAGTCACTATCTGACTCTAGGGACTGATTGATTGAGTCAGGGTGGTCCTCTCTTTTTAACTTTTTTGTCTGGAAAAGCTGAACTAAAGATGTGACAGAGGCCAGAAATACATAATGTAAAACGAGTGATAGAAGCAGTAACCCAAACATGGGTTTATTCTATTGTGGTCTGAAACATATCCCATGTTTAATGTTACGCACCCCAGCTTTAAAGTCACGTACTCCAGCTTTAGCTTGGGGCCAAATGAAAATGTACTGTATCTGGATTGGCGTGTATCTCCCCTCATCTGTCACCAGAGAGAGCCGTAGAGTGTTTATGTCAAAATGAAAGGGGGAAGGGGGTGCAGCCTGAGACTTGATCCTGCACAGACCCAGAGAGGCAGGGTGCAGTTGCCATGGAAACAAGATGGGATGGTGTTGCCGTGGTAACAGTGACGGAGACACTGTGGCGAACAATTAGAGATCAGTCATTGACCGTGAAAAAACATTTACAGAAATGCCCGGTTCATCAGAGCCAAAATGCCCTGTTCATCAGTCATTATTTTGCAGGATCCAGCAGCGAGTTACGACTTTAACGACAACGACCCAGACCCCTTTCCCCGCTACGACTCCACCAACGAGAACAAGTGAGTCACCAACATAACATTAAAGCTGGGGTACGTGACTTTAAAGCTTTAAACATATGTTATTTATGAAACAAAAGGTATGTACCTCAGCTTTGAACATGTGTTATTTATGAGACTTTAAACGATGTTCTAACATGATGGTCTCCACAGACACGGCACACGTTGCGCCGGAGAGATTGCCATGCAGGCGAACAACAACAAGTGTGGAGTGGGTGTGGCTTTCAACGCCAAAGTGGGAGGTGACAACAGCTGTTTTAAATATAACAACACGATAGAACCACTTGTATAACATGAGTTACCTCACTTCAATAAAATGTATTATTGTATATCGGTAAATCACTACAGTAGTTATCTCTGAGGACTTTATGTTGTCAATTGGCCAACACAGATCAGAAAATAAACCAGTTCAAACACAGGAAATGCAATGATAAAAAATGAGCAGAGCTATCCATGAGGGGCAGATGACCAATGTCCATAAATGTCCTGGATCACGACTGTCCGTAGACCCCCCTGCATCGGCAAGGAACAACTCAAGAAAACACAGTGGGAAAAAAGTGATAAAAATTGGGGAGGCTCACATTGGCCCTCATTTATGAAACTTGACTAGAAAACGGTGTATATTTTTTGTGTAGATTCCAATTACGCAAAATCCAACGCAGGATTTATGAACGTGTGAAGTCCGCACAGATCTGAGCGTACGCACCTGCGGGTGTTGATAAACGGCGCGCTCAAAACCAGCGTGTTTAGGAAAGTCACGCCTAGAAATATTCAGAAACCGCCTGTTTCACGCCCCGTTTTTACGACAGGTCAGCATGGAAGCAAGTTTTATTTTATAATTTTAATTAAAAAGAAATATATGCAAATGTATGTATACACGTTTTTCCCTATATTGACCAACTGCAGCACTCGTCTCTCTTGAACTTTAGAAGTGAATGAATAAATGAATCAATGACTGAATGAATGAAGGAATCTTAGTATCTCAGCGGTGAAGCATCAGCGGAATCTTCTTGTGAATGCAATGGAGCGATCTCTGTGAGAGAAAGGATGCGTTGGCTTTTGGGAAGTGTCCATGATTTCACAGAGAAACTCTGGATCCAAAACGTCTGAATGGCACGCTTCGACTTTTGAAATGTTTTGTGGTGGGACCTGTCGTGGCACCTGCTACGCACTGCCCCAGAGCCACTGCCCGTTCCTACAGATAAGCGCGTTGCATCCTATCTCTGCAACATGCGGAGAGAAGGCAGTGGCTGAGACAGTTTTGACTGAGACCGTCTGTGCGTTTATGTTTCTTAATGCAATGCTTTGAATGAGTCAAAACAAATAGCCATGCGTATTTAGGCAGTGCAGGGCGACCCGCACTTACTTACTTACTTACACATTAAGTAAGTAAGTAAGTTTCATAAATGAGGCCCATTGAGAGAGGGATCCACTCTCTCGGACGGACAGGCTATAGATCCAGGCCTCAGGTCATAGAGCAAGGACTCAGGCTGTGTGGTGTAGGACTGAGGCGGCTACCAGGTGGGGAGGGGACTAGGGGGTGCAGCCCATAAGATGGGCCGAGGGAGACAGTCCACAAATGCAGATGAAAGAGGCTAGATTCAGGGATCACATCATCACGCCATGAATCAGACAATGGGACAGCGGGTGAATAGCAGTATTGGTTTGCTGAACGATAAAGTAGGAAGAAGAGAGAATTAAGGTTAGAGTGCTCAAGTCAGCAGACTTTTCCAGCAGGGGGCTTCATATGCAGCTTAACTGACAATCTGTGTTTTTAGACCGAAGCTTCTATTTCTATGTCTTGCCTATGCCTAGCCATATGCTGAATTAAAGAGGACTGTTTTAAGCCTGGCCTTGAATGTAGAGACTCTGTCTGCTTCCTTGATGTGGACAGGGAGATGATTCCACAGTATAGGAGGTTGGCAGCTAAATGCTCCGCCTCCAACTGCACTATTTGACTCTTTAGGAACCACTTGGTTTTTTGAAAGGGCAGTTTGGGAGTTTGGTTGATGTAATACTGATGTGTATTCTCCCTCTGTATGGTCTCCCTCTCTGATCTCCTCTCTGGTCTCCCTCTCTGATCTATCTCTCTGGTCTATCTCTCTGGTCTCTCTCGCTTGTCTCCCTCCTGGTCTCTCTCTCTGATCTCCCTCTCTGGTCTCCCTCTCTGATCTATCTCTCTGGTCTCTCTCGCTTGTCTCCCTCCTGGTCTCTCTCTCTGATCTCCCTCTCTGGTCTCCCTCTCTGATCTATCTCTCTGGTCTCTCTCGCTTGTCTCCCTCCTGGTCTCTCTCCCTGATCTCTCTCTGGTCTCTCTCTGGTCTCCCTTTCTGGTCTTTCTCTCTGATCTCTCTCTCTGATCTCACTCTGATCTCTGAGCCTTAAAACATAGAGCTTCTACTTCAAAGATTTCAATTGTTGTCCGTTATTTTTGTAACACTTTACTCCTGTGATAAACCAGGAAACGCTGTATAGTGTTCTTGTCTCGTACGTGTCTTCTTTCTAACCGTTATTCTGACTGTTCCCAGGGATTCGCATGCTGGATGGGATTGTGACAGATGCCATCGAGGCCGGCTCCATAGGCTTCAACTCAGACCACGTGGACATCTACAGTGCAAGTTGGGGCCCCAACGACGACGGCAAGACTGTGGAGGGCCCCGGGAGGCTGGCCAGCAAGGCCTTCGAGTATGGCATCCAGAAGGTATTTACTCTGACAGAGATCCAGTGTTGTGTTAATTTAAATGGACAAAACTTTTAGTCTCTCAATGAGACTTATTGGGTGCAAAAGGGGATCCAAAAATGGTTCTCCCACGGTACTGCAGCCCAAATCCACATGGACTGTAAGGAGACTTCTCCACAGACCTCAGTGTTCACTAAAACCGCTTGTCCTCAGAGACAGGGAACCTTCAGCTTTCACTAAGGAGGATATTTTTGTCTCTTGTCAAACTCAAATATTATTCTTTTGAAAATGGCCACTTTAGAGCTCCTCTAGTGTTACTCTGGTCCTGCCTAAGTAGAATCATTGCAGACCTAATGCACAATACCGGGAGAATCAGAGCTGGCCACTTCTGCTAATGTTCGGGACATTCATGGCGTGAGCATGAGCCGAAGAGTACAGGCCATTGATCTGAATGAGCAGATATCTTGGAGATCCGGGCTTAGGTAACGCTCTCCCTCTTTGTAAAGGGTCGTGGTGGGAAAGGCTCCATCTTCGTGTGGGCGTCTGGTAATGGCGGGCGCCAGGGCGATAACTGTGACTGCGACGGGTACACGGACAGCATCTACACCCTGTCCATCTCCAGCGCCTCCCAGCATGGGCTCTCCCCCTGGTACGCTGAGAAGTGCTCCTCCACCCTGGCAACTGCATACAGCAGCGGGGACTACACAGACCAGCGCATTGTAAGTCCAGACCTACTACCACTGTGACCAAAGAGAGACCAATTGTTTGTGTTTCATTCATGATTTCTCAAATCTGACCAATAACAAAAACCTTTCAAACAGTACTGTACAATTATAAAAGCAGATTGTAATGTCACTCTTCTACCACTAGTAGGAGTGTTGCTCATCCTGGCCGTTTCTTACTCCATAAATTTTGTGTTTCAGACCAGTGCAGACCTCCATAACACCTGCACAGAGACGCATACTGGAACCTCGGCCTCCGCACCCCTTGCAGCAGGAATCTTTGCCCTCGCACTGGAGCAGAAGTAAGAGTACTGCCATAAACCAGTGCAGGTACAAGTACGGGTACAGTTACAAATACTGGTACAAGTACGGGTACAGATACTTGGTTCATCTAGAGAGACCACAGAGTCCTACTGTAGCAGTAGTAGTAGCAGAAGTACTTGTAGTAGCAGTAGCAGTAATTTGTGATGTAGTAGTAGCAGCAGCATTAGTAGTACTGTACAGTAACAGTACTTCCTTCACAGCCCAGACCTCACCTGGAGGGACCTTCAGCACATAGTGGTCTGGACCTCTGAGTTCGACCCTCTGTCTCAGAATCCCGGGTGGAAGAGGAACGGCGCCGGCCTCATGGTCAACAGTCGATTTGGTTTTGGTTTGCTGAATGCCAAAGCTCTGGTGGACCTCGCCGATCCACAGACCTGGACCAGCGTCCCAGAGAAGAAGCAGTGTGTGGTGAAAGACGACTCCTTCCAGCCCAGGTACCAATACAAGTACTAACAAGTAGTATGTATACAGCTCAGGTGACAAATACACCTCGGATGCATGTGTCAGGTACATTTGTACCTGACACATGCAGTACCTGAAGTACCTAATATACTGTGTGTGTGTGTGTGTGTGGTGTATAATACCTAACGTGCTGCATGTGTCTACTGTAAAGTACCCAAAGTACTGCCTGTGTTTGTGTAGTGTGAAGTACCTAAAGTACTGCGTATGTCTCAGGGAGCTGAAAGCAGCTGGTGAGATCACAGTTGAAGTTCCCACTGGCGCCTGCAGGGGGCAGGAGAACGCAGTGCTGTCCCTGGAACATGTGCAGGTGGAGGCCACCATTGAGTACACGAGACGAGGAGACCTGCACATCACCCTGACCTCGCCCTCCGGTCAGTACCACTGAGGTCACACTTGGGTCATATACTTTATTCACAGATGTAAAGAGTTTATAAAGAGTATGGACCACTGCTAACTTACCAACACACGACTGTCCTCCTAAATAAGGACAATACTGATCACAGTTGCAGACACGAAGTCCATAGTTAATCTGGAGGTGTGGCATACATAGCTCATCGAGAGGAATCTGTACATGAGTCGTACTCTCCACAGATCTGGGCCCATATTCCTAAAGATTTTTAGTGCTAAGCGTTGCTCCTAGTGGCCAAATTCTAAGAATATTTTTAGATTCTAAAAGTAAAGAGCAGATCCTAGTTAAGAAAATAGCTATTACTAAAGAATCCTAGCTCTCAAGAGAGCTCCTAAGGTGGAATCTCTTAAGAGTAAGGAGGAGGACTTTTAGCGACTTCAGAGTTCCCTGAGAGAGCAAGATGGCGGACGGAAGAGGCAGGAGAGATATTCTGCAAACAATGGATGACAGTGGGGCCAGATTTACCTCTCCAAACACTTTTATGCTCATTCACTTTTATGTTCCTCTGTCCAGTTGGGTTTCCTCTTTCTTTTATTGATTGACTGCGGAACCTTCCGCAGTCAACCATTGGTTTTTTGATTGACTGCGGAACCTTCCGCAGTCAACCATTGGTTTTGTATTTCTTTATTCCGTCATTTTTTTTGACACGTTTCACAGCTTTCACATTTTCAACAATTTCCACAAGTTATACATCAAAACGTTCCACATGTTTGGGAGATTATTGCTATTACTTTTGGGACTTCAGCGATTTCCGGTTTTTCCGCAATCGGACAAAAATCTGCATTGAGAATTCTGCAATGCATTTTAATAGGCCCATGCATTTTAATAGGACTTCAGCTCTTTCAGACATTTCTACAGTTTCAATGATTCAACAGTTTCAAGGATTCAACAGTTTCAAGGATTTCAGCAGTTTCAAGATTTCAAGAGTTTCAAGGACTTCAACAGTTTCAAGGACTTCAGCAGTTTCAAGGACTTCAGCAGTTTCAAGGACTTCAGCAGTTTCAAGGACTTCAGTGTAATCATGCAACCTAATAGGGATTTTTCCATGTAAACCAGTATAATGCAACTTAATAGGGATTTTTCCATGTAAACCAGTATAATGCAACTTAATAGGGTTTTTTCATGTAAACCAGTATAATGCAACTTAATAGGGTTTTTTTTCATGTAAACCAGTATAATGCAACTTAATGGGGATTTTTCCATGTAAACCAGTATAATGCAACTTAATAGGGGTTTTTACATGTAAACCAGTATAATGCAACTTAATAGGGTTTTTTCCATGTAAACCAGTATAATGCAACTTAATAGGGTTTTTTCCATGTAAACCAGTACAATGCAACTTAATAGGGATTTTTCCATGTAAACCAGTATAATGCAACTTAATGGGGATTTTTCCATGTAAACCAGTATAATGCAACTTAATGGGGATTTTTCCATGTAAACCAGTATTATGCAACTTAATAGGGATTTTTCCATGTAAACCAGTATAATGCAACTTAATAGGGATTTTTCCATGTAAACCAGTATAATGCAACTTAATGGGGATTTTTCCATGTAAACCAGTATTATGCAACTTAATAGGGATTTTTCCATGTAAACCAGTATAATGCAACTTAATAGGGTTTTTTTCATGTAAACCAGTATAATGCAACTTAATAGGGTTTTTACATGTAAACCAGTATAATGGAACTTAATAGGGGTTTTTACATGTAAACCAGTATAATGGAACTTAATAGGGGTTTTTACATGTAAACCAGTATAATGCAACTTAATAAGGATTTTTACATGTAAACCACTATAATGTAACCTAATAGGGGTTTTTACATGTAAACCAGTATAAAGCAACTTAATAGGGATTTGTACATGTAAACCAGTATAATGCAACTTAATAGGGATTTTTCCATGTAAACCAGTATAATGCAACTTAATAGGGATTTTTCCATGTAAACCAGTATAATGCAACTTAATAGGGGTTTTTACATGTAAACCAGTATAATGCAACTTAATAGGGGTTTTTCCATGTAAACCAGTATAATGCAACTTAATAGGGTTTTTTTCATGTAAACCAGTATAATGCAACTTAATGGGGATTTTTCCATGTAAACCAGTATTATGCAACTTAATAGGGATTTTTCCATGTAAACCAGTATAATGCAACTTAATAGGGTTTTTTTCATGTTAACCAGTATAATGCAACTTAATAGGGTTTTTTCATGTAAACCAGTATAATGCAACTTAATAGGGTTTTTTCATGTATAATGCAACCTAATAGGTTGCATTATACCACCAGACCAAGACCCAAACGAAGACTCAGACCACCACCAGATAATGACCACAGACCAGGTTTCCTTAGTTACAGGAACCAAATTGTTTCAGCGGTGAGGGGATTTTTCAGTTTCAAGGACACTTTCAATACATTCAGTAGTTTCAAGGATTTCAGCTGTTTAAGAATTTAACCAGTTTCAAGGATATCAGGAGGTTCAAGGATTTCAGGAGTTTCCACACTTTCAACAGTTTCCAGGTTTAAAAAAGTTTCAAGGATTTCAGGAGTTTCAATGTTTCAACAGTTTCAAGGATTTCAGGAGTTTAAAGGTTTCAACAATTTCAAGGACTTCAGGAGTTTCAAATATCTATCAAGTATTTTAACAGTTTCAAGGCTTTTTAAAGGATTTCAAGGATTTTTTTTAGCAGATTTCCACATTAGATCTGTTCCGCAGTCAATCGCAATGGCTTCAGCCATTGCAAGTTTCTAGTTGTCCATTGCTGTTCATTTGTTTGTGGTATTTTTTAAAGTCAACCAACACAGCGCCTTAAAGGCTGGTCAGCAATCACAGCTGTGCCATTTTACCATTGTTACACCAAAGTGAGTAGAAATGACCAGCATGGCAATTAATATAAGCAAATATATATCACTATCACTGTGTTAATTCTGTGCAAGTGGGCCTAAGTTTTCATACATTTGGTATGATTTAAAAGTATAACTTACTATTTATTCACCGCATTCATTGATTGACTGCGGAACCTTCCGCAGTCAACCATTGGTTTTGTATTTCTTTATTCCGTCATTTTTTTTGACACGTTTCACAGCTTTCACATTTTCAACAATTTCCACAAGTTATACATCAAAACGTTCCACATGTTTGGGAGATTATTGCTATTACTTTTGGGACTTCAGCGATTTCCGGTTTTTCCGCAATCGGACAAAAATCTGCATTGAGAATTCTGCAATGCATTTTAATAGGCCCATGCATTTTAATAGGACTTCAGCTCTTTCAGACATTTCTACAGTTTCAATGATTCAACAGTTTCAAGGATTCAACAGTTTCAAGGATTTCAGCAGTTTCAAGATTTCAAGAGTTTCAAGGACTTCAACAGTTTCAAGGACTTCAGCAGTTTCAAGGACTTCAGCAGTTTCAAGGACTTCAGTGTAATCATGCAACCTAATAGGGATTTTTCCATGTAAACCAGTATAATGCAACTTAATAGGGATTTTTCCATGTAAACCAGTATAATGCAACTTAATAGGGTTTTTTCATGTAAACCAGTATAATGCAACTTAATAGGGTTTTTTTTCATGTAAACCAGTATAATGCAACTTAATGGGGATTTTTCCATGTAAACCAGTATAATGCAACTTAATAGGGGTTTTTACATGTAAACCAGTATAATGCAACTTAATAGGGTTTTTTCCATGTAAACCAGTATAATGCAACTTAATAGGGTTTTTTCCATGTAAACCAGTACAATGCAACTTAATAGGGATTTTTCCATGTAAACCAGTATAATGCAACTTAATGGGGATTTTTCCATGTAAACCAGTATAATGCAACTTAATGGGGATTTTTCCATGTAAACCAGTATTATGCAACTTAATAGGGATTTTTCCATGTAAACCAGTATAATGCAACTTAATAGGGATTTTTCCATGTAAACCAGTATAATGCAACTTAATGGGGATTTTTCCATGTAAACCAGTATTATGCAACTTAATAGGGATTTTTCCATGTAAACCAGTATAATGCAACTTAATAGGGTTTTTTTCATGTAAACCAGTATAATGCAACTTAATAGGGTTTTTACATGTAAACCAGTATAATGGAACTTAATAGGGGTTTTTACATGTAAACCAGTATAATGGAACTTAATAGGGGTTTTTACATGTAAACCAGTATAATGCAACTTAATAAGGATTTTTACATGTAAACCACTATAATGTAACCTAATAGGGGTTTTTACATGTAAACCAGTATAAAGCAACTTAATAGGGATTTGTACATGTAAACCAGTATAATGCAACCTAATAGGGATTTTTCCATGTAAACCAGTATAATGCAACTTAATAGGGATTTTTCCATGTAAACCAGTATAATGCAACTTAATAGGGATTTTTCCATGTAAACCAGTATAATGCAACTTAATAGGGATTTTTCCATGTAAACCAGTATAATGCAACTTAATAGGGATTTTTCCATGTAAACCAGTATAATGCAACTTAATAGGGATTTTTCCATGTAAACCAGTATAATGCAACTTAATAGGGGTTTTTACATGTAAACCAGTATAATGCAACTTAATAGGGTTTTTTTCATGTAAACCAGTATAATGCAACTTAATAGGGATTTTTCCATGTAAACCAGTATAATGCAACTTAATAGGGTTTTTTCATGTAAACCAGTATAATGCAACTTAATAGGGATTTTTCCATGTAAACCAGTATAATGCAACTTAATAGGGGTTTTTACATGTAAACCAGTATAATGCAACTTAATAGGGGTTTTTCCATGTAAACCAGTATAATGCAACTTAATAGGGTTTTTTTCATGTAAACCAGTATAATGCAACTTAATGGGGATTTTTCCATGTAAACCAGTATTATGCAACTTAATAGGGATTTTTCCATGTAAACCAGTATAATGCAACTTAATAGGGTTTTTTTCATGTTAACCAGTATAATGCAACTTAATAGGGTTTTTTTCATGTAAACCAGTATAATGCAACTTAATAGGGTTTTTTCATGTATAATGCAACCTAATAGGTTGCATTATACCACCAGACCAAGACCCAAACGAAGACTCAGACCACCACCAGATAATGACCACAGACCAGGTTTCCTTAGTTACAGGAACCAAATTGTTTCAGCGGTGAGGGGATTTTTCAGTTTCAAGGACACTTTCAATACATTCAGTAGTTTCAAGGATTTCAGCTGTTTAAGAATTTAACCAGTTTCAAGGATATCAGGAGGTTCAAGGATTTCAGGAGTTTCCACACTTTCAACAGTTTCCAGGTTTAAAAAAGTTTCAAGGATTTCAGGAGTTTCAATGTTTCAACAGTTTCAAGGATTTCAGGAGTTTAAAGGTTTCAACAATTTCAAGGACTTCAGGAGTTTCAAATATCTATCAAGTATTTTAACAGTTTCAAGGCTTTTTAAAGGATTTCAAGGATTTTTTTTAGCAGATTTCCACATTAGATCTGTTCCGCAGTCAATCGCAATGGCTTCAGCCATTGCAAGTTTCTAGTTTTACATTGACATATCTTTCTATCTTTTAAGCAGAATATTATTTACAATGACACAGTCTTCCTAAGATTACATTCCATAATTGATTGACTGCGGAACCTTCCGCAGTCAACCATTGGTTTTGTATTTCTTTATTCCGTCATTTTTTTTGACACGTTTCACAGCTTTCACATTTTCAACAATTTCCACAAGTTATACATCAAAACGTTCCACATGTTTGGGAGATTATTGCTATTACTTTTGGGACTTCAGCGATTTCCGGTTTTTCCGCAATCGGACAAAAATCTGCATTGAGAATTCTGCAATGCATTTTAATAGGCCCATGCATTTTAATAGGACTTCAGCTCTTTCAGACATTTCTACAGTTTCAATGATTCAACAGTTTCAAGGATTCAACAGTTTCAAGGATTTCAGCAGTTTCAAGATTTCAAGAGTTTCAAGGACTTCAACAGTTTCAAGGACTTCAGCAGTTTCAAGGACTTCAGCAGTTTCAAGGACTTCAGCAGTTTCAAGGACTTCAGTGTAATCATGCAACCTAATAGGGATTTTTCCATGTAAACCAGTATAATGCAACTTAATAGGGATTTTTCCATGTAAACCAGTATAATGCAACTTAATAGGGTTTTTTCATGTAAACCAGTATAATGCAACTTAATAGGGTTTTTTTTCATGTAAACCAGTATAATGCAACTTAATGGGGATTTTTCCATGTAAACCAGTATAATGCAACTTAATAGGGGTTTTTACATGTAAACCAGTATAATGCAACTTAATAGGGTTTTTTCCATGTAAACCAGTATAATGCAACTTAATAGGGTTTTTTCCATGTAAACCAGTACAATGCAACTTAATAGGGATTTTTCCATGTAAACCAGTATAATGCAACTTAATAGGGTTTTTTACATGTAAACCAGTATAATGCAACTTAATGGGGATTTTTCCATGTAAACCAGTATTATGCAACTTAATAGGGATTTTTCCATGTAAACCAGTATAATGCAACTTAATAGGGATTTTTCCTTGTAAACCAGTATAATGCAACTTAATAGGGTTTTTTTCATGTAAACCAGTATAATGCAACTTAATGGGGATTTTTCCATGTAAACCAGTATAATGCAACTTAATAGGGTTTTTTTCATGTAAACCAGTATAATGCAACTTAATAGGGTTTTTACATGTAAACCAGTATAATGGAACTTAATAGGGGTTTTTACATGTAAACCAGTATAATGGAACTTAATAGGGGTTTTTACATGTAAACCAGTATAATGGAACTTAATAGGGGTTTTTACATGTAAACCAGTATAATGCAACTTAATAGGGATTTTTACATGTAAACCAGTATAATGTAACCTAATAGGGGTTTTTACATGTAAACCAGTATAAAGCAACTTAATAGGGATTTGTACATGTAAACCAGTATAATGCAACCTAATAGGGATTTTTCCATGTAAACCAGTATAATGCAACTTAATAGGGATTTTTCCATGTAAACCAGTATAATGCAACTTAATAGGGATTTTTCCATGTAAACCAGTATAATGCAACCTAATAGGGATTTTTCCATGTAAACCAGTATAATGCAACCTAATAGGGATTTTTCCATGTAAACCAGTATAATGCAACCTAATAGGTTGCATTATACCACCAGACCAAGACCCAAACGAAGACTCAGACCACCACCAGATAATGACCACAGACCAGGTTTCCTTAGTTACAGGAACCAAATTGTTTCAGCGGTGAGGGGATTTTTCAGTTTCAAGGACACTTTCAATACATTCAGTAGTTTCAAGGATTTCAACTGTTTAAGAATTTAACCAGTTTCAAGGATATCAGGAGGTTCAAGGATTTCAGGAGTTGTTTCCACACTTTCAACAGTTTCCAGGTTTAAAAAAAGTTTCAAGGATTTCAGGAGTTTCAATGTTTCAACAGTTTCAAGGATTTCAGGAGTTTAAAGGTTTCAACAATTTCAAGGACTTCAGGAGTTTCAAATATCTATCAAGTATTTTAACAGTTTCAAGGCCTTTTAAAGGATTTCAAGGATTTTTTTTAGCAGATTTCCACATTAGATCTGTTCCGCAGTCAATCGCAATGGCTTCAGCCATTGCAAGTTTCTAGTTAAGTTTGTCCATTTGAGGGTCCTTATTTCAATGTGACCAAACTTGAGCTTTTTGGTCCAAATGCTGAACTTATGAATGCGTGAATATTTTTTGACCCAAACCTGTCTCCTGCCTCAGGCACGACCACGGTGCTGCTCGCAGAGAGGGAGCGGGACACATCAGCCAGCGGCTTCAAGAACTGGTACTTCATGTCTGTGCACAGCTGGGGAGAAGACCCAAGCGGAACCTGGGCCCTGAAGATCACTGACACCGTGAGTCCTGTTTCAGACCTGCTTTAGATGTAGTTTGAACCTGCTTTAGTCCTGCTTTAGTCCTGTTTTAGTCCTGCTTTAGTCCTGCTTTAATCCTGCTATAAACCTGTTTTCTGATCTCATCTCAGTCCGGTCGGATGGAAAACAACGGTCGGATCCTCAGCTGGAGGCTGATTCTTCATGGGACGTCAGAAAAACCAGAACACATGAAGAAACCCAGAGTTTACACCCCTTACAACCCGGTCCAGAACGACCGCAGAGGGGTGGAGCACATGGAGGTGAGACAAGATCAGAGACCAGAGCTCCCCTGCCTCCCTCAGGACTAGGACAAACACTGACATATTCAGCATGAGTCCATCCGGAGACAGGTTTAGGATTTTTAACACTGTTCTCTTCTCTGTCCACAGGAGCTCACACAGGAGCCGCTGCTCCCCCATACAGAGAAGACCCCCCCACCCTCTGAGCCCACCCCCTCCCTCGCCTTGCAACACCTGCTGCAGGCAGCCTTCAGCAGACAGTCTCCCCAGGGTGGCTCTCTCCTTCCCCAGGGGGGCCCTCTCCCTCCCCAGGGGGGGCCTCTCCCTCCTCAGGCTCTGTACCGGGCTCTGGAGCTACTGACGCGCGCACAGACACCTGCTGAACCGCTGTACGGCCGCTACGTTGACCGCTTCTACCAGAGCGGCTACCGGCACCGTGACGACCGTCTGTTGCAGGCGCTGCTGCAGCTAATGGACGACCGCCACGTTTGACCCACTGCGTCTGACCCACTGCGTCTGACCCACTGCGTCTGACCCACTGCGTCTGACCCACTGCGTTTGACCCACTGCGTCTGACCCACTGCGTCTGACCCACTGCGTCTGACCCACTGAGTCTTACCTTCTGCGTTTTTGACAGGTCAAATGCAACGTGTTTGCCCACAGGTGTGACAGTCGTCAAATCTTGTTTTTCCAAAAGGAGTTGTTATGAACAGGGTCCTCGAGTTGGTCTTTCTCTCCTCCTCATGTTCCACTGCTCGTCATCACAGACCCTCAGCTGTGTTTAGCTCGAGACACACTAGTATCAGGAACTTCCCCCCGACCCTTGTGTCTCAAAGCTGGTGGTAACGACCCACAGATTTTAAATTGTAACGAGATACAAGCGTCCTGAAGTGATCAGGGTCCAGATGGGGCAGTGAGAATACGGGGAATGTGCTCGGCCCTGGTCATAAACATGACTTTCTCTGATTTCTCTCTGGCCTCTCTCTGGCCTCTCTCTGGCCTCTCACTGGCCTCTCTCTGTCCTCTCTCTGGCCTCTCTCTGGCCTCTCACTGGCCTCTCCCTGGCCTCTCTCTGGCCTCTCTCTGGCCTCTCTGGCCTCTCCCTGGCCTCTCCCTGGCCTCTCTCTGGCCTCTCTGGCCTCTCCCTGGCCTCTCTCTGGCCTCTCTCTGGCCTCTCACTGGCCTCTCACTGGCCTCTCACTGGCCTCTCCCTGGCCTCTCTCTGGCCTCTCTCTGGCCTCTCTGGCCTCTCCCTGGCCTCTCCCTGGCCTCTCTCTGGCCTCTCTCTGGTCTTTCTCCCAAGTCTCAGATGTGTTTGATGCTGCATAAATGTGTTTATAAAGATAATATATTGAAAAGGCCTTCTGTGGAAGTGGTTATAGCCTGAGCTGGAGACTATACTCTTACACATATGATCCCAGACGGTGATTGTACAAACGTGTGATTTAATTTAAGCATATCATCTACAGATTTTGCAGCGCCCCCTGCTGGACACAACCCACAAATCAAAAACAATTTTAAAGTTTACAGAAAGAAATTGATAAATACCTGATTATTAAACAAAAACTAATATTAATGTGACAATTTCTCAGGGTGAAGAGAACTAGTCTTTTTCACGGTTCCACACAGAAAGTTCTAATGTCTCAGAATAACAACAGGCCCAAAACGCACCTTTGAGAAACTCGAGAGAGAGACAGACACAGACACACACAAACACTCTCTCTGGCCTCTCGGTTCTCTATGGTCTCTCTCTCTGGTCTCTCTATCTCTCTCTGGTCCCAGTGATATATATGTTTTCTGGTGCGGATCCACTGCCACATATCAGGATTACAGCACACGCCACAACTGTCACAGCCTTAAAAAAAAACAGAAATCAAAGATATTTTTGGAAGATTTATTTATGTTGTGTTTCGGATTTTTTGTCCAATTGTAAAAAGTGAAATTTATCGTACCAATAAAATGCAAACTGATAAAAACCATGTATCCTGGTGTTTCTATTGCTGTCCAAGAGGAAGGGGAGCCTTAGAGCTACACAATGAATTGCTTTCTCTGGTCTTTTATTATGTATATTATTTCTTATAGAAATAATAAACATTATTGTTAAACGCATAAACGGCTAATGAGTTATGATGCACGATACTTCTGTGTGCGTGTGTTAATGCGTTTATGCGTGTGTTAATGCGTTTATGCGTGTGTATGAATGATTTTTGGTGGTCGGAGGGCCCGATGGCACAGATTATGCTGCCTCGGTTCGGTCAGTCTGTCTCAGGGCAGCTGTGGCTACAGAAAAAGCTTACAACCACCGTGAGTGGGGTGAATGCTGTGAAGCGACTTCATGAGTCCAGAATATAACCATAGCTCTATAACTCTCTCACTCACTCACTCGTTACTGTCTCAGAACCACCGGAGGGGGTGGACTACAGCTGATCCACACTCGGAAAACTGGTCCTCTCCCCGCGGGCAGAGAGCGCAGAGGGTCGGCTGCTGCTCTCCGGGTGTTTGCTATCGTCCCTCCACAGCCTGGGCGCCTCTTCCCCGGGGCTGGAGCCTCTAAATGCCTCTTTGTCTGTGGTAGTACCTCGCCGGGTGTTCTCGGTAGTCCCTCCCCAGCCTGGGCTCCTCTTCCCCGGAGTTGGAGCCTCAAATGCCCCGCTGTCAGGGAGAGCATGGTGGAAGTAGGCACAAGATGGCCGCGTTGGATGAGGGGAGCTTCGGGCTGAACTGTGGCCAGAACAGCGGGCAGAAGGTGTCCGTTCTACACGTGAAGTTCCCCGAGAGCGTACTCAGGGCCCTGGAGACCTTCCACTCTTGTAATGTGAGTTACTTTCATGTTTTTAACTTTATTTTTAACTTGAATCGCCGCCTTGTTAAGTGCCACGCAGCTAATGCTAACAGTGGAGCTAACTGCTACTCTCTGCTCTTTAAACTGGATTCAAGAACTAATTAATCAGCGCACATTCGTATAATTAACTGGAGAATTAAGACTGGTTTGTTCTGTGTGTACTGTGCTAGATTTATTCGAATGACAATCGATATTTAGTGAGTAAAATTAGTTAGAAAAGTTGGAGACTTGTTGGTATCGGCCAGTGCTGGTAGTAGGAGCTGAGTGAGCAATTTCATCAACTTTTGTTCCAACTTTAAAAGTGCATTTTTCCACCAAATAATTCCACTAAGTCGTATTTTAACCAGTATTTTGCTGCATCAATTATATTGTTTGTTTTTTGTTTTAAATAGTAAGAACGTCGTAGATTAAACTGTACCATATGTTTGAGTGAAGTATCGTCAGCACTTCACATTTGTAAACTTTTAATCATAATTTTGAGGTATTTTGTCTGAGATGTAAAATGTTCAAACCTTCACACCCAATGCTGGATTCTTCATTATGTGTTTTCTACAAAGGCCCATACATCTGTAACAACTGTGTTTTTATTAACCCACCACCAATCCTTTAAAATACTCAATTCAATGTTTTTATGTTTCGCCATATATCACAACAGCACTCATATTGGTGGACTTCACAAAGTTCTGGATTCACCATCAAAAGATCAGAGTTGGATAGAGTTAAACCCAGGGCTGTAGATCCAGGGCTGAGGGCTATAAATCCAGGGCCGATGCAGTAGATCCAGGGCCGACTGAGGGCTGCAGATCCGGGACTGAGGGCTGGGTGCAGTCAGAGCTGCACCCAGTACACAGAGCACAGCCCCTCACTGATCCTCTTGCAGGTGGTGAGTCCACAGGAGCCTTGATCTTTCAGCGGGGGCTTCGGGCAAAGTGGGGTTAAGTGTCTTGCCCTAGGACACAACGACAGCAGTGGGAGTCGTGAAGTAGGTCTTGTGGTGGGCTTGAACCAACGACATTCAGGTCTAGAGGCATAACAATGTATGTTACGTATGTTATGCCCAACATCATATTACACATTATTTTTTCCTACATTATGTGTGTCATATAACTATCTTACATGAAGTAAACTTGTATTGATTTCATGTTTAGCTCCATCCACTCTTAATATCAGAAACATCACCGAGGTCTGGTCACAACAGAGGACACCTTCTAGATCTGGTCAGAGCAGAGGCACTTGACCGTTATACATATAGCTGCTGGATGGCTCACTTGGTAGGTTGCAGAATACACTAACATCCAGTGTGGGACCTTAATCAAAACCTTAAATGCTACTACACACATTAGTACCTTGGAGTATCACAAAAACAATGAGATGACGGCACAGACGTCGCCCGACCAAACAAGATCTGTGTTATAGGGCTGCAACTAACGACTATTTTAATAGTTGACTAGTCACCGACTATTGAAACGATTAGTCTACTTTTCTTATATTTTGTCTGAAATTGCTTTAATTATTTGGCAAATGATAACAACAAAAGTTGGTTCATACAAAAAGTAAATAAAAATGTCCTATCCAAGACCAATTTGGCACAGTGCTTGGTCAGTATAGACCATTGCTTCTCAATTATTGTTTGCCAAGCCCCCCTTAGGTAGAGGAACACATTTCGCGCCATCTTTTGAGCTAAAAAAACCCTGCTCTCAGCCCAAAAAGTAAAATATTGACTAACATGGTTCTCTCTTAATTATGAAAAAAAAAAAAACATAAAAAACAAGACTTCTTGTGTTTTTTTTGTTGTAATAGTTATTTATTTTACGTTTGGGCACTACCAACTTGCATTATGAATGCAAGGGAAATTCAGGTACCCCAGCTTTAATTTTGTGAGTTTTAGTTTCTGGGCTACAGGAGGAGACACGGGGGACTCTTCCAGAGGCGTATTTCTCACAGTGGTGTATTTATTGCGTCCACATGTTGTACAAAAATCCGTGCTTGTCCTGTCCGCGCTGGTCACATTATGGCTTCGCTTTGGCCGTGCGCTCACCTTGCTGTTTTCAAAGCAGCTTCACAGAACCGCTGTGTACTGACCATTTGTGACTGGGAGGGAGAATTGACGCGCTAAACTTGAGCCTTTCATTTTATACACTGGAACACGCTGTCATTCACCACAAAGCGGCCACGCTCCGGGATCTTGGTCTCTCTCATGCTTTCTCTTCAAATGTTCGTGCATCGCCGAGGGGCTGCCGTGATACGCAATGTCTGCTTTGCAATCCTTGCAAGTAAACTTAATTATTGCCGTATCCAGACTACAATGCTTCCAAACTTTAGAGGTTTTTCTACACGGAGCTGACGGGCGCCGCCATCACTCTTTACGTTTCCGCTCGATAGACGCTCTTGTGCATGTGCGACTCTCTGCAGAGATTGTTTGTGAGACAGAGGAGGCCTCACTGTTGGAAAAACACATCTGGCGACAATAGTCGACAATGGAATTCATTGTCGACTATTTGTATTATCGATTTTTGTTGACAACGTTGACTAATTGTTGCAACCCTACTGTGTTAGGTGTTAGGGAACCAGACCACCTCGATGAGAAATGGGCAACTGAAACAAGGAGAAAGTGGGCGAGGTACAAAAACAGGGCTCTGTTGGAATGCTACTACTTGAGTAACCCTGGCCAGAAAGGTTACATGCAGAGAATGTGGGCTGAACGGTTACTTCAAAACCCACAGTCTTGGGTGATTGTGGATTTTGAAGCACTGAGCTACTAGTTAATCCACAATCTAAAACTGCTATCACAGCTTGATTGATGAGGTACAACACAATTATGTTGCCACGGGTTTGTTGTAGTTTGAGTGTGGCTTATGTTTTTCAGACTGAGTCAGGAGATCAGCCCTCCATCCAGTTCAAAGGGCAGCAGGGGGTAAGTGTGTATGTGTGTGTGTGTGTGTGTGTGTACGTACATGAGTCATTGTGTGTGTGTGTTTTCAGAGCATTAAGGTCCCATGCTCAGGCTCTGCCCCTCAGGCCTTTGGATTCTTCCTCTGTAGTGAAACCAAAGACAATCCTCAGGAGAGCTACGAGTGTGTGGAGCAGAGGTGAGCTACTCTGTGTAGACCCTGTCCTCAGAACACTCTGTTGAACTTGTTCATTATGCTCACACTTGGAATCCTCACTGAGGCCACTAGAGTGCCTGTAACTGCTGCTAATTCCCTGTCCCTCTGTGTGACCCTCTGTGTCAGGTCTGGGACCCCTCCTCTCTCTGTTCTGGCCCCTGTTCAGACTAAACTCACTGTGTGTGCCACAAACAAATGTATGAGCAGGAACCAGGCTGCGGAGGAGACCAGAGATCGAACTAAAGTCCTCAAACCTGGAGGACCCAGAGGTGAGAGCTTTAGACCAGAGACCAAACTAAAGTCCTCAGACCATAAATAAATAAGTAAAAGTTCTAAAAGTCCGAGTTGGACAAATAGGTTTTAATTAAATGTAAGATATTTTTCAACATACAGTTGCTGTTGCAGTTTTATATTTACTAACATTCAAAGTAAATAAGTCATCAGAGGCCGAAACTATAGGGCCTACAGTAATTCCAGGCGCACGCTCTCTGCTTCAGGAAAGCTCGTGCCCTGCCGTAAACCCGCCCTGGGCGGCGCAGACGTGGTGCCTGAGCGCAAACGGTCTACACCCATCAACCCGGCCAACACCCTCCGTAAGTGCCTCACCAACAACCCCGTAGCACAGCGCCCTCTGCGGGACCGTATCATGCACCTTCTCGCCCTGCGCCCCTACAAGAAGCTGGAGCTGCTGGCACGACTGCAGCGAGATGGGCTCAATCCCAAGGACCGGACGACCGTGGGTACAACACTACAGCAGGTGAGAAAAATACTGGCACACCGAGCTGATCCACAACAGAGGTCCTCTACACTCGCGTATCAGGTCTAAAGGACACACTCTAGAGGATTTGATCCATAAGAGAAGACACTCTCTAGAACAAATCCACAACAGAGGACATACTCTAGACCTGATCTACAGCAGTGGACACTCTCGACCTGATCCACAACTTGATCCACTGCAGAGGACACACTCTCACACTGATCCATAATAAAAGACACACACTCAACCTCTATGAGCCATTTTGCCTGACTGAATTTGACTGACTGCGTTTTATTTGTGTCTCTGATAATGGCCTGGTCTTGTGGTTATAGGCCTGATTTGATATTTCCCCATTGAGGCAAATTGCAGAGATTAGTTAATTTGGCCGGTGTCTTTTCAGGTGGCTGCGCTGAATCCCAGGGAGAACTCCTTTTCTCTGAAGGAGCATCTCTTTGAGGAGGTGCAGAAGCAGTGGCCTGGGTACACCGAAGAGGAGCGCACGCAGGCGGACCGCAACCGCTCACGGTGAATAACACAACTACTAAGGACCACACACACATCGCTCTGTGTGAAACTAAATCCCCATCTTTTTGTCTGCAGTAAATTGGGCCTGAGCACTGAGCCCCTCCCCTCCTGCTCCCCGAAAGAGAGCACCCCCTGCACATCTCCTCAGGTAACTACACTCGCACCAGGATGCTTCACACTGCTCCTTCTCATCACAGGCCTCCCTCTTGTGTTTAGTTCACCATGGATTCTGAAAACACAGCAGGCCGCAGCCGAACAATCAGGGAAACAAATGGTGTCCTCACATATTTACATCCAAAAACACATTTTCTGTGGGACCATACTAGCCTGGCCTTAGCCATTCGTACTAGGGATGTAAAGCGGTGACCGTTTAACCGGTGGTTGACCGTCACAGCATTAACCGGTCAAAGCTGTCGGTTAAAAAAAAAAAAAGCGGAGAGGGGACGTTTCTTAAACGCTATTTTAAGCCCTATTTTAAGCCCTATTTACACGGTGTGACAAGCGGGTCCGTATCTAGCTGTGTGCGCTCATGTATTAGTAAACCCCGGGACGACTCTCCCCTCTGATACCGCCAAAGTTGCACACTGGCGCGGGTCAGAACTACATTGGAGCTTACATTTACACACACACACACACATATACAGTGCCTTGCGAAAGTATTCGGCCCCCTTGAACCTTTCAACATTTCGCCACATTTCCAGCTTCAAACATAAAGAATTTTTTTTTGTCATGAATCAACAAGTGGGACACAATCGTGAAGTGGAACAAAATTTATTGGATAATTTAAACTTTTTTAACAAATAAAAAACTGAAAAGTGGGGCGTGCAATATTATTCGGCCCCTTTACTTTCAGTGAAGCAAACTCACTCCAGAAGTTCAGTGAGGATCTTTGAATGATCCAATGTTGTCCTAAATGACTGATGATGATAAATAGAATGCACCTGTGTGTAATCAAGTCTCCGTATAAATGCACCTGCTCTTTGATAGTCTCAGGGTTTTGTTTAAAGCGCAGAGAGAACCATGAAGACAAAGGAACACACTAGGGTTTAATCCCGGGACACGGGATTCCCGGGAAATCTGATCAAAACTATTTCCCGATTCCCGGGAAATGTTATGACGGGAAACGGGAAATGAAAGTTTAAAAAAAAAATCCAGTGCGCTCCTATTATAGAGCACGTTTATTGTTGTTCAAAGTTCAAACATATTTCATTTACAATCCACATGTCTACAGCTGAGAGGATGGCTCATAAATTGTGTTTTTGACAACAAATATGGGTCTTAATCGCGCTAAACCACGACTTGTAATGAAGCCAGCCTCAGGGTACGGGGCGCATGTGAGCCCAGAATTTGGCTACGTCCAATTCTATCAGAAAGCTCCTTTCTTTTTTTCTATCTGCTAAGGGCAGCAACAGGTTTGGCTAACATACATATAACACATTTTAAGATCATATAAAATGCATTTAGGGTAATGTTCTGCTTCCAATGACGATAAGAATGATAAGGAAGAGAGGAGAAGGGTAAGAAGGTTGATATTAGAAATTGGATGCGCCCGAGAGTCGGCTGCAGCGAAAACACAGTTTATGGAGGTGGCACCCGTTTTGTTTTACGCTTTAAAACTCTTTGGGCTTATTTCCAAATGGGGGATTACATATCTGTGCTCAAACTATTATCTGGACTTAAACATGAAACTGGTCTGAACCGAAGTGGTCTGTGCTGTTCATTAATAATTAAGGTAAGACCCATAACACAATTGGAAATGTGCCTTTTACGAACTTTTGCGTTTTGTTTGAGCAAACAATGCGGGCCATGGAAAACATTCTGCTGTAGCCAAACTAATTGTGAATAAGCCGCTCTGTAGGTTCTGTTGATTTATATGATATATGTTCATCTGATTGGGCTGAAGTAAGTGCCTCCAAACCACACCGCACGTAACTGGTCGACAAGTGGATTGCGCAGACATTTAGAATCTCATATTAGTGAAATTCCTGAAGAAAGCCCATCAACAAAACGTCTGAAAACGCTATGGCTACTTTAGAAAAGCACGTCGCTTGGTGAAACACTAGTGGAGATGGCAGCTTTTGTTGGATTATATATTTTAGTGATATCATACATTACTTGGGCTAAACACAACAACTACAAACAACAGTTATTTCCCGGGATTTCCCGGGAAAGACGTAGTCTTTTCCCGGGATTTAATACGTCTCATTTTCGGGAAAAATATTAAACCCTAGAACACACCAGGCAGGTCCGAGATACTGTTGTGGAGAAGTTTAAAGCTGGATTTGGATACAAAAAGATTTCCCAAGCTTTAAACATCTCAAGGAGCACTGTGCAAGCAATTATATTGAAATGGAAGGCGTATCAGACCACTGCAAATCTACCAAGACCCGGCCGTCCCTCCAAACTTTCATCTCAAACAAGGAGAAGACTGATCAGAGATGCAGCCAAGAGGCCCATGATCGCTCTGGATGAACTGCAGATAACAACAGCTGAGGTGGGAGTGTCTGTCCATAGGACAACAATCAGTCGTGCACTGCACAAATCTGGCCTTTATGGAAGAGTGGCAAGAAGAAAGCCATTTCTCAAAGATATCCATAAAAAGTCTCGTTTAAAGTTTGCCACAAGCCACCTGGGAGACACACCAAACATGTGGAAGAAGGTGCTCTGGTCAGATGAAACCAAAATCGAACTTTTTGGCCACAATGCAAAACGATATGTTTGGCGTAAAAGCAACACAGCTCATCACCCTGAACACACCATCCCCACTGTCAAACATGGTGGTGGCAGCATCATGGTTTGGGCCTGCTTTTCTTCAGCAGGGACAGGGAAGATGGCTAAAATTGATGGGAAGATGGATAGAGCCAAATACAGGACCATTCTGGAAGAAAACCTGTTGGAGTCTGCAAAAGACCTGAGACTGGGACGGAGATTTATCTTCCAACAGGACAATGATCCAAAACATAAAGCCAAATCTACAATGGAATGGTTCACAAATAGACGTATCCAGGTGTTGAGAGCTGATGTCCAGAGCTGAAGACTGCTGTTCACAAACGCTCTCCATCCAACCTCACTGAGCTCGAGCTGTTTTGCAAGGAAGAATGGGAAAGAATTCCAGTCTCTCGATGTGCAAAACTGATAGAGACATACCCCAAGCGACTTGCAGCTGTAATTGCAGCAAAAGGTGGCGCTACAAAGTATTAGCGCAAGGGGGCCGAATAATATTGCACGCCCCACTTTTCAGTTTTTTATTTGTTCAAAAAGTGTAAATTATCCAATACATTTCGTTTCACTTCACGATTGTGTCCCACTTGTTGATTCATGACAAAAAAATTAATTTCTATATCTTTATGTTTGAAGCCTGAAATGTGGCGAAATGTTGAAAGGTTCAAGGGGGCCGAATACTTTCGCAAGGCACTGTACATATACACATACATGTATTGTACACACACACATACCGGTCTGTCACGCTCCTCTGTGTCACGGAGCCCGAAGGATCCTCGCAAATACGCGGCTCCAGTCAAACCACATGGAACATGTCATTAGATCAGCTCCACACACATCACTTGTACTTAAACTTTAGCAAAGACCTGCAAGACGCGGCTCGTCACGCGCTGCTCTGACCATGTGAACGAGCCGTCGTCTGCTGCTAAAAAGTTTTGGTTTTAACCCGCAGCACAGAAGAATGGGAAAATTAAAAAAGCAGTTCTCTGTGCGCAAAGGTGCCGAAGCTGTTGCGGGTTTTGGCGCCGCTGTCTCAGCTCTGATCCAGCAGAACGCTCAGCTGCACTTATGGAAATTGCGCGGCTCGTAATGGCTGTTATTTCAAAGAACGTGGAATATTTTAAACTACGCGGTTAACCGGTTTTAACCGGTTAATGAGGCTCGGTGGTCGGTCATGAAAATTCATAGTTTTTTTACATCCCTAATCCGTACTCTCCGGTCAATAATCATTTCCCTGCATGTAACGTCTGGGTCTAGTCCCTGTGTTTGCGATGACATCGGTTGAATTCCATCCGACCAATCAGCGAGCTAGGGAGACGGGTGTTGTAGTTGGATGTAGGTGACGTCAAAAGTTTGTGCCGAACGGAAAAGTTGTAGTTTGGCAATGGTGAAGAATGCAATAGGAAAGTATTCCAGTCTGGTTCAATCAAGAAATTTAAGCAGGAGCAAGAGGAATGTTTCATTGCTGGCAAAAGATTGTGGTGCTACTCCTCACGGGGTCCGTTAGCGGCAGAGGTGATGGCTAGGCTAAATGCTAAAGACTCTCTCGGGTGCATTACATACATGACGGTTAACTCGGATCCAATCCAAAAGGAGTTAACCCCTCCCACCTGTTAATGGAGCTCAATGGAGCACCTCCAGATCTTGGAACAAAATGTAATTTGGACTATGTTGTGGTATGACCAGGTTTGATGTGACAACATGATTGTGTTCTTTGTTGTAGAAGCGGCCTCCTGACGGTGACTTCATCGATCCTTTGGCTCCAAAGAAACCTCGAATCTCTCACCTCAGCACCAGGCCACAGCGCCCCCTAGAGGATTCACACAGACCCCAGCCAAGCCCCGCTCACCCAGGTGTGAGTCACCAACCGAGCCCTACCCACCCAGCTGTCAGTCACCAGCCAAGCCCTGTCCACCCAGCTGTCAGTCATCAGCCGAGTCCCGCCCACCCAGCTGTCAGTCACCAGCCGAGCCCCGCCCCCTCTCATGGTAGGACCTTCCAGTTCTACCACCACTCTAAAAGCTACGCAATCTAACGTTGCAACCACTAAGACTGGCTTTTGAACAGTTTGGTTCTGACACCAGTTTTCTGTAAGCAGGATCATCTCCAGGCGCCCAAAGGACACCTCAAAGCTCATATCTGTCACACGCTGTCATACAATGTCCATGTGTTCATCTACTTCTCATTCTGTAAATGTATTATAGGGCTGGGCGAAATCTGACTTGTCTATGTGTTTTAATATCCTAGACCTGGCCGACCCGCTGGCTTCATCCCAGTCTCCGTCCACCCCTGAAGGCTGCGGCTCTCAGGCTCTGCCCCTTGATCAGAGCTCCACCTGCAGAGACCCCAGCTCCACAAGTGCACCGCCAAAACCCAGGAAAAGCTCCTCCAAACGACGAGAGAAAAGTGTTGCGTCCAGAGACCGAGGGCAGCGGCGGAAAGAAAAGAAGAGAGAGCGGCACGTGCAGGTCCAGTCAGGTCAGTGGGGTCTCTCTCTCTTTGTTATCTGTCTCAGTTCTTTCGCTCTGCTTTCTCCCTCTGGTGGGGGGGTTTTACAGCCTTAAAACAGAGTGAATTCTTTGAAGAAGGAGCTAACTGTGAATTTGTTGTTGCAGCCAAGCCCGAGCTGAAGGGTCCCCAGCCGCTGTTGCCCTGCAGTGACCTCCAGGACTATCTTCTGTGAGTAACGACCACCGATTAGATCCTCAGATCTTCCCTTACACGACATGACACACGCATCATTTGAATCAGAAAGACTGGCCCAATGGCGTGCCTAGTTGCTCTGCCGGTGTGTATGTAGGCACGTGATCCGCGCTTCGCTTTCGGTATGTAGGGGATGTAATGAAGGAAATTCCCCCAAAACATGAAGCACTTTCACCCTCAAAGTACACCTCGACACTATGGCCAGTATTAAATGTTTCTTGTCGTGTGACTGTGTTAATGGCTCACACGGAACAAAGTGGTGAATTGCAGAGACCATGATCCTTTGCACTGCACCAGTGAGACAGTCCTACACACACAGAGATGGTGCTACAGGGACTGTACTATGGGGACGGTACTACACACTCCCCAGGTCGCACCCTCTCCCTCATGCTCCCTCAGTGACCCTCTCCTGTGCTCCTCAGGTTGTACCCGCCGCTTTCATCGCTGAACCACAGGCAGAAGTACAAACAGGACTTTAACTCTGAGTATGGAGAGTACAGACGGCTTCATGCCCGTGTTGAGGCCGTGACCCGGAGATTCACCCAGCTTCAGCAGGAGAGCAGCAAGCTGAGACCCGGGTCCAACGAGCACGAGAAGGTCCTGGAGGAGGTCCTGAGCGAATATAAGAAGATCAAACAGGTGAGGTCTCTAGAGCACCCTCCGGACTCTGGACTGACCCCCAGCTCTCTTTGGACTGACCCCCAGCTCTCCTCTCTGTCCACAGCTGAGCCCAAATTTCCAGGAGGAGAAACAACGCTGTGAATATCTGCACAACAAACTCGCCCACATCAAACGCTGCATCTGCCGTTTTGACCAGACAAGGGCGCCATCCCACAGACCTGACCAGTAACACCAGAGGGCACCACTCCACAGACCTGACCAGTACCATCAGAGGGCGCCACCCCACAGACCTGACCAGTACCATCAGAGGGCGCCACCCCACAGACCTGACCAGTACCATCAGAGGGCGCCACCCCACAGACCTGACCAGTAACGCACCAGCTCTATGTTGCAGCCTGCACTCTGTGAGAATTCTGGTCTCCTAAACACAAAATGGCTGCCACAGTTTCCCTGGTAACAGTCCCTACCCCCTTTAATGTTACTATGAGGGTTATTATTTATTTAGTCTTTTGTTTTCATCTGCTGCAGAAATCACTTCAACTCGAGTTCAAAACACAACAAACGTTTCAATCCTAATGATTATGAAACATTGTGATTCACTGCTAACCTTTGCTCCACAAACAGATGAGCCGCTAACGTTAGCTCCACTTCAGCCGTTAATGTTGGTTCCACAGACATGTTACACCTCATTTTAAATCTCAGAATCTATAGAATTCTTTTTTATTTTCACAACTGGAACATTTGTTATTGATGACAAACGTCCTCACATGCTACTGCTCACACCAGTGCTTTCACTAATGCTAATGCTAAGGCTAATGCTAAGGCCAATGCTAAGGCCAATGCTAAGGCCAATGCTAAGGCCAATGCTAAGGCCAATGCTAAGGCCAATGCTAAGGCCAATGCTAAGGCCAATGCTAAGGCCAATGCTAAGGCCAATGCTAAGGCCAATGCTAAGGCCAATGCTAAGGCCAATGCTAAGGCCAATGCTAAGGCCAATGCTAAGGCCAATGCTAAGGCCAATGCTAAGGCCAATGCTAAGGCCAATGCTAAGGCCAATGCTAAGGCCAATGCTAACATTAGTCCAAAGCAGAGACTACTGTCATCAGCCATCTTTAACTCTGTTCACACACATGTGCCATACACAATTTTAAAGCTTAGAACATCTAGAAATCAGGATTGAGTAAAGGGACAATCATTCAGACAATATCAGCTCCATCCAATGTACATCCTCCTCCTAAAAGCCTGAATCCAGCTGCTAAACATGTTCTTACAAAAGTGTTGCTTTCAGAGCAGAATCCTCAAATTCCAGACTTATATTCATATAATAATAATAATATTGACATATTAATGTATAGATATGTTTTTCACGTAACTGTACCTGGCCTGGTCACACACTGCTAAATCTCAGGGTTGTAAAGTTCTGGTGTTTTGAACTGTGTTTCTGTGGCTCCATTCCTCAGCCCCTTCGGGATTTCTCTTGTCAATAATTTTTGATTTGTTTGCTCTTAAAGTCTGCGGCGTCAGAGAAAAGAACAAGAAAATAAGTATTATAATATTTAAGTTGTGATGAGGGCAGAATATTTATTTTGAACGATAAAAGTGTGAGCCCCCCTCCCCAGACGCCTTTTCTTCAGTGTAACTGTGACTCGGAGCACTTTTCGACAGGGTTTTCCCGTTTAAACAAACAAATGTTTATCTTTAATTTGACAGAAAATAAATGAATGAATGGGTAAAACATTTCTGTCCCTTTTCTTTAAAATGTGTGTGAGAGAAGGTAAATGCTGTTATAATTAATCACTGAGACACTTTCTTAAAAGTAGTTTATTAAAGTAGTTTTGCAGCTTCATTCACATTTCTCTGATTGTTGAATATATTTTGTGTGAAGTTGTGTTTTACTAAGTGTTTTCATTTTTGAATAATTTTAGCCTCATGAAACATTTACACAAGACTTGTTTCCACCAGCTCTACTCTAAGGTCCCTCTTGGCCCTGGTTCTTTCTCTGCCAATTTAGTACTAAAGTGTTGTGAAAGTGATTGGCCAGAGTGCTGCTGGAAGCCATGGTTAACAAGGAATTTCCCAGAATACTGGTTTGTTGTGGGGTTGCTTGGATACAGTGCCAGATATTAAAGCGTAACGGAAATGCAGTAGTCGGGTTGGGTAGGGCAGGTGGAAACTGCTTTAAACTCACAATGAAACCTTTACATTACATCTGTGTTCCAACTGCTGAACAGTGAGAAGGCCGCGCACCACAACTTGAGACGCAGTATTTGGCAGCTACAGCGCCCCCTGTGGAACCAACACAAACAGCACCAGGAAAGAAAGTTCAAAGCATCCGTGAGAAATCGGTTTAACGGAAACAGGGAACACACTGCAACAAGTATTTTCAAAAGTGAATGTGTGAAGTTTCATGATGATGGGACCTGCATCTACAGCCTCAGTCCCAGATCTACCTCTGTCAGTCTGGGAATGGATCCATGGGTGTCCCAGAGGTTTCTCACATATTTCCCACTGGGTTTTAAATGATTCCTTGCCCAATTCTGCACATTAACGTTTCTGGACATCCCGAGGTCATCACGCATTACATGTGTTATTATTGCATTTCATGTGAATGAAATTCATAATGAAACTAAAACACATTTCACTTTTGTTGTTGTTGCGGAACATGAAGTTATTGCATTTCAAACAGTCAACTCAGCACAGTGGCTCTAGAAGCTTGTGAATCCGGACTTATTTACAAAACAAACACATTATGAATATTAACACTATGCTAACAGGTTCTGGTCCTGGGACAGTTGGGGTCCAGTGGCTCTGTGATTGCATGCTAACTTATACTAAAACAGTATCCAATCTAATACCAGCAGCCATCATGAGGCCCGATTCAGTACTGGTTCAGTCCTGGGGCAACTTTGCTATTTCTAAATACAGATCTGTTCTTTGAAAACACCAACAATAAGATTTTGTCAGAATTAAAAAATCTCTGAGGGGTTTAAAGGGGTACGTGCACAAACTAATTGTCATATTTACATGTGCAAGCAAAGAAAAGGGGAAAGGTTGCGCTGTAATCCCTGAGTTTTGACTGCTGTAGGTAGTTTTTACAAAAGGCACATTTCAGAAGACAAACATGTCACAAAATGGAGGATTCACAAACGAATGCTGCGCTCAGGACGTAAGGCTAATACAGTGATGCTAACAGTGACGGAAGTACAATGACACAAAAAACAGTGATGCTTAATCTGTGTTATTAAATGTAGGTGTTTTTGTGAAAGTGGCGCTTCCTAAAATGCATGTTTTGTAATGTGTGCCTCTCCTGAGCGCAGCACCAGAGCCACCTTGTGCCCCCTGCTGGCCAGAGTATGCAATTCCTTGCTCTGACAACACATGATCGACATTAGCCAATGGCATCTCAGTTCACAGATATGTCAAAGTCTGAATAATGACGTCAGTGTAAGAAAAGCCGAAGGTTCGATTCCCCAGTCACATGACCTCCGCTTCGGTCTAAGCGCCTCAGGGTCCTCTTGCATTGCCGTTCTCTCCAGGCGGCATCGTGCTTTATTGCTCAAACATGAAAAACTACGTAGTTTCCCTGGCTACACTAAAGATGTTCTCAATGTCCACCTTGATGTTGAAAAAAAATCCCTGAACAAACGTTTGACTGGGTGAAAATGATAAAGAGAACTCTGCAGCCTCGATGTGAGTGGTTTAAAACAATGCACCGAGAAGAAACAAAAAGTTCTAGTTTTCCTCAGAGGTTAAACATTTAAATGAGCAGCGACAGCAACAACTCAGTAAAATAAAGAGTTTGAAGTTTTATTGAATACTAAAATTATCAAAAATAGAAAATCCAAATTTGAGTAAATATAAGGGAGTAAAGTTAGCAACGTAAGCATTACATCGCATTTCTAACTGCAGAATATGCCATGGTGAAAATCAGAGAAACCAGAGAGAGAAAGAGACCATCTGCCTTCCCTGGGGTTAAAACCAGATTACGGTGATGCGTAAAACATTTTTTAAAGACAGCCGATTCAAAGTGGTGCGTACCATGATTATGCTCTAACAACACACTGAAGTCGATGGTGTCATTGGGTTTCACAGTGCGGTGCCGATGGAGGACACAGCGCTCACACCATTGCCGGCGACTGTATCACATGGTCGATCACGCTAGCTGCTGATAAGTCCATGATGACATCACATAAGTGAGCAGCGCGACCGCCGAAGCTTGCGTCTCTTCTGCTGATACTCGCTGAGCTCCTGAAGGTAACCTCGCGATGGCCACCGCATGCGCTGCACTGCATCACGCTCCTCGTCTGCACAGAGACAGAGTCACACTAAAGTCTGCAAACCAATGTTTTCCAAACCTGGTCCGAGGGCATGGGAGTACGTTACAACTGTCAAAGTGTGAATTAGGAGTGTACTGACTGAGTGTGACATCACTATAGGAGGATTTTTATCTTGATCTTTATGGCCCGTCCGTCCGTGTGGAGCGGATCCTTCTCTCAATGGCCCTTATTTATGAAACTTGCGCAGAAAAGGGTGTATATTATTGGTGTAGATTCCATATACGCTAGACCCAACGTGGGATTTATGAACATGTGAGATCCGCCCAGATTTGAGCGTACAAATATGGCGGCTGTTAGTAAATGCCGCGGTGAAAACTAGCGTATTAATGAAAGTCACGCCTATAAATCAGAAACCGCCTGTTTCACGCCCTGCTTTTACGACGGGTCAGAGATTTAAGGAGTTAGTCAGTATGTCAAGTGTATTTGTAAAGTGCCTTTCACAGACCAGGATCACAAAGCACTTCACAAAAAATAATACGCACAAGTCAGATTTAAAAAGGAAGAAACAGTAGAGGGTCTTCTTCATGAACGTATCATGAACTGTGATTTATTCCAAGTTTGCGTGTTTCCATTAGAGTTTTTCTGATGCACAAAGACAAATTTCAAGATGTGATGCTCAATGAAAACGCAGCTTATAATTTTGCTAGAGTGGGAATATGTGTATTTTTGTCCAAATCTTGAATTTCATGCGTGTTTGGCGTGTTGTGATGAAGGTTGAGATGAGCGTACACATTTACACCACCTCCTGACCTGGCGTATATTCTGTGTGTACCGTTCGCTCACGTCCAGATTGATAAATGCCGAAAAGTGTACATTTTTTGCGTTCGCCTCATTTACACCCTGATTTGGCCGTACGCAAGTTTCATAAATGAGGGCCAATATGTGGGTCTCCCCGTGGTTTCTCACTTCTCATTTTCTCACCAGTGATCCAAGATGGCGCCCTATTCAAATGAATGGTTGTGCTCAGTAGCGCTTTGTGACGGCGTGGGGGCTGAAAGATCTATGGGAAACTCGCCTGTATTTGGGCATCGTCTGGTCCTCTTGGTTCTGCCAGTGGATGATCTCCCACAATGCGTTGCGCCAAACAC